TTGATTCGATAATCCCGTGATATGTGATCGAAATCTTGTGATTCATATGCAAAATCGTTTGGTTTAAAACCTGCTAGTTGATCTATATTTGAAACACATTATTTCATTTACTAATTCGATAATCATTTGTTTTATTTGCGAACTAATAGATATTCATGTTCGAAAACTTGATATTTTCATGAAAAAACAAAACTTTACAAAACTTAAGAAGAAAGTAATTTTTTTTACACGTTTAACAGTAAAAATCTGAAGATTATAGTAAAATACTAGTATATTAATGCGAGAGTAGGATCATTCGATCAAAGATTCAGACAATTACTTTTTCGTGTGTCATTGAATCACTTCTTTTTACATACTAGCCCAAAACGATATTTTCCTGGAAGAGGAAATTAAATTGGAATTGCACAGAGTAAAATACATTTTACCTAAATCACCAATTAGGAACAAACTGCCTTTATCCTTTATCCTTGGGTAGCCATTAAGCAGAAACTTTTGCGCAGTGTTTTAAAATCTGGTTCTCTTTATTTGGAATATGCGTTTTACGTATAGTTATTATGAAACATGTTCTTCTGTTTTTGTTCCGATTAATGATAGTTTTGGCAAAAATAAGTTGAAACGTGATAACAACCATTTAAAACAATCCAAAAATATTCATAACCAATATGTTTTTTAAAAGGAATTATTTCATCAAATCCATGAAAACACAATGTCTCATTTCCTCATGAGCACATTCTAACATAACCACAAAGAGATCATAACTGAATAAATTACCAACATATATCACTGACAGAAAAACCTAGTTAATTTAACTAGTTTTCTTCGTGATAAGTAATCTTTCAGTTTACTGGCTAAGATACCCGGTAGTGAGCTGTGGAGCGGGGGTCGTACATGTATAAATACTTAAGAGAGTGAAAGTTACTGATTAATTCTAAATTTACTAATCCTATCTAGTATATACCCAATACCTAATAAAACTACTTTTAGTTGGTGATTGTATGGACAGTAAATTTACTATTCTTCTTAGTGACTATAACTTGTTATCTGTTAACACTGAAGCAATAAACGTTAATTGCTGAAACAGCAGATCTCTACGTTAAATGCAAGGTTTGGTCTATGTGTAAGATTCCATGCTTTTTTACGACGCATTTAAACACCGTTTTCTTTATGATTTGATGAAGTGTAAACCCTCCATGTACATGTAGACGATTTGTCAGAGGTCCTCAAAGGTCTTATTAGTGTGAAAATTATGATTGCTTGAAGCTTTTAAGGAGTGATTTTTGTAGAATAGGACAATATCCAATATCTCTTGATGATTTTCAAAAACAAAAAGCAATTTGAAGTCTGAATCTCCGGGGGAGAAGAATGTTGGAACCTCATACAATTTTTACTGTGTGGGTGTTATTACGTTTTAAAGTATAGCCAAAACAGTCTAAATACTGTAGATAGCATGCTTTCTTAATTATCTTCATTTTGTAAAAACAAACACGTGCACTTCTATTGGAAATATTGTATTTTCAAATGTTTTCTTCAATATCTGTTATTTATTTATTTTATACAATAATTAATATGGGGAAATGTTGATTTGTAAATATCACTTCTCTGTCGACATATTGGATAAATTAAAAATGGGTATTTCATGCATTTATTATAAAGTGTCATTAAAAGTAATGTATCAAGTTTTTCACTTGTTGTTGGGAAAAATAGATATAACCTTTCCCCCCTCATCATTATATACTTATATATTATAATAACATAAACTGAAAGAAACTTCCTTCGTATTTTATGGTTTTATGAAAATCATAAATTTTCTTTCCCTGTCGTTGCATTTGCATTTGCAAAATTACATTCTGATAGTGGAGACAGGTTTTTCGATTTTAAGCTGATATTGAAAAGATGCCGGAGTTTTATTATTGACAATATCCATGCAGTTTTTGGAGATCAAGTCTTCCAAAACATTTGTCGGAATACCCATGGGAAACCATTGTACCCATTATAAGCAGGAATATTTTTTGTATTCATATGAAGCAGAATTTATTTTTAAGTCTTTTACATAAGAAAGTATCTTGTTGTGGACTTCAGTTAAAAACAAGATGTGTTTGTGAAACATTGATGCCCCAATATGACAACTTAGCGAAGATTTAACTTTCCTTATATGCAAATTTAATATATATTGGTATCCAAAGTAGGGTATTCTCACTGGAAATACAATTGTGAAATATGAAAGTAGGCCAAGGTTAAAGTTTTTTTTTCAAAAGTACGGAAATCTCCAATGTCAAGGTAATTGTTATCCAATGAAAGGTCTTGCAACAAAGAATACATATGTGAAGTATGGAAGCCCTAGTCCTAACCTTTCAAAAGTTATGGTAAAGGTTACCAATTTTGAAAAGTAGGTCAAACTCCAAGGTCAAGGTCAAAGGGTCAAATTTGGTGGTACCCAAAGAAGGGTATTGTCACAAAGATTAAATATGTACAGTATGAATGTACTAGCCCAAACCCTTTAAAAGTTATGGTCAAGGTTTGCTTTTTAAAAGTAGGTCAAGCGTCAAGGTCAAAGGGTCAAAGTTCTTGGTATCCAATGAAAGGTTTTCTCACAAGGATTACATATGTGAGGTATGAAAGCAGTAGTCCTTACTGTTCACATGTGGCCAAGGTTAAAGTTTTTTCATAAGTGTGGAAATCTCTCAGGTCAAGGTCAAAAGGTCGTTGTTGGTATCCAGTGAAAGGCCTTTTGAAAATATATATATGAAGTATAGAAGTCCTGGTATCTACTGTTCAAAAGTTATGGCCAAAGTAAAAGTTTGGAATTTTTGTGTAAAAGTGGGTCAAACTCCAAGGTTAAGGTCAAATTTGGTGGTACCAAAAGAAAGATCTTGTCACAGGGTATACACATGTACACATGTGAAATATGAAAGTCATAGCTTCACTAAATCAAAAGTTATGGACAAGGTTAAAGTTTTTGCGGACAAACAGACAAACAGACAGACAAAGAGACAGCGGGACAGACAGACAGACACGACAAAAACTAAATACCCCTGAAACTTCGTTTACGGGGGCATAAATATCCGGGGGAAATAAAAAAAAATTCTAACAACAAATTGCTCTTATTTTAAAGCAATTTTTAGGCTATTTCGTCATAGTTTTGTATGCTCTCATTAAAGAATTTTTAGCAAACCACCACCAGGAAAAGCCAAAAATCTTCTCATTTCGCTATGTGCATTTTCTACCACAACTACAAATAGATCTGCAGCCCATATATAAAGGTATACTAGATAGAGAATGAGATATAACGCACTTGCACTGTGGTATACATGGGCTTATATATAGCACATAATTTACACACTTCCAAAATGTTTCAATGTTTTTTTATATTTCGTACATATTTATTATGAACAATTATAAATTATACACGTACTAGAACCTGGAAAAAAAGTCATAATTATCTCAAACAAGATCTATGAAATCGTGATCAGCTAAATAAAATAAGTCACAACGCACTGATGAATAAATACAAACATGGAAAGTGTTCTCAATATCCATAAATGGAAATTGATCTCTATTATCCTTGGACGCCCATTCTCTGCATTTGAATAAAGCAGAATCTAAAAAGGAAATTGCACCTTTGAGCACTCGGTACGATTCCTTCTTCGGGGACAATGGTTGTTATAATGCACTTGTCGGATATAGATTGTTTATTCCCCTTGAACATTTTATTCGTATGCGTAGGCCTTGGCGATTTATAAAGGAATATGTCAAATACAGGCCTTATGTAAGGTTTAAGTAAATTTAAACCAATTTGTCACAGGACGCAAGATTTTTAGCATTTTCGAAAAAAGAAAAATTATTTTCTTTAAGGTGTTTGTCCGTGGAAATTTTTGTTCGTTTTTTGAAAATCTTCAATTCAAGCTTATGTAATACTCAGTTTACAAAATTTATAAAATCAAAAAGAACTTTCTGCAAAAAAAAAAAAGACCATTTCGAGCCACAACTTCATAATTATATTTATAATTTATGGTCTGATTTATCTGGTTGTGACTTTGTTCTTTCAATCAAATTAAAATATTTAAAGGCTCAAAAAGTACCCTCTGATAACTCAGACAAGATTTTGCTTTAATGCTACTGATTTTCCAGGAGAAATGAACAAAATTTCAGCATACCCTACTAGGCACAACATGAAAAAACATGAAAAAAGTATTTCAGTTACTCATCTCATGTGAGATTGGAGCGTGTACTCTAATAGAGTAGCATAGTATAAGGAGTTGAACATAACGTCGCGGGTTCAAATCCCACTGCGGGACAGGGAGACAGTCCTTCGGATGAAATCATATAAATCGAGATCACGTGTCACAAAAGGTGATGGCATGAATATCCCTCATTACTCAAAGGCCGTGGTTATAAATTCTAAGAACAGGTTAGAATCAGCCGTCCACCGGCAAGTGGTTTCGTTTCAGTTAGAGAGGAAATTTTCTGGAAAGGGCGTTTAACACATACTTTAAAGACAGTTATCTCTCTTATCATAAGGTCAATGAACCTTAAAGTGATAAATCAGTTTTCAACCATTATAAATTTATAGTATTTCTTTATATCCTATCAGAAAAAAACGAATAATTTGGTATCTTATCACTCATGTCACAGTATCCTCACCCGGAGGATATAACAAAAGCAGTTAAAATTGTATCTAAAAATTAAATTTTCTTATTTTAAGGTTACACATTTTCTATCTACCTCAGGAACAAACAGTACAGAAGTGCTTTTAATCAAAATACCGTGATTCATTTTATGTAAATATTTCTCTCTATCTCTTGCTATTATCAATCCAAGAATTCATCTTATTTCTGAAGGCGCGTTACACTTGTGATAATATAAATAACAATAAAATGTTGGAGGGTCACACCAGTGTTTCTCCTCAATACAGGCGGCATACCGCACGGTGTGAACTAGTAAAGAACGTATAAACGATCCCCTTATCTCTAAACAAATTACCATCCTCCCCCACAGAGAAACAACATTCATAATTTTTTGTCTTCATTTATTTCCAGTGATAACAAGCATTCTGTACAAAATTGGTCTGTCAATAAAGGAATAAAGCTGGAATTTATTTTTAAAATAAATATGGAAATTTTAAAATTCAAATTCATATTTTCATCATAAAAAAACCAGTGTTATCGATGTTTTAGTTACACAAAAAAAGAAGATAAAAAAGATATGTAATCTCAGAATCTGTATAATCAAGGACTCATACTGTGCTCACAAGTTCTCTGTAGATGATAGTCACGTGACCTTTCGAGACATTTTTATATGTGTCTTCCTTCAGAATTTTAGCAAGGTGAGTACATGTACACAGGAGCATTTTGCACAACCGAGTTTTTTTAACCTGCAACGTGGAAATTACACGATGTGATTTCTGTGAACGTGGGATATCACTTAGTCCACAACTAGACAGTGCGTCATGTTTTCCCGGAGGTAGAGGCAAACTTCCCGAGATGCACTTGGGCAGTTGGTCAATTCTAATTCGTCTAAGTTATGTAACTGTGTCAACCCACACAACCCTTGCCCAGACACTAGAGTGCACCCTAAAAGAAAATCATAGTCACATTATAATACAATGCATTACTATAAGTATAAAACTTTTTTTCATCTCAGGATTTAGTATAACCTATTGATATTGTTTTACAAATTGGAGAACTTGTCCCATACAATGTTAAGACGTCTTCAAAAAAAAAAAAGAAAAGCGTCGCTTCGCGACGCTCGCTGCGCTCGCTATAAAACGTCTTCACGATATTGTATTGGATACTAGTAGTAAGTACTATAGTACTAAACTATGGCTCAATTTCCATAGGATTTCCTAAATGATCGAGTAATTGTTTTATAATGAACATGCTTAGTATGATGAATTTAAAACAAATATTTCTTTGTCACACCTGAAATGCTACTGTCGCAAGCAATGATTCTTCAACAGTGTGTTCAACAGCAATTTACAATCTTTTGGCTAACGCGTCACCCCGGTATTTAGGGTTGTAATGGCGATATCATTTCCTAGGCTTTCAAGTGCTATAGCAGTCAGACAGTAATATGCATGGTATGTTGGATCTGTGTAATCTATAGTTTATAACATAATACCTTACAGATTTGTTAAAGTACATGATACATGCCTAACGATCAGTAGGTGGTACATAAACGTGGTTCCTTTCTTAAAATGATCTTATGTGCTACAATTTAGAATGTTTATATTACATGGCTATTTTTCTCCAAATTTATACATTTCATATTCCGAGAAAGACAAATGCTTATATAAACGCGTTAATTAATTTGAATGTGTTTTATAACAAATTCCATTTTTCCATTCCAAATGCCATTTCGTACAAATATAGGCATACGTTACTTTCTATATTTTGATTGTCTGTAGGAGACCCACATTCAAGAGCCATTTCTGATGTCCTTAGAATGATATATATATGGAGATAACGAATTTAATTATTTTCTTACTTAATAAATTTAAAAACTTTTTGTGAAACTTCGATTTATACTTCATGCCAGACAATTTTCATATTTCAAAATGGCAGACAAAAAGGGTGTATCACGTGACTATGTGAATTGTTCCATCGAAAAATGTTTTCGTGTGCATTCAATTTACTTCAAGTTCTATGTGTTAATGAAGTGATACATTTATATAATCGTACTGTTATTTAATATGATAGTTGAAGAACATCAAAATACCAATTTTCAATGTCAAATAAGGCTAAAAAAATATTTAATAACTGATGGGGTTAAAAAATATTTCATAACCGATTTTTCACTGAAAATGGCAAAAACGTGTGACAAATACTAGTAACCAAACGATGAAACAGAACGGTAAGTCAATTTCTCCATCATGATTAAAGTGTTGTTTATCCCACCAACACAAGATGTGCTAATGACATTTATTTACCTGCAAGAGACAGCACGCGAAGATTTCTCATGGAATAAATGTGCTTGAGGCTGAAATCTCGAATCTGTGTACACCAACGTAAGAATAAGCGGCGTAGTGAAGTCATTGTAGAAAGGTACCCGACACCAATATCCGTTATTCGCGAGCACCTATCAATCAAATAAAATCAAATTGTTATTTTCAAAGACACATTTTTTACATTAAAAAAAATCATAGTCAAATAAAGGAAGAAACTTGATACTCGTAGGCTGACAAAGCAGACGATAAAAGAAAAGATAACGTCTAGAAGGACAAAGACCGACAAATTGAATGCAGAAGATACACATGATTAGAAAATATATGATATGGAAACGTTGTTTGATGTCTTATTAATTAAACAATGTCGGGTTTTACTTCTCATATAAAACAAGGGGAATTTTACTGCCCCTACCCCCCGCCCCCTAATATATGCTTTTTATAACTTTATGTAAATTTTAACAATTAAGGCTTATTTGACTTGCATTGCTCATGATTGCTGAGTATTAAATATATATACTTGTGTACATGTAGTTGCCCTAAAAATGCAAAAACTATAAAACCGGTGATAAAAAGATCATATAGTATTCCTTGGAATTAAACAAAAAGTTTCCTCACAAACATACAGGTCGTTTTAAAGTAAACTACGCTACTTCATTCATAATTCTATAGTACAGATTCAAACTCTGGGATTTCAATTGAACATGGCAAACTATTTTATTTAGCAGCTAGCTATCTCTTTCCCTATTTTATCTGATTAAAACAAGGGATTCTCCTTAAAGTCGAAGGCAGATTTTTTTTTTCTTTTTTATTTCATATAGAGGTAAAAGATAGATGCCTTTGATAGATTTCGGCATTATACAAAAAAATGCTTCTTCATTCAGTTCTTCTCCTTCTTTCATGGTGTTATCTGATTCCTTAAATTGCTAAACAGCTTTTTTGTTCCACCTGCATTTATATGTTGAGATTTTATATTTCAAGTGCCGGTTATTATTTTTTTTTATCATAAATCAAATTCATGTCGATCATTCCAGAAATTGCAAAACTTACAAACATATTCGTTGCACTTGACTCTGGAATTTTACTGAAATTATTTATCTTAACCTTCCATACTCACTGATACATGTATAAAATGTTGCTTTAACTCTTTATGATTTTCTAAACAAAATCAATTTCCAAGATAAAGTGCAACAGAATTTTAACGTACAGTGTAGCTAACGAGGGGAAAACCGGACAAATAAGACATTTCAGAGGGAATAAAGTTTGGGGTGACGTTTATGTCATTCAGAGTTATCTCTCTTATCAGAGTATCAATGAACCTTAAATCATTTTCCTCTATTTTGCGTCTTGTTCAAAAGTTGTTTTTAAATAGGTCCTACTTTTCTTAACATTACAATTAAAATAGTATTTCCTTGAGAAAGTTTTCAATGCCTTTCCTCCCTTTCAATATGATTGCTTAACTATACGTTTTTACAGCTTTTAGTTTTCCAGGATATGCGTCAAACGTTTAACTTCTTATAATTAACCATGACAAAAATGCCTAAAAACACTTTACTTTCTGCATTTTATTGTGGAGGGAAAATGCTCAGTTGTTTTACTTACTATCAAAAAAACAAGACAACATGAAAGCTCGCCAGCGTTTAGACTGAAGAAAATGATTTTTTATGCATATTTTTTTCATAATCGACGTCTTTCACTCACTTGTATCATAAGCATGCATTCCAAGCTGTTTATGCCTGTACGCACCCCTGCAAGACGCTTGTCATACCTGCGTTATCATATTTACACCTTCCGTGGGTATTTTAAGAAGCCTGTACCTATATCCATCGCGTACGTTCGGTTGAAAATAGACATAGTTTGTATAACATCTTGGTATCACCTGTTTTGTTTTGAATGGGGTCATCACATAGATCAAAATTCCATCGTATGCACTTTTCAGATAAGAGATTTGTGTAATAAACCACACAAAAAATATTTTATCTATTTCTTGTTTCAACATTAATAAAAAATATTTTTCCACATTTTTTCGCCAGATTTTATATTTTCTGCCCTTAAGTACGGAGAGAAATCGATAAAGGTTCATTATTAAAGTTGAGGCCAAGTTTAAAGCTAACCATGAGTCATACCCAATAGTCAACACCTAACGAGGTCGAAACACTTTGATTAAAGGGAAAGGGACCTCTCATTGATAAAACCGACATCTGTCTATTTTTGGTCAGAAGAACATCAATATCGCATGATTTGCAAACATAAAATATCATATACATGGTATTGATCATGCCTTTTTACCAGCAGAGGTCATATTTTAGTCGATGAATTCTCTCTTTCATCTTTTAGTTATTGGAATTTCAAATAATTAAACAAAATCTAATCGATTTCAGCACCATCCTTTTATAAATATTTGATTTTGAGTCAATAAATATATTTTTGAAAACGCCGAACAAACGAATAATGTGATTATCTGTAGCTTATTGATTTTGTGACATTTATTTGACTTATTGACAAGTTATTTTTGTTTGCACTTCCGATTATAAACTAAGGATTCGCCCATAAATCGCACTTCCTGTGAATTACCTCCAATAAATCAGAGGCATGATAAAAAAAAGTGCGATTGTTTTAATTACGCACTTGAGTTAGTAGAATTATGCGTTCGTATTTAAAACACTGCACGGATAATAGAACTTTTACCATTACTTTTTTGTAGTCGTTTGGAGCTTTATGTTATCTTACTTCTTATTTCTAAATTTGAAAAAAAGTAAGACGTATAATAAATGTGCAATAAGTCTCAATGAGGTACATATTTGGGTCAGAAGAACTATATTTTTTGTAGATGATTCTAGTACCTTATGAGTAACACTGCTACAGTATTCAACATATGCATACAGGTGCAATTATTCAAATAACCCATGAAGGATTAGTATGTATACCTGTCAAGAATGAGTTCTTCCAGCTGGCTCAGATCACAGGCAATGTACTCTAACGAAGCATCAGTGATACGTGGACACCACGAGAGGTCTAAAGATCGGAGTTTTCTGAGATTTTCTGCAATGAGCTCGACCCCATCGTCCGTAATTTTGCTGCAACCCGACATGCTCAGCACCGTCAGGTTGGGCAAGGAATGTACAATGTTGACGATGCCATGATTCGTGATTTCCCAGCAGGAATGTAGTCTTAAAATGGACAGAATGTATCCCTGTTTGGCGCTAAAGAAGGCCAAAGAGGCATCAGTCACGTGATAGGCCTGCAAATTTAGTTCAAAAAGAGACGGAAGTAGTTGTGCAATGGCCCCCACAGTGTCGTCTGCAACATTGATACAATCACTTATTGTCAAAGACACAATTTTAGGGTTCAGGCATGACCATAAACCGGTCTCTGTGATTTCGTTACAACCTGAAAGTTCAACTTTGTACAAACAAGGCAGTTTCTTAAATAAAATTTCTATACCCGTATCAGTCACATTTGAACAGCGTAAACTTATGGCTTTAATTTGTTTCTTGTACGTTTGAAAATGAGCAACAAAATCTGAAACATCGTTGTCGGTGGCACCAAAGAGACACAAAGTGTCAAATCCCCTTTGTTGAAGACTGTCATAAAACTTGCTTCTCTGGTCCTCCTTCGGGCTAAGCTCACGGCAAACAATAATGGGGGTAACGTCTACCCAGAACTTGGGATGATATAACACGTTCTTCCACAATCTACACACCTGACACAGCGTCCCTCGTTCCTCGGGAGAAAAATAGCTGAAGAACTTGGTCAAAAAGCGCTCGTCTGTAAAGAGTTCCAAAATATTGTCCGGTTGGCTCTTGCTGAATAAGCTCCGAATTTTTCTTGCGATAAGCGGTTTGGGGGACCGCACGATTCTGACATTCATGGCCCCGCTTCCGTTCACATTAAACCTTTGGGTCATCTGGCCCTCCCGAGCACCCTGGGGACTCTGGTTACTATTCTGTTGCGTTTGCTGGTCGCTCCTGAATCGCAAACCACGAATTCCGTTTGATATCTCCATGTAGGCTCTCTTAATTGTCGACATATTCCATTAAATGAATTCCGATATAATTATTCAAAGCTTTAAGAATCCGACATTTGGCTAATATAAGAACACCTAAAATTAGTACACTAATTATCTGGAGAGTTCATTTATAACTGTAATTCAAGTCGCAGTATCTCAGTTAATGCGGTCTTTGAAAACATGCTTTTATCAAGATTTTAACGGAACATTTCAAAACACACAAAGAGAGAGGCATCCCATTCTTACATCCCTGAAATTTATTGATTCCGGTTTGAAGCTGATGCACGCAAGAGTAAAATTCAATTGGTATTATTTCGAATGTTTTGACTGGAGACACCACATAACCGTCATGAGTGACTGAAATTCTTGTGCCATGGATGTTGTAAAATATGCCAATCGATACAAAATCATCAATTCATCATCTCCTTTGTCGTAAGAGCACAAGCGTTCAACTGTTCAAAGTTTGTATCACATTGTCTTCAAATGCCACTCGCAGAGTACGTTTCATGCTAAAATCCATTACACCTTTATGTATAAGGCAGCACTCGGCCACTCCGAGTGTTAATTTAGAAGTACTCGATTGCTGGGATGTATTACTGCTGATGAATATTCTAATTTTTATCTCTCTCGGAATAACACCCACTATTCTGTCATTAGATTCGCTACGCAATGATAGTGAAATATGTCAAAAACAAACAGCCTCAATCGGGCCGAGCAGAAACAAGGGAAAACGCAATTCTCACACTTGATTAGTCAGAGCAATATATCGATTTTGAGGAGTAAAAGAAACCGAATCCAATACGTTTTAGCCATTATACATGAATTATGCATTAAGCGGTATAATATGTATATTCTAGGGGATAAACATACCACATCACCTGCCTTTTGTAATTATTCTAATTATGTACATGCATAATAAAACCCCAGAGTACATTTTTTCTTTCAATACTTTGGAATATTCCTTAGTATTGAAGCAGATGCTAATTCATACTTCTATACAGTCATTTTCTATGAGGAGATGAAAGGAGGGGGTAAGGTAAGGTCCCTGAGAGGTTTTAGCAGCAAAAAAAAAAAATCAGATTATTTACTTTGATATGAGTGTCAAAATATTTCACATTTAAGATTAGTAGTTATAATGGTAAACTTTATGTTAAAATAATTATGATAAATAAACAATCTTTTTTCCAATGTCGGATAAATTGCAATCTTCACATATGTTTCACTTTAACTAGATTAAAAGAAGGCATTACTTTTGTATCCAATTTCCGCTTTAATTTTAGAATCTCTTAATTACTTCACAAACCTCTTTTTGACCCATTTACGTAACCCCATTACCCAACTATCACATAAAAGCAACAAGCCTAGTGAATTCTGAATGAAAAAGCGTTTTCTTTCTCAATTACTCCAAGTTACACTCTTGCTATAATTATACGCATTACCAAAATTCAGATCTGATTATACACAGGGGTTATTACGCGAAGGCTCTTACAGAAAACGTATAAACTGTGATGCAAGGTTCGTTCCAGATGCTGATATAACTTTATGTATAACCACGAGCCTATTATCAATCACAGAATTCCTTAATTAAAGTACTGGGTATATGATAAATAATTATATATAGGTTTTAATTAATACTCTGAGCAGATGGTATACATACTTCCAGAGAACATATTTCGATTAGTGTGTACAATTACGTTTTAAATCCATGTGCTGCATGGAAACGAGTGGATGCATTTTGTTTATTCACTCATATTTTTTCGTGTCGGCAATGCGACACGGAACCTTAGTTTTTACGGTCTCATCCGAAGGACCAGTCTCCACGCATGGAATCGAACCTGCGACATAAGGATCAAGTCCTTAATCCGGGACTAGAGAGTGCTACACTGCGCCACGTACCCGAGCGACTTTTCATCCTTAATATGATAATTGTTGCTCATGATGAAGAATTATAAAATAAACCGTTCATTAATATACATTGTTACAAGTCTACGTACTCAACTAAGAAAAGAATTGAGAAGGTATATCAAAACTACATGTGAAAAATTAAAATTTTTATGCGCCCGAATTTTTTCGGGGCGCATATTGTTTTTGTCCTGTCTGTTTGTCTGTTTATCTGTTTGTCTGTTTGTCTGTTGTCAACTTTAACCTTGGCCAAAACTTTTGAACCGTAAGAGATAGAGACTTCATATTTGGTATGCATACTCCTCTAATAAAGTTCTTTCAAATGACATCAAGGTCAATGACTTTTTGACGTTGACTGTGACCTATGCTAAAAATAGGTTTTTCAACTGTTTGTCATAACTTTTGAACCATAAGAAATAGAGACTTCATAATTAGTATGCATACTCCTCTAATAAAGTTCTTTCAAATGACATCAGGGTCAATGACCTTGTGACCTTGACTGTGACCTATATGCTAAAAATAGGTTTTTCAACTGTTTGTTATAACTTTTGAACCATAGGAGATAGGGACTTCATATTTGTTTTTGTCCTGTCTGTTTGTCTGTTTGTCTGTTTATCTGTTTGTCTGTTTGTCTGTTGTCAACTTTAACCTTGGCCAAAACTTTTGAACCGTAAGAGATAGAGACTTCATATTTGGTATGCATACTCCTCTAATAAAGTTCTTTCAAATGACATCAAGGTCAATGACTTTTTGACGTTGACTGTGACCTATATGCTAAAAATAGGTTTTTCAACTGTTTGTTATAACTTTTGAACCATAGGAGATAGGGACTTCATATTTGGTATGCATACTCCACTAAAAAGGTTCTTTCAAACAACACCAAGGTCAATGACCATGTGACCTTGACTGTGACCTTTATACTTAAAATAGCTTTTTCCACTTTTTGCCATAACCTTTGAACCATAGAAGATAGGGACTTCATATTTGGTATGCATACTGCACTAATTAAGTTCCTTCAAATGACATCAAGGTCAATGACCTTGTGACCTTGACTGTGACCTATATGCTAAAAATAGCTTTTTCCACTTTTTGCCATAACTTTTGAACCATAAGAGATAAGGACTTCATATTTAGTATGCATACTCCACTAATAAAGTTCTTTCAAACAACACCAAGGTCAATGACCATGTGAAGTTAACTGTGACCTTTATACTAACTATAGCTTTTTCTACTTTTTGCCATAACTTTTGAACCATAGGAGATAGGGACTTCATATTTAGTATGCATACCCAACTAATTAAGTTCTTACAAATAACACCAAGGTCAATGACCTTGTGACCTTGACTGTGAACTATATGCTAAAAATAGCTTTTTCGAACTTTGTTGACGCCGGGCGCATAGTGTTTCACAAACACACCTTGTTTTTATATGGGATGGTACCACTGTCTGCCTTAGATACCGATGATTATTAGCATAAAATAAAAATGGAAATGATTTGTGATATGAATATCTTCTATAACAACTTAAATTTATGACACTGAAACCAGTTAACTTTTATTTATATTTTAGAAATATTACTATTTGTTTGCTTTCTTTTCACAATCCAGTTTGATTAAAGTCAAACCTTCCACTAGTTCTTAAGAGCTATACGGTCGCACACGGAAGATGATCAGATGGTTCAAAAGAAGGAACAACTCAACTGCCAATGAAAGATAACCCAGTAATAAAGCAGAGTTGTATTGAAATAGAATTTTCTCGCTAAAGGGAGATTTTAAAGTATAGATTCTATTTCGGGGGGGGGGGGGGGGTTCAGTACCGATTTTTCCCCAAACACTACCACTTACCCTTCTTTAACTACACTGCAGCATGCCTGTTGAAAGTGGGGTTGTAAACCTACTACGCTTCAATCTTCAATGCCTAAATTGTGTCTATCTTTTCAAAAAAAAAAAGTGGGGAGGGTTCCGACGCCTATGATATTTACTGTACAAAAACATAAAGCACTTCACCTAAACAAAATTATTGTCCCTGCTTTTGCAAAAGCGAGGAGACATTAAATGTCATTCTTATTCTGTCCGTCTGTCAGTCTGTCCGACCGACACAGAAACTTAAAACTTTAAGCTTGCCCATAACTTTTGATTTTGTGGAGCCATGACTTTCATATTTCGTCTGTCAGTCTGTCCGTCAGTCACAAAAACTTTAACCGTGCCCATAACGCTTGTTTAAGTGGAGCTATGACTTTCATATTTTCACCTGTGTATTCCTACAATGCCTTTGTATGGGTACCACCTTTTGACCTTGAGTTTGACCCACTTTTACACAAAAATTCCAAACTTTTACTTTGGCCATGACTTTTGAACAGTAGATACTAGGACTTTCATATATGTATTCTTTGTGAAAAGACCTTTCATTGGATACCAACAACTTTGACCTTAGAGATTTCTGTACTTATGAAAAAAAATTATCCTTGGCCACACCTGGTAATTTTTGAACAGTAAGGGCTAGTATACTTTCATACTTCAGATATTTAATCCTTGTGAGAAGACCTTTCATTGAATACCAAGAACTTTGACCCTTTGACCTTGGAGTTTGACCTACTTTTAAAAAACAAACCTTGGTCATAACTTTTGCAGGGTTAGGGCTAAGACTTTCATACTTCAAATGTTTCATCCTTGTGTCAAGAAATTTCATTGGATATCAAGAACTTTGACCTTGATCTTGGAGTTGACCTACTTTTTAAAAACTTTGACTTTGGACATAACTTTTGAAAGGTTAGGACTACGGCTTACATACTTCATACATTTATTACTTGTGACAATACCTTTCTTAAGAAACCAACAACTTTGACCCTTTGACTTGGAGTTTGACCTACCTTTGAAAAACATTTTGAACAGGTGGTGCTAGGGCTTTCATATTTCACTATCGTATTTCTTATGAAAAGACCCACTCACTTTTGGGTATCAATATATTTAATTTGCATTTAAGAAAGTTTAATGTTCTCTATGTTGCCATAGAGGCATCAGTGTTTCACAAACACATCTTGTTCTTTAAAACTTTTGACTGAGAAGAGATATAGCTCTCATATTTGACTTGTGCATTACCTGTGACAAGCTATTTCCGAGCAAGCTATGATTTCTGACCCCTTGAACTTGACCTTCGCGATTGACCTTTTTTTAAAAAAAATTCAACGTCGGTAATAATTTCTAAAAGACATATGATTCAATGGACATTCATATTTGACACAATATGTCATAAAAATGACATCTCACCCACAAAGACACCGAAAGCAGGGGACCAACTCCTTGAATTTTCTTGTTTGCATTGTAAGGCGTTTTTACATGTTCAATATTTCTGACATTCTAATCCTTTCCTTGTGCTTAGAAAGGGAATTATAGTTCGATTTTCATTTAAATTACTGCAGTATGTTCTTATCGCTAGTGTGTATATTTCAATTTGATATGAAAAATTGGGGGATGAGATAAACATACATGTACATTGTGATTTTCGTAATCATTGAACCTTGCACTGGGACCCATGGCCAGACATCGGAGAAAAATCTTTCAGAAATAGTCAAATGAGAAAAAATATTCTTTTCTTATCCAAAAAAAGACAAATAAATGTATGATGGGAAGAAAGACCATTACACCCTTTACTTGCTTTTCATGTTAGGTCCTGTACATGTCTTCCGGTTGGGGCCAAATGGCCTTATAATTGCTCCTACATATTTAGCAGGCATATGGATATAATGGACAAGGGTGCCTCTGTCTAAATGGTGAATTCATGTCCACATAATCTGGAGTTCTGATGTTCATATTAAGAGGGGTTTCCCCAACCCCCCTGAATCCGCCACTGATTTTTAGCCGGGCTCATTGCTCGTAGAGCAATGCCCGGCTATTGCGACGGTGAGCAACAGGAAATGCTGCTTCTTCACCGCCAAATTGAGTTTACGAGTATAAACAGAGTACGTATACGCCCAGCCGCTGTTGAGAAAACAAAATCCATTAAAACACTTTAAGAAATAGTAAATCGAATATTTTTATCAAAATATTAAATTGTTTAATTTTTTTCCTGGCTCCTTTGACTAATATTTTACAAAGCAATTCAAAAGGTGCGAAAGGTTTTCACCAGGTATCCCTGTCTACGTCATATTCTATAAATAAAGGTGTACAACCTTTATCAGGCTAACACAAATGCAGGAAACATCATTAATGACTTGATGCGAAACTCCCCGCTGAGGACACATCAGTGCATAGTCGTTTGACCTTAATTAATCTTGCTGCATCGGTATTTATTTACTTCTGTTGTATATAAAACCCCGAAACGATACATGTGATAAATATTTTACGCTGTTAATTTCTAGCTATATTTTATTTATTTTTTAAAAACTTTTTAACGCTATACATGCCATTGAGATATTTTTATGTGTAACATATCTTCTAAACGTCTGAACTTCATTTTAAACTGTCACCATGGTCTTTGTGCATTACCCTGTAAATGAGCCCGGCTTTCAGTACTTCTGAGTACTTTGATTAAAACGCTTTTTATATGTCTCTGGTTAGCTTATATACCGAACATCACAAAAACGAAAAATTAATCAAACTCAGATTTACTCAACTCCATGAGACATATAAAAGATGTCTCTGTTTCAAACAATTCTTCTGTTTATGTCACATTACTCATATACTTGAATTATCTTATATCGTAAAAAGACTGAAACGAATTTATGAATTAACAGTACTTTTGGTACTTTGATTTTTATGCTGAGAAAGTTAGCTCCCTTGACACAACTCTTTCGTAAAAGAAGGAGCAGTGGAAAATGTCGCACATTTCAAATTTACGCCGGTAAAAAATTCTTTTTGAATTTAGATTACTGAATTGACTGTGTAATATTAATGATAAATGATTTTAAATACCCACATAGGAATAAAAGATCCCAATTACGATATCTGTTATCAACATCTTTAAACTTGCATTTGGGTTTACAACTGTTTTAGTGTTTAGCAGCTGTTTACTCTCTACAGCTACTCTACTCTGTTAGTCTGAACCACTATACTGGTATAAGTAAACAATCTACTTTGCTACATATTGGTTTAAGTTATTACTTAAGCTAGGGAGTCCATTTATAGCTTGACACAATGACAGACAAAATTCTTAAGTTAATAGATATCGCCTGGTCACTTCTCTAACGAGAATAACAAGCCTGTCCACTTCTCTAAAGAGAATAAGTCAGACACCTGTCAAAAACCAGGGGCGGATCCAGGTATTAAAGTTAGGGGCACAAGAAGTAGGCAGGGGGGGTCCTGAGGTCCCCATTGGGTCCAGGGCAAAACCTACAGCACACTCAGCGAAATGTCGAAGGGACCAAAAATTTTGGTCTTGTGTCCCTCAACATTGATCTGAGATTAGGTGAAATCCTGGTGGCGGCCCAGGGGAAGAAGCTCCTGGATTCTAGAGATTTTGCAGGATAAAAATTTGGTCTAGCTACCAAGCTGAAATTTTTACATTTTCTCGAAAAATTATTTATGCTACCTGACAATTTTTGAAGGAAGTGCACCACCCCCTTTAATCCGCTACTGGAAACAAGTAACGAAAATGAAAATTCTTAAATTCAAAATGAGATGATATTTTCTTCAATCTGAACATAATAAACAAAATATATTATTAATGGAATTTTTTCTCTTATTTCAGGAACTCAAATGATTCATTCCCAGATTTTGTTATTATCTATGAAACAACAGACCCTGACAATCCAGATGAACAAGAAAAATTAGAAACCGAGTTGGAATTAGCATTTCAAAGACAGGTGGCACACATAATAATCGAACCATTCACACTTGGAAAAGACACCGCAAGATGGATAAAAATGGGAAATTTTCTTCACAAATCATGTGTCGTTAGCGGCATCATTTCCTTGATCACAGGGTATTGCAACAAAGATCTTGTTTCATATACATTTGCTGGAGTCAGCTTTTTGACAGCAGGATTATATGCATTGTCTTGGGCAAGTGATCCCTGTTGTAAATATCAGATAGAGAAAAACAAGAGAAGAATTCAAGACCTGCCATTACATGAACTGTCCTCCACATCAGTAGTGGTACTTGTCAGAAGGGACGATGCTCGAAGGAAATACCTACAGAACATTGTCTCCTTCTCCGCTGTGTGTCTCAGTGCTTACAAAGTTTATAATATGTACTACTTATGACATTACAGTCTTGTTTGATTATTATTATATTTCATAATAAAAATATTTGTATTGAAATTTGAGCCTCATTTCATATTATGCACAATGTGATGAAAAGTGAAGTATCAAAATATGCTATATGGGTAAAAAAAAACAAAAAAAAAAAAAAAAAAAAAACAAGAGGCCCATGGGCCACCTCGGTAAATGCTGAAAAGAGGGAGGGATATAGTTATCGGTATGTCCATCCGTCTGTCCATACGTCCGTCCTTCTGTCTGTTACACTTTAGGGTACCCATCTCTTATCCGCAACTCCACTGATACCATATTGTCATTGTGCACCTCCTATTTTACTTTTGAATCTGACACATATTTTGGGTTTTCCAGCCACAGCAATACATGGGCTTTGCTATTATAACTATATGGGAGGTATCTTATGTGAGCTCATTGCTCACAATACCTCTAGTAAACTGTTTAATTGTAAAACTATTTTAAAATGACGATCCTGAAACTTTTTAAACACGAAAACTATGCTACTATTAAGACTTAAAATATTTGCAATGTTTTCAGTTCAAAAAGAATTTCTCTAATAAATTATTTCTTTACACTACAGTTTGCTTCAATTTCAATATAGTCATCCCAGTGGTGCAATGGCTAGAGCATCTCTGTTATAGAGTCACAGAGTAAGTAGTAGGTACTTACGTCATACAGTCAAATCCACGATGGGATGTGAAGACTGGTACTTCGGATGAGACTGTTTTAACTGAGGCCCTATGTTGCAGTGGTTAGGTGTTGGCATGAAAAAGATCCCTCACTGCTTATGTCTCTTAGTTCCAAGTATAAAACAAAACAAAATTTGCAGCTCCTAAATCAGGTGGCCTCTTCATATGAGTGAAAAATTCTGGAGAGGGACATAAAAGCTTTAACAACAAATAAACAACGTACAAATATTTAAAAATCAATTTTAATAAATATTAATAAAAATAATAAGCAATGTAGTGTTGAGAAATAATTTCTCAGAAAAATTTGTGAAAAATTAAGATCCATTCTTTTTCATAATAATTTTACATTCATATTATTGAACATACAATTATGGTTTATATTTTAATAATTACCTTATGTGATTTTTAGCTCACCTCAACAAAGCTGGGGGAGCTTATGTGATACCCTCAGTGTCAGTGACCCAAGTTAAGGTTTTTGGTACAGTTTTCTTAATACTATACCGTATAATCCCTATTAACCGCCGCGGGCGCTTAGAAAATGGCAAAAAGGGGGCGGTTATTTTGGTGTTTTCTTTAAGATATTTAATGTCATATTTTAACTTCAAAAATCGTTTGGAAATAAAAATAAATACAAGAAACAACTAAGATAATGTCTAACTTTTAATTAAAGTGAAGATAATCCACCCAAATTATGCTAAATTCTTCATTTTCCACTGAGAAATTGGATGATAGACAAATTTCATTTTCACTTTTTTCATTTTTAGCTCACCTGAGCTGAAGGCTCAAGTGAGCTTTTCTGATCACATTTTGTCCGGCGTCCGTCTGTCTGTCTGTCTGTAAACTTTTCACATTTTCGACTTCTTCTCATTAAGAACCACTGGGCCAATTTCAACCAAACTTGCCACAAAGCATTCTTGGGTGAAGGGGATTCAAGTTTGTTCAAATGAAGGGCCACGCCCTCATTCAAGGGGAGATAATTGGGAATTAATGAAAATTTGGTGGTATGTTTTAAAAATCTTCTTCTCAAGAACCACTGTGCCAGGAAAGATGAAACTTATGGGGAAACATCCTCAGGTAGTGTGGAAAATTCTTTAAAAATCTTCTTCTCAGGAATAGCCAAGCCAGAATTGATCATATTTATATGGAAGCATACTCAGGTAGTGTAGATTCAAGTTTGTTCAAATCATGACCCCCAGGGGTAGGGCGGGGCCACAATGGCCGACCAAAGTTTTACATAGAAATATATAGGAAAATTCTTTAAAAATCTTCTCAAGAATAGCCAAGCCAGAATTGATCATATTTATAAGGAAGCATCCCCAGGTAGTGTAGATTCAAGTTTGTTCAAATCATGACCCCCGGGGGTAGGGCGGGGCCACAATGGCCGACCAAAGTTTTACATGGAAATATATAGGAAAATTCTTTAAAAATCTTCTTCTCAAGAATAGCCAAGCCAGAATTGATCATATTTATGTGGAAGCATCCTCAGGTAGTGTAGATTCAAGTTTGTTCAAATCATGACCCCTATAATTTTTAATTCTTACATTGCTGGAGGTGGCTTCTGGGACCTATCTGGGCATAATTTGACTTGTTCTCAATATGACACTTTTTAGGAGCCCATTTTGCTAAAAAAAAAAAGAAAGAGAAAATCACAGGAGTAGCATACAGCCTATGATGGTCTAAACTTCCTTGATTTTTGTAATACATCCTTTGCTGTGAATAAAGATTTTTTTTTTTTAAATCGCTTTTTTGTAGCAGTTGTTTGACATTGTTTAGATGTATGCCCTATGGGATACTAAAGTCTGAGTGTCTACAGCTTATAAACTAAATATATGCACGCTGTATATTGCCACCATCCTTAAAAAAATATGCAAGTTTAAGACAGAGTGTGGGACAGGTCACTTTCCAGCTAAATTCTTGAGAGTCCCATGGAGGTTTGGATCCCTCCTCCCCAAGGATCCCAGTCACCCTACTTAGATCCTCGCGTGGGGGGGGGGGGTATATTTAGGACAAAATGCTTTCTTTCTTATCTATGACTTTCCTTAAATTCTATGGTTAAAACTTAACGAATTAGATTTATTGGGAGTCTAGGCCATGCTTGTAATGTTGAAATATAATATGCTGACTTGGTATCCTGCACTCAAAATTAGCACGCAAACAATATAAAAGATTGATATACTAGTATCTAAGTATATCAATAAATATTTTATCATTTACATGTACAATTTATATTCTGTTTAAAGAATAGATACGTATAACATATAATGCAATTTATAACTGTAATTTTAAGTAGTTTATTAAAATACCCACAAGATTTGTTTTCCTACAGTACACTTAATTTCGACGAATTAAGCAATAATGCCAAGGAGGAAAATGAAGGGGGGGGGGGAATTTCTGTTGAAATCTGCAATATACAAATAACAAAAGATTAGTGTACATGCGGCGTTAGTTTATACACATTTCACGATTTAATGACCGCAGTAGAGTAATGAGTGAGGAATAATTAAATCACGTGAGTATGATCTTTGAACATAATTCACCGATTGAATTCACCATGTTCACAAAGTAGTAGCAGGTAAATGCACTGCAGTCTTTCAGATCATTTCATATACAATTTTTCAGTAGAAAATGCTTTACAGGGGCCTAGAGATGATCAAGAATTGAGGTAAATATTCTAAACAGCCGTTAAAGCTGTTGTAATAAAAATATTTTTAAAGAAGTGATTCAATTTCTCTAAAGAAGGTCGTGTATTTATGACATTCCCGCGGTTACACCGCCACTTTCAAACTTATTTTCGCTGGTCAGTTGCATGTAGGTTTACAAGTAACACAATATAGTTTTATTTTATTTATAGTAATATAATGTTAGGGGAAAATTGCACGTTTATGGATTACATGTGCATGTATGTGACATGTACATGTGTGTGGTATGTATTTATTGACTGTACATTCACAGGTTGATTTGGAACCACTTTAGCAATTTGAAGCAAGATCGCAAATGCGATATAACCATGATAACAGCACGTTTGAGTCGTACATGTAATATGAAAAAATAGGACAAAATATATTCGCATTAAATGTTGCAAATATGGATTAAAATTTGAAAAAAAAGAAAGAAGGCTTTCGGTAAAGAGCTTTCTCACATTCTCAAAATGCAACAGTACTCATAAAATCAGTTAAAAACATGGAAAATTGATACCATTTACTAGTATTTCTTTAAAAAATATTATCTCAGAACCACCCAACCCCTTTTTTTCCAGAAACCTAGCAATGTCGCTTATGTATACATCAAGACAGACTTGAGACAAAGTCACATTAATATTTTTATCCTGCCTGGAGGTAGAGCATGTTCTAGGTTAATCGCCAAAACTGTTCTATAATTGGGGGATAAAATAATGCATCTATTTATTTTATGTTTCTTGCAAGTATTTGTAATTTATTTGCATCGGGATCGAAATTGTGAGTTTAAAATTATGACATGTGGCGCGAACAGCAAATTTGGCGTCAGTGGACGGTCAGGTGAGCTTGTTGAAATTCGTCGGGGGAAAACATGATTGAACTAATTTTCACAAAAAATGCAAGTTTTTCTGCAACCTCACAGTTTGTATTAAGATTGATCCCCAAGAAGTTAAGGAACTTCCGAGGGATCAATCTCCTAAACAATGGGCATACAGAAAAACTTGTCAACCAAAAGTTATTCCTTTTTAAGTGTCCTGGATTTACGATACTTATTGCCAAAATAAAAAAAAATTAATTTTTGCACTGTAAATTTATAGCCCATTTGGGATATTATATCCCAAACGGACTATTATATCCCATTTGGGCGATTGGTCCCAACCTGCAGAATAGTGAATTATTATGTTTTATTATATGATTAAATAATTTCCATCTCTCTGATTGGCTGAGATCCAACTATGTTAGAAAAATACTACGTTGTATTGACCTGCACGTGACGTTCCAGGTGAATACAAGGATTTATTTCCTCTACATTGATCTAAAAATAGATCGGGAAATTCCAAATTGATACAAATTGCTTTGGAAAACTAATATGACTGACTATAACATTTTATTTTTCATGTAAGCAAAACATGAGCGAATATATATTTTCGGGTGAGGATGGTAAGAGGGGATGCATGGACCCCCCTCCAACACTTTTACTGAACAATAATTTTACTTTTTGGTTGTCCGTTTTCCCTGATAATATACTCATTCCTTTCACAATCTATCCTATAAAAAAGACTGACATTATTTATCTTTATTGGAAACTGAAATTGATAAAAAAATAAAACATTTCAAATTGATACGACTGGTAAAGTTTATTAACATTTTAATTCTGCTTCTCTCTTGTATTTGACTAGGACTTAATTAAATGCGAACAAGTAATGAGCTGTATCATTTTATCAGTGAATCATATAATAAAACGATTATTGCTATTTTTTTCGGTCAATACAATGATTTAGCCATCTTCGAAGTACAATATTCACCTCGCCCTTCGGGCTTGGTGAATATTGTACTCCTCAGATGGCTAAATCATTGTATTCACCTCAAAAAACAGCAATAATTGTATAGTATTTTGAAAATGTATTGTGCTGTTAGACTGTATCAGTTTGAGACATCAGATCTTGAGTTAGGCTAACTTTGCCTTGAATCAGCTGTGAATTGATAATGCAAATACATTTACTGTCAGGCATTTTAGGGGGTTGAAGGGGGCCTTTTTTTTTTTTTTTGCTCCTTTCTTAATGGCAAAAAGTGTTTTCCCAATTTCATCAAAGAAAATTTCCAATAGACAATCAAAACAAGCAAAATTTGGTTATAAAATGTTGGGACTTGGTAACATATAATCTAAATGATGTTGTTCAAAAAAATATATAAATGGCGTGCTCTGTTACAACGCACTTTGAAAAATTACGCACTTTGAAAATTTTTTTCAAAGTGCGTTAAATTTGGTACCACATCAACGCACTTTACAAAAATAGAATTTCTTTTTCAAAGTGCATTAAAATCGACCATATTAACGCACTTTGAAAAAATGTGTAAGGCTAGGTCAATATTCTTGCAAATCTTAGTTATGATAAATAATTGAACATGTTCAATAACTCATCATTGATGATGAGATAACTCATCATTGATGATGAGGTCACTTCAGGATTTGAAAGTGAGCGATTTTGATTTTTCCATGCTTTGAAAATTCTTTCTCTCTAAAATGTTTTACTGTACTTATTTTTTTCCAGTTTGCATGCATTTTATTTAAACTAAAATTTATTGAAAGTTTTCAATGTTATACCAGTTATGCAAATAAATACATTTGGTGTAGCATAGAAATTGGTGCCGGAAGGGGGGCTTAGGCACACGTACAAATGTTTTACAAAGATATACATAATACAGGCATTGAAAATTGGGGCTTACCTTGGGGGCTTATTGAGGGGGTTCCACTTTCAATTTGCTACTGATGGCTTTGTACAGTGTATAAGAAAAAAAAGTTAAGCTGACAGACCTTCTTCTCGTCTTCTCCTTGTTCTCATTGAGGTTAATTATTAATGTGTACATATAAATTAAAAAAAAGTTTTTTGAAAGATATAATTACATGTATATATTACAAATTGATTCTCTCGGTTACTAAAATCTTAGTCAAGAATTTTTGGTTTTATACATTTTTTTTCAAAGTGCGTTAAATGTCCCCGTGGTAAAAATGTTTATGTACACTCTTAACGCACTTTGAAAAAATTTTCAAAGTGTGTTGAGTGTGTCCCAAATTTAATGCACTTTGAAATTTTTTTTCAAAGTGTGTTGATTTTGTCCCAATTTTAATGCACTTTGAAAAATTTTTTCAAAGTGCGTTGCCACAGTGCTCCAAATACTGATTGAGTGAATGTTGAAGTATTGTATGTATAAACTGACAATGCTGGTAATTGTTTATATTTGTATTCAGCATTAATCATACAAGACTTACAATATTATAATACGCAATCTCTCCTGCAATACAAGTGACTAGATCTACACACCTCCATGCACAACACTTGCGCATCGCACACAGTGTCAGGTTACACATACCTGCACACACTCATACCACACTGCACTCCCCTCCCTTTTGAAAAAGAGGGAGGTACCCCTGTACCTTAATACAACATATGCAAGTAAAAAAGTCAATGAGTACCTTGCAAATAATAAAGAAAAACTATTATTTATTTACATAAATAGAAAAATGACAAAATTATAGGTTTTTTAGCTCACCTGAGCCGAAGGCTCAAGTGAGCTTTTCTGATCACATTTTGTCTGTCATCTGTCCGTCCGTCTGTCTAGCTGTCTGTCTGTCTGTCCGTCTGTAAACTTTTCACATTTTCAACTTCTTCTGAAGAACCACTGGGCCAATTTTGACCAAACTTGGTACAAAGCATCCCTATATGAAGGGAAATTTAAATTATGAAAATGAAGGGCCAAGTCCCCTCACAAATGGAGATAATCAAGAAAAGACAAAAATAGGTTGGGGTCATTAAAAAATCTTCTTCTCAAGAACCACTGGGCCAGAAAAGCTGAAACTTATGTGGAAGCATCCTTAGGTAGTGCAGATTATAAATTGTTAAAATCATGACCCCCGTGGATAGGGCGGGGCCAAAATGGGGAATCAAACTTTTACATAGAAATATATAGGAAAAATCTTTAAAAATCTTCTTCTCAAGAACCACTGGGCCAGAAAAGCTGAAACTTATGTGGAAGCATTCTTAGGTAGTGAAGATTCTAAATTGTAAAAATCATGACCCCCAGGGATAGGGCAGGGCCACAATAGGGAATCAAAGTTTTACATAGAAATATATAGGAAAAATCTTTAAAAATCTTCTCCTCAAGAACCATTGGGCCAGAAAAGCTGAAACTTATGTGGAAGCATCCCAGGGTAGTGTAGATTCCAAATTGTTAAAGACATGACCCCCGGGGGTTGGGCAGGGCCATAATGGGGGATCAAAGTTTTACATAGCAATATATAGGAAAAATCTTTGAAAATCTTCTTCTAAAGAACCACTGAGCCAGAAAAGCTGAAACTTATGTGGAAGCATCCCGGGGTAGCGTAGATTCTAATTTGTTCAAATCATGATCCCCGGGGGTTGGGTGGGGCCACAATGGGGAATCAAAGTTTTACATAGAAATATATAGGAAAAATCTTCTTCGCAAGAACCACTGGGCCAGAAAAGCAGAAACTTATGTGGAAGCATCCTGGGATAGTGTAGATTCTAAATTGTTCTAATCATGTCACCCCCGGGGGTAGGGCGGGGCCACAATGGGGAATCAAAGTTTTACTATGTTGAATCAAAGCATCCTATGGTAGTGTAGATTTCAAATTGTTTAAATTATGGTCAGTTGGGTAGGGTGGGGTCACAATGTGTATAACAAGGGGAAATCTGGTAAAGAACAGAATGTTCAAAGCTTCTCAGGTGAGCGATGGGGCCCATGGGCCTCTTGTTTTTTTTAATTTCAACCAAATGTCACTTTTTTCTCAAATGGAATAGCCCCAGCCCATTGATGTTTTGCCCTCTTTCCGGATTCTGCTGGAAATCAAGCAGCGAGGTTGTCGGCATGACATTTTACTTGCATAAATTTATTCATCAAATCAGAGATGGCATAAAAAATATGCATTTTAATCATTTTTTTGCTCACCAATATGAAGTGGACGGGAATATTAGTAACACCCATGGGATCAGTGCAAGTGTTGGTGTCCCAGATGAAAGTTCTTGGAGCAGACTTCTTTTTAAGTACATCTATGCCCTAGCCCCTAAGGGATGCATGTAAGATGCTTCAAGTATGTTTCATTGTACTAGCCAGGGTTTCAGAGACAACAATTTCAGCTAATTTAAAAGAAAGATCAGGTTAATGTTTTTGAAGCAGGTGTCATTTCCAAGTATTTTGACCTAACTTACAAGAATCGTTCATGTACATCTAAAATAAAATATATGGACGTACACTACCAGGCTTGCCTCGGATGCTGAATCTGGCCTTTATTTTTAATATGAGTGACTAGGTTAAAAGTTTTTTGAGCTAGTCTCATTTCCAAGTAACTATAAGGCCTATTTTGACCATCTTCCATGGATCCATTACCAGGCTTGCTATAGATGCTGAATCCAACCTACATTTTATGGATGAGTGAAAGAGTCAAGATTTTTGGAGCAAGGAAATGTTTGGAAATAGTCATTCTAATATAACTATTTACCTGTTGAATGATCAATCAAATTAGGCCACACCAATAAAATTTTTTGCTCGTCGGTCCCGCTCGTATAAAAACTATGAAAATAATATTAATTTAAATTTTCCGCACCATGGGGATTCTGTGCTATTTTTCTGTTTTATTTCCGTTCTATGTATCGTATTCTTAATCGGCTTACTCTGAAAATAATGAAAAAAAAATTAATTGTCCGCTCAATTTTTTTCTTGATCCGCCTAAAAATGTCGCCTACAAAAAGTAATATTAATATTATTTAACCGCTTGCCTGCTCGTACTTTTTTTCATCAAATGCCCGATGAACAAGAAATTAAATTGGTGTGGCCATAGAGATATAAAGGTTATTCAAATGCAACAATTTTTTTTACCTTGAAGCTTTATTTTGAACTTGAACTTACCTCAGCAAAGTCAAGATGTAGTTATGCTATACCCTGACACCAGCCACAGGGATAGTATTAGTGCCCTGGTAGAGTTTTAGGAGCAAGTCCATGTTCAAGTAAGTATAAGTTGTACCTGGACCAAAATTGCATGGATGATGCATTTAGGAATGGACACTACCAGACTTGCTTCGGATGCTGGATCTGACCTATATTTTCCAGATGAGTGACCAGGTTAAGGTTTTTGGAGCAGGTCCATTTCCAAGAAACTGTAAGTCCTACCTGATCCAAACAAGCATGGATGATGCATCTAGAAATGGACACTACCAGACTTGCTTCAGATGCTTGATCTGACCTACATTTTCCAGATGAGTGATGAAATTATTCCCAACTCAGCCCTACCCTGACCAAACTTGCATGGATGATGCATCTAAAGATGGACATTTGAAACTTGCTTCGGATGCTGGATCTGACCTGCATTTTTCAAACAAGTGACCAGGTGCAAGTATTTGGAAAACATCAATCCTCAATGAATTTTAAAACCTATTTAAACAGAATTTGCTTGAATATTGTTGTCAGGATAAATACTAACTGTTAAGGAAATATGATGTGAATTTTGGATTACTTAAACTGATAACATTCATTGAGGTGAGCTTCATAATCTTTGATTATCTATGCTTTTAAATGAAGTTTCATACTTGATATGAAATGAGAGTGTCTCCCCTTTGATGTGTCTGTTTTCTCTTTATAAGAGCAGAAGAAAGTTGAGGCTGACCAGGATCCTGAAGTGAGGAGTATTCCCTCTCCTGTTTAACAGCATTCATGAGCAGAAAGTGGGGGTATGATTCATACTTGACTTCTTTGCACCTTTTCCCAATATTTTGGCTTTCCAATTTGGTGTTGGCTTTGTCAGGCTTTGACCTCTTGATTTTGAATTGACAGGAAGCAGAGATGCTGAGACAGTTCAGAAGAAACATCACCAGGAGCCACAGCAACAGCAAAGGAAGCTTATATGGAAGTATTTTTGATTTTCTCCCTTCTTTCCTCTGCCCCCTGCTGACTCTAACATTACTAACCATCCACTTCCCTTTCCCCCTCATTCGTCTTCCTGAATTCAGTCAATGTTTTCTGATTTTTCAATGAATTGTGTTGTACTGATTTTATTCACGTGAATTTTTGTGATTTGTTGCATTGTTTTGAAGTTTTACTAACATTGTGCCAGTTTTATACTTTCAGGGTTTCAGAAGAGGAACAACGATGGAGGAGCAGGGTCGACCAACAGAAGGAGACGAGATGACGAGTCCATTTCCCATCTCTACACAGCAGCCAACATGGCCCAAAGTGGTAAGTAACTTTTCGTGATTTGTTGCATTGTTTTGAAGTTTTACTAACATTGTGCCAGTTTTATACTTTCAGGGTTTCGGAAGAGGAACAACGATGGAGGAGCAAGGTCGACCAACAGAAGGAGACGAGATGACGAGTCCATTTCCCATCTCTACACAGCAGCCAACATGGCCCAAAGTGGTAAGTAACTTTTCGTGATTTGTTGCATTGTTTTGAAGTTTTACTAACATTGTGCCAGTTTTATACTTTCAGTTTCAGAAGAGGAACAACGATGGAGGAGCAGGGTCGACCAACAGAAGGAGACGAGATGACGAGTCCATTTCCCATCTCTACACAGCAGCCAACATGGCCCAAAGTGGTAAGTAACTTTTCGTGTTTTGTTGCATTGTTTTGAAGTTTTACTAACATTGTACCAGTTTTATACTTTCAGGGTTACTCGGAAGAGGAACAACGATGGAGGAGCAGGGTCGACCAACAGAAGGAGACGAGATGACGAGTCCATTTCCCATCTCTATACAGCAGCCAACATGGCCCAAAGTGGTAAGTAACTTTTCGTGATTTGTTGCATTGTTTTGAAGTTTTACTAACATTGTGCCAGTTTTATACTTTCAGGGTTTCAGAAGAGGAACAACGATGGAGGAGCAGGGTCGACCAACAGAAGGAGACGAGATGACGAGTCCATTTCCCATCTCTACACAGCAGCCAACATGGCCCAAAGTGGTAAGTAACTTTTCGTGATTTGTTGCATTGTTTTGAAGTTTTACTAACATTGTGCCAGTTTTATACTTTCAGGTACTCGGAAGAGGAACAACGATGGAGGAGCAAGGTCGACCAACAGAAGGAGACGAGATGACGAGTCCATTTCCCATCTCTATACAGCAGCCAACATGGCCCAAAGTGGTAAGTAACTTTTCGTGATTTGTTGCATTGTTTTGAAGTTTTACTAACATTGTGCCAGTTTTATACTTTCAGGGTTTCAGAAGAGGAACAACGATGGAGGAGCAAGGTCGACCAACAGAAGGAGACGAGATGACGAGTCCATTTCCCATCTCTACACAGCAGCCAACATGGCCCAAAGTGGTAAGTAACTTTTCGTGATTTGTTGCATTGTTTTGAAGTTTTACTAACATTGTGCCAGTTTTATACTTTCAGGGTTTCGGAAGAGGAACAACGATGGAGGAGCAGGGTCGACCAACAGAAGGAGACGAGATGACGAGTCCATTTCCCATCTCTACACAGCAGCCAACATGGCCCAAAGTGGTAAGTAACTTTTCGTGATTTGTTGCATTGTTTTGAAGTTTTACTAACATTGTGCCAGTTTTATACTTTCAGGGTTTCGGAAGAGGAACAACGATGGAGGAGCAGGGTCGACCAACAGAAGGAGACGAGATGACGAGTCCATTTCCCATCTCTATACAGCAGCCAACATGGCCCAAAGTGGTAAGTAACTTTTCGTGATTTGTTGCATTGTTTTGAAGTTTTACTAACATTGTGCCAGTTTTATACTTTCAGGGTTTCAGAAGAGGAACAACGATGGAGGAGCAGGGTCGACCAACAGAAGGAGACGAGATGACGAGTCCATTTCCCATCTCTACACAGCAGCCAACATGGCCCAAAGTGGTAAGTAACTTTTCGTGATTTGTTGCATTGTTTTGAAGTTTTACTAACATTGTGCCAGTTTTATACTTTCAGGGTTTCAGAAGAGGAACAACGATGGAGGAGCAGGGTCGACCAACAGAAGGAGACGAGATGACGAGTCCATTTCCCATCTCTACACAGCAGCCAACATGGCCCAAAGTGGTAAGTAACTTTTCGTGATTTGTTGCATTGTTTTGAAGTTTTACTAACATTGTGCCAGTTTTATACTTTCAGGGATTTGGAAGAGGAACAACGATGGAGGAGCAGGGTCGACCAACAGAAGGAGATGAGATGACGAGTCCATTTCCCATCTCTACACAGCAGCCAACATGGCCCAAAGTGGTAAGTAACTTTTCGTGATTTGTTGCATTGTTTTGAAGTTTTACTAACATTGTGCCAGTTTTATACTTTCAGGGTTTTGGAAGAGGAACAACGATGGAGGAGCAGGGTCGACCAACAGAAGGAGACGAGATGACGAGTCCATTTCCCATCTCTATACAGCAGCCAACATGGCCCAAAGTGGTAAGTAACTTTTCGTGATTTGTTGCATTGTTTTGAAGTTTTACTAACATTGTGCCAGTTTTATACTTTCAGGGTTTCAGAAGAGGAACAACGATGGAGGAGCAGGGTCGACCAACAGAAGGAGACGAGATGACGAGTCCATTTCCCATCTCTACACAGCAGCCAACATGGCCCAAAGTGGTAAGTAACTTTTCGTGATTTGTTGCATTGTTTTGAAGTTTTACTAACATTGTGCCAGTTTTATACTTTCAGGGACTCGGAAGAGGAACAACGATGGAGGAGCAGGGTCGACCAACAGAAGGAGACGAGATGACGAGTCCATTTCCCATCTCTACACAGCAGCCAACATGGCCCAAAGTGGTAAGTAACTTTTCGTGATTTGTTGCATTGTTTTGAAGTTTTACTAACATTGTGCCAGTTTTATACTTTCAGGGTTTCGGAAGAGGAACAACGATGGAGGAGCAGGGTCGACCAACAGAAGGAGACGAGATGACGAGTCCATTTCCCATCTCTATACAGCAGCCAACATGGCCCAAAGTGGTAAGTAACTTTTCGTGATTTGTTGCATTGTTTTGAAGTTTTACTAACATTGTGCCAGTTTTATACTTTCAGGGTTTCGGAAGAGGAACAACGATGGAGGAGCAGGGTCGACCAACAGAAGGAGACGAGATGACGAGTCCATTTCCCATCTCTACACAGCAGCCAACATGGCCCAAAGTGGTAAGTAACTTTTCGTGATTTGTTGCATTGTTTTGAAGTTTTACTAACATTGTGCCAGTTTTATACTTTCAGGGTTTCAGAAGAGGAACAACGATGGAGGAGCAGGGTCGACCAACAGAAGGAGACGAGATGACGAGTCCATTTCCCATCTCTACACAGCAGCCAACATGGCCCAAAGTGGTAAGTAACTTTTCGTGATTTGTTGCATTGTTTTGAAGTTTTACTAACATTGTGCCAGTTTTATACTTTCAGGGTTTCGGAAGAGGAACAACGATGGAGGAGCAGGGTCGACCAACAGAAGGAGACGAGATGACGAGTCCATTTCCCATCTCTACACAGCAGCCAACATGGCCCAAAGTGGTAAGTAACTTTTCGTGATTTGTTGCATTGTTTTGAAGTTTTACTAACATTGTGCCAGTTTTATACTTTCAGGGTTTCAGAAGAGGAACAACGATGGAGGAGCAGGGTCGACCAACAGAAGGAGACGAGATGACGAGTCCATTTCCCATCTCTATACAGCAGCCAACATGGCCCAAAGTGGTAAGTAACTTTTCGTGATTTGTTGCATTGTTTTGAAGTTTTACTAACATTGTGCCAGTTTTATACTTTCAGGGTTTCGGAAGAGGAACAACGATGGAGGAGCAGGGTCGACCAACAGAAGGAGACGAGATGACGAGTCCATTTCCCATCTCTACACAGCAGCCAACATGGCCCAAAGTGGTAAGTAACTTTTCGTGATTTGTTGCATTGTTTTGAAGTTTTACTAACATTGTGCCAGTTTTATACTTTCAGGGTTTCGGAAGAGGAACAACGATGGAGGAGCAGGGTCGACCAACAGAAGGAGACGAGATGACGAGTCCATTTCCCATCTCTACACAGCAGCCAACATGGCCCAAAGTGGTAAGTAACTTTTCGTGATTTGTTGCATTGTTTTGAAGTTTTACTAACATTGTGCCAGTTTTATACTTTCAGGGTTTCAGAAGAGGAACAACGATGGAGGAGCAGGGTCGACCAACAGAAGGAGACGAGATGACGAGTCCATTTCCCATCTCTACACAGCAGCCAACATGGCCCAAAGTGGTAAGTAACTTTTCGTGATTTGTTGCATTGTTTTGAAGTTTTACTAACATTGTGCCAGTTTTATACTTTCAGGGTTTCGGAAGAGGAACAACGATGGAGGAGCAGGGTCGACCAACAGAAGGAGACGAGATGACGAGTCCATTTCCCATCTCTACACAGCAGCCAACATGGCCCAAAGTGGTAAGTAACTTTTCGTGATTTGTTGCATTGTTTAGAAGTTTTACTAACATTGTGCCAGTTTTATACTTTCAGGGTTTCAGAAGGGAAACAACGATGGAGGAGCAGGGTCGACCAACAGAAGGAGACGAGATGACGAGTCCATTTCCCATCTCTACACAGCAGCCAACATGGCCCAAAGTGGTAAGTAACTTTTCGTGATTTGTTGCATTGTTTTGAAGTTTTACTAACATTGTGCCAGTTTTATACTTTCAGGGTTTCAGAAGAGGAACAACGATGGAGGAGCAGGGTCGACCAACAGAAGGAGACGAGATGACGAGTCCATTTCCCATCTCTATACAGCAGCCAACATGGCCCAAAGTGGTAAGTAACTTTTCGTGATTTGTTGCATTGTTTTGAAGTTTTACTAACATTGTGCCAGTTTTATACTTTCAGGGTTTCAGAAGAGGAACAACGATGGAGGAGCAGGGTCGACCAACAGAAGGAGACGAGATGACGAGTCCATTTCCCATCTCTACACAGCAGCCAACATGGCCCAAAGTGGTAAGTAACTTTTCGTGATTTGTTGCATTGTTTTGAAGTTTTACTAACATTGTGCCAGTTTTATACTTTCAGGGACTCGGAAGAGGAACAACGATGGAGGAGCAGGGTCGACCAACAGAAGGAGACGAGATGACGAGTCCATTTCCCATCTCTATACAGCAGCCAACATGGCCCAAAGTGGTAAGTAACTTTTCGTGATTTGTTGCATTGTTTTGAAGTTTTACTAACATTGTGCCAGTTTTATACTTTCAGGGTTTCGGAAGAGGAACAACGATGGAGGAGCAGGGTCGACCAACAGAAGGAGACGAGATGACGAGTCCATTTCCCATCTCTATACAGCAGCCAACATGGCCCAAAGTGGTAAGTAACTTTTCGTGATTTGTTGCATTGTTTTGAAGTTTTACTAACATTGTGCCAGTTTTATACTTTCAGGTACTCGGAAGAGGAACAACGATGGAGGAGCAGGGTCGACCAACAGAAGGAGACGAGATGACGAGTGCATTTCCCATCTCTATACAGCAGCCAACATGGCCCAAAGTGGTAAGTAACTTTTCGTGATTTGTTGCATTGTTTTGAAGTTTTACTAACATTGTGCCAGTTTTATACTTTCAGGGTTTCGGAAGAGGAACAACGATGGAGGAGCAGGGTCGACCAACAGAAGGAGACGAGATGACGAGTCCATTTCCCATCTCTACACAGCAGCCAACATGGCCCAAAGTGGTAAGTAACTTTTCGTGATTTGTTGCATTGTTTTGAAGTTTTACTAACATTGTGCCAGTTTTATACTTTCAGGGTTTTGGAAGAGGAACAACGATGGAGGAGCAGGGTCGACCAACAGAAGGAGACGAGATGACGAGTCCATTTCCCATCTCTATACAGCAGCCAACATGGCCCAAAGTGGTAAGTAACTTTTCGTGATTTGTTGCATTGTTTTGAAGTTTTACTAACATTGTGCCAGTTTTATACTTTCAGGGTTTCGGAAGAGGAACAACGATGGAGGAGCAAGGTCGACCAACAGAAGGAGACGAGATGACGAGTCCATTTCCCATCTCTACACAGCAGCCAACATGGCCCAAAGTGGTAAGTAACTTTTCGTGTTTTGTTGCATTGTTTTGAAGTTTTACTAACATTGTGCCAGTTTTATACTTTCAGGACTCGGAAGAGGAACAACGATGGAGGAGCAAGGTCGACCAACAGAAGGAGACGAGATGACGAGTCCATTTCCCATCTCTATACAGCAGCCAACATGGCCCAAAGTGGTAAGTAACTTTTCGTGATTTGTTGCATTGTTTTGAAGTTTTACTAACATTGTGCCAGTTTTATACTTTCAGGTACTCGGAAGAGAAACAACGATGGAGGAGCAGGGTCGACCAACAGAAGGAGACGAGATGACGAGTCCATTTCCCATCTCTACACAGCAGCCAACATGGCCCAAAGTGGTAAGTAACTTTTCGTGATTTGTTGCATTGTTTTGAAGTTTTACTAACATTGTGCCAGTTTTATACTTTCAGGGACTCGGAAGAGGAACAACGATGGAGGAGCAAGGTCGACCAACAGAAGGAGACGAGATGACGAGTCCATTTCCCATCTCTACACAGCAGCCAACATGGCCCAAAGTGGTAAGTAACTTTTCGTGATTTGTTGCATTGTTTTGAAGTTTTACTAACATTGTGCCAGTTTTATACTTTCAGGGTTTCGGAAGAGGAACAACGATGGAGGAGCAGGGTCGACCAACAGAAGGAGACGAGATGACGAGTCCATTTCCCATCTCTACACAGCAGCCAACATGGCCCAAAGTGGTAAGTAACTTTTCGTGATTTGTTGCATTGTTTTGAAGTTTTACTAACATTGTGCCAGTTTTATACTTTCAGGGTTTCGGAAGAGGAACAACGATGGAGGAGCAGGGTCGACCAACAGAAGGAGACGAGATGACGAGTCAATTTACCATCTCGACACAGCAGCCAACATGGCCCAAAGTGGTAAGCGTGATTTGTTGCATTGTTTTGAAGTTTTACTAACATTGTGCCAGTTTTATAACTCAGGAACAACGATGGAGGAGCAAGGTCGACCAACAGAAGGAGATGAGATGACGAGTCCATTTCCCATCTCTACACAGCAGCCAACATGGCCCAAAGTGGTGAGTAACAAATTTCTTATTTAAATGAAGTTTGTCACTTGTTAGGGAATGAGAGTGATTCCCCTTTGATGTGTTTGTTTTCTCTTTTTAAGCAGAAGAAAGTTTAGGCTGACCAGGATCCTGAAGTGAGGAACAGTCCCTCTCCCATTTAACAGCATTCATGAGCAGAAAGTGCGGTAAGATTCATACCCGATCTCTTTGCACCTTTTCCCAATATTCTTGCTTTCCAATTGATGTTGGCTTTGTTAGGCTTTACCTCACTTTTAATTTCAGCTTCTTCTTTAACCGCTCAACCAATTTCAACCAGTTTTGGGATTAAGCATTTATGGGTGAATGGGAAGAAAAATTGTGAATTTCATGGTCTCCCCCCCCCCTCCCGAGGCCTGAGGGGTGGGACAATCTTTAAAAATCTTCTTCTTTATTCCTGGACTTATTAAGCAGTCTGTTTGCATGATTGTAATCAACTTTGAGTCCTCTACCAAAAATGTGAAATTCATGGCCCCTTGATCAGGGGTTCTTGTGTAAGGGCAGGGATAAATCAATTAAATAGTGAAAAAAGTGCATTATTTCTTTAAAAATCTTCTTCTCTACTCATGGGCAATAGATAAACTAACCAGGTACATAATTATGTTGAATAAGGCTGCCTCTTTCAAAATTGCGAATTTCATTTGGTCCCAGGGTCAGGGGTTCTGTTGTAAGGGTGAAGTTTGTTTGATATACACTTTATACAGGGTTATTTTCGCTCCATGTTATTTTCGCCCTTTCACACATAGAAAATATTTTGCCCAGTTTTATATTTGCCCAGTTACAATTCTTTCTAAGAAATCATTCTGTGTTTTATAAATTCAACCCCGTTTTAAATTCACCCTCATGTGTGTAGGGCAGATGGGGAGAAGATAAAACGGGGGCAAACATTTCCCTGTATACAGTAGTGAAATTGCATTTTTTCTTTGAAAATCTTCTCTTCTCCTGGATAACAAACTAATCATGTACATAGTTATGATGAGCAAGAAAGTCTCTTCCAAAATTGTGAATCTCATGGACCCTGGGTCAGGGAATCTGGTGTTAGGGTGGGGCTCTATTGATTATTTAGTGAAAAGGCATAATTTTTTGAAAATCTTCTCTACTACTGGGTATTAAACAAACTAAGTACATAGTTATGATGAGCTAGAATGCCTCTTTCAAAATTGTGAATTTTATGGCCTCTGTGTTGAGTGTTTTGGAGTTAGGGCAGGGCTCTATTGATTATATAGTGAAAATACATTAATTCATTAAAATCTTGTACTCTGCTCCTGGGTATGAAATAAACTAACCAAGTACATAGTTATATTGAATAATGCTGCCTCTTCCAAAATTGTGAATTTCATAGCCCCTGGGTCAACGGTTCTGGTGTAAGGGCGGGGCTCTATTGATTATATAGTGAAAATGCATATATTCTTTAAAAATCTCCTCCTCTGCTCCTGGGTATTAAACCAATAAATTATGTACATAGTAATGATGAGGAAGGATGCCTATTTCAATTTGTGAAAAGTCTCAAATCAGTTTGCAAGGAAAGATGAAACTCGTGTGGATTTATTGTTAGGTAGTGTAGTGGTTGAATAAGGAGGTTGCTGACTCTGCATCGTTGAAGATGGTGGAATAAGCATTTGGAGGAAGCTGGACATATTGGATTGGAACAACATGCCAACAATGCTGGAATGGAGGTATTTCTTAAAAGTTAGAGAATAGCAGAGGTAAGTTTGTTTTATTATTATTTTGACACACCTACTGAGTACTAACATTTCTGATATTTATCATTAGGGGTCTATGTGGTCCTTCGTGTTTATGGGTCCCATCGGTTGTTCGCGATGGCCACCTTTGACGGTCAGTCTGGAGTGTTTCCTGCTGCAGTTGGAAGGTAAGAAGTGTATAGTAGTTGTAAGTAGCGTTACCAAGGTGTTTCTTAGTGTTAGGTTTAGTTTGGTGTTGTAGTTTGAGTTAGTAAGTAGGCTTTAGTTGTTAGTTAGACAGCTTAGAGTTCTTTAGGAGTGTAGGTTATTATTGTAATTAAGGTATTTGTTAGTTAGTGCATGATTAGTGCTTGTGGTGGATAGGTTTGCATGATTAACACCCTAACAAGCAGGGTTCTCCATGAGCTGTTTTACTGTGTTGGTCCCGACACAGAAAAATGTTCTCCGACACAGTAATGATTCAAATTTTATCTGTGTGAACAGGAAAAATTTTGCCAACACAGTAAGATCTGTGATAATAAGAAAATCGAAACATACAAATTCTCTGTATCTGAAACATTATTAATCAAACAATTCTACCGTCTTTCAATTCTAAAAGATATCTAGAGCACTTAATTACGGTTTCACCTTGCGTAATCAATTATTTCCTACACCCTTGCCAGACTTTACGCATGAAAGAACAAAGGCAAATAATTGGTTTTCATACTTCCATGTAACGGTTAATTGGTACTAGTAGTTGCAATTAAAGTACATTGTATTATTTTTAGAAATATATTTAAATGTCTTTTCTATAGAGCAATGGCTCTAGAATTACTGTAGATCACTAAATTTTCGCGACACCTTATTTTGCGAGATAGTCATTGACTCTTGATAAGCGAGACAAAATTTCACGAATTGTGGTCATTGCTCTATATAATTTTAAGGAATACTATTATACGCGAGAATTAAATTTTGGCTAGCACACTATCTTGCGTAATTACACGAAAATAAAGTTCACACAAATAAAAAGTGATTTACAGTATGTTGGCAATGTAAATCAAACATAACACTGTACCGAAATCATTTACTTGATGTAAATAAATAGTTTTAAATTTTCAAGGAACTTTTAAAAGTATTTTACTATTCCGAAGTTTTTTTTTTTTGTAATTCCTTAATTTGATCAAGAAAATTGACAAAAAAAAAAACAAATTTGCTTTAAAAAATTGTAAGTAGTTTAACTTTATCGACAAGAATTTCCTCTGCATTTCACAATATGTGCTCATATGTTCGACCATACTATTTTTGTAACGAATTAGCAATTTTTTTTTTTCAAAAGTGTTAAAAGTGTGTGCATGTATTCTTAAGTAATTATAATGAATAGTGATTCAGTTGCAAATTTGATCGCTAAAATACTGTGAAATTTTAGTGCTTTGCGTAAACTCTGCAACACAGTAAAATTTCAAACGATGGAGAACCCTGCACAAGTAACAAGCTACTAAAACTACTAACGTCTGCTAAATGTTGTGTGATGCGTCTAGTGTGTTGGTGTTAGTGTGTGTGTGCTTGTCACCTCTCGCTTTCATCCATCACCGCTGGCTAGCAGCAATGTGAAAAGGGAAGGAATTTTTATGTCTTCCCCTGCCAGAACATAGCCTCTCCACAACAAGTCCTATGCGATGCCTCCACGTGGAAGCAGATGGATACTGGGTACCATTTGGTCCCAGGCTAAGTTCGCAAGGGCGCACTGGAAGATGAGTCTCAAAAGCATTGGTAAACATCTTATCTAGGAAAGAAAACTGATCACAAACCCTATTTAGTAGAAGAATCAATTGATATAAGTGCTGGTTTTTAAAAGAAGTTAACCTTTGTTCATTTTATGTCTTTGTCATCTTTTTTGTAAAATTTCACATTTTCATCTTCATCAAAATTCAAGGAAACTTGGCAAAGAGTATCCTTGGATAAATGCCATTATGGGATTTAAGTTTATTCAAATGAAGGCCCACTCCCTGATCAAACGGAAGATTACTACAAATAAGTGAAAAAAATAAGGACATCTTTTAAAAATCTTCTTTTCAAGAACCACTGAGACAGGAAAGAGACACTTAAGTGGCATCATCCTAAGGTAGTGTAGGTAGTGTAGATTCATAGTCAAATCAAGACCCCATGTTGGGGTCAGAATAGGGGATCAAAAATATATATTATACTGTAGATTCCTTATTTTTCGCGTGTAATTATTATCGCGAATAGGCTTTTCACTCTCAAATTACGAGAATGATAATTCGAATGGATGGTTGGTTAAAAGATTTTACATAGATTTCAGCTCCATAAAAATAAAGGCGAGTAATTTAATTTTGTGTTTGATGCCCCTCGCGAAATTACGCGATAATTACTTCCACGCATATATTTAGGAATCTACAGTATGTACCCAGGGATATACATAATTTTTTTAGCTCTACTGGTCAGAGACCAAAAATATGCGATAGTAATGCGTCCGTCGTCCGTCCGTCTGTCTGTTGTCTGTCTGTAAACAATTTTTCAAAATGCTACTCCTCCTACAGTTTTGGTCCAATTTCAATATAACTTGGCACACAGAGACCAGAAGAGCTTATGCGATAGTAATGCGTCCGTCGTCCGTCCGTCTGTCTGTCTGTCTGTCTGTAAACAATTTTTCAAAATGCTACTCCTCCTACAGTTTTGGTCCAATTTCAATATAACTTGGCACAAAAGTAGACTACACTAAGATACATAATTTTGTGCATCGGTTTTTGATTTCGATGAACGGTGTTGCCATGGTTACTAAAAATAGAAATTTCTGTGAAATTCTTTCAAAATGCTACTCCTCCTACAGTTTTGGTCTGATTTCAATATAACTTGGCACAAAAGTAGACTACACTAAGATACATAATTCTGTGCATCGGTTTTTGATTTCGATGAACGGTGTTGCTGTGGTTACTAAAAATAGAAATTTCTTTGAAATTCTTTCAAAATGCTACTCCTCCTACAGTTTTGGTCCAATTTCAATATTACTTGGCACACAAGTAGACTACACTAAAATACATAATTCTGTGCATCGGTTTTTGATTTCGATGAACGGTGTTGCCGTGGTTACTAAAAATAGAAATTTCTTTGAAATTCTTTCAAAATGCTACTCCTCCTACAGTTTTGGTCTGATTTCAATATAACTTGGCACAAAAGTAGACTACACTAAGATACATAATTCTGTGCATCGGTTTTTGATTTTGATGAACGGTGTGCTTGCTGTGGTTACTAAAAATAGAAATTTCTTTGAAATTCTTTCAAAATGCTACTCCTCCTACAGTTTTGGTCCAATTTCAATATTACTTGGCACACAAGTAGACTACACTAAAATACATAATTCTGTGCATCGGTTTTTGATTTCAATGAACGGTGTTGCTGTGGTTACTAAAAATAGAAATTTCTTTGAAATTCTTTCAAAATGCTAATCCTCCTACAGATTTGGTCTGATTTCAGTATAACTTGGCACACAAGTAGACTACACTAAGATACATAATTCTGTGCATTGGTTTTTGATTTCGATAAACGGTGTTGCTGTGGTTACTAAAAATAGAAATTTCTGTGAAATTCTTTCAAAATGCTACTCCTCCTACAGTTTTGGTCCAATTTCATTATAACTTGGCACACAAGTAGACTACACTAAGATACATAATTCTGTGCATCGGTTTTTGATTTCGATGAACGGTGTTGCTGTGGTTACTAAAAATAGAAATTTCTTTGAAATTCTTTCAAAATGCTACTCCTCCTACAGTTTTGGTCCAATTTCAATATTACTTGGCACACAAGTAGACTACACTAAGATACATAATTCTGTGCATCGGTTTTTGATTTCGATAAACGGTGTTGCCGTGGTTACTAAAAATAGAAATTTCTGTGAAATTCTTTCAAAATGCTACTCCTCCTACAGTTTTGGTCTGATTTTGATATAACTTGGCATACAAGTAGACTACACTAAGATACATAATTCTGTGTATTGGTTTTTGATTTCAATGAACAATGTTGCCATGGTTACTAAAAATAGAAATTTCTGTGAAATTCTTTCGAAATGCTACTCCTCCTGCAGTTTTGGTCTGATTTCAGTATAACTTGGCACACAAGTAGACTATACTAAGATACATAATTCTATGCATTGGTTTTTATTTTGATGAGTGGCAAGGATCATTTTTCTATTTATTGCTGATTTAAAGTCTCAAGTCCCAACTGCTACTTTTCTCTTCCTTTGTTTTAAGTATAAACCAGTAGAGCTACAGTCTCGACAGAGACTTCTGGTTTCTCAAGCCACAATTAGTCATATTGATATCATCCTTTTTGGTAGTGAAGATTTCATTTTGTTCAAATCATGTCTACCGGGGAAAGGTTTGGGCCACAATGGACAATCAAAGTTTTACACTGGATTATATTGGAAATATCTTTAGAAATCTCAGAAACAAAAATGTCATGACTGGTGATATGTATATGCTAGCATCTTCATGTAGTGTAGATTTAAGTTTGTTCAAATCATGACTCCCATGTGTAGGGCAGAGCCCCAATGGTGGATCAAAATGGACAAGGGAATATATAGGAAACGTCCTCTCAATAATACCAAAGCCATATATACGAGGGTTGATCCAAATTCGATAAAATTTCTACTAGACTACGTAAATCAACGAAATTATACATAATCGAAGCTATATTTATTACAAATCAGTCCTGAAAAATTCAAATTAAAATGATTTATACTTTTTAAAATATCGAATTATATACAAAGTGCAATTACGGTAGTCGCCGCACCTAAATAACGTCATATGACGGATACGCACCGTCATACACTTGAACGCTTACCCTTTGTTTCGTATTCAAATATTTGAGATTTACAAACACATTCACACATCTTTTTATAAGAATTATTGGCACCCATTGTACACTCACTCTATATATAATTTAGTCTTCTGTCAAAATTCTTGAATAGTATCATAAGACAAACTTAAAGTTCTCATATCGCTGTAACTGTCTAACCGTCTTTATTTTTGGACACCGTCAGACACAAGTGAACGTTTCCGTCCGACCTCCCTTATTCGGTCTTTCTGTCCTTTGCTGATCATTCAGTGACCCATGACCCGCTAAAATCGCTGAAACCATTTACAAACAAGCCTTTTATTTATATTATCTCCTCTGTATGTCTGATTAATCATCGTAACTGTTTCTACGGGCGATTTCCCCATTTTGTAGCAAAAATGCATCACAGCTCGTTTCAGTGGTTATTCTCCATTTCCTTTGTGCAATACAGCAGATTAAGACAACAATGTTTATTATGAAAAAGCAATGACGTCATTTTATTTTCAACTTAATGCTAGAAAATGTCGAAAAATTTTGTCTTTTAAAAATATTTGGCGATTAGATGCTTTTATAGATGCTTTTTAATGTGTTTGTCTTTTCTCATTCTAAGAATTTACACTTTGTACACTCTACAAAACGTGACGGTTACTTGTGACGCGGCGACTGACCCCTTATGTTTAATATTTTAAATGTCTAAAAAATTAATTTAATTAAACATTATTCAATGAAAATTTCAAGTTTGATTAGATTTATTTTTATGCATCTTTTGGTATAAAATATTTGATAATATGACGCCAAATATTAAAGATATTGACACAGTGACATTACTTTTGGATCAACCCTCGTAGTCATATTGATATGGGAGCATCCTTAGGTAGTGTAGATTCACTTTTGTCCAAATCTTTATTCCAGGGGGCAGGGAGGGGCATCAATGGGGATAAAATTTTAACAAAGGAATACATGTATATAGAAAAAAAATTTATGTTCAAGAACAGCTAAGCCATTGTTATTGATATGAAAATGTCTCAAGGTAGTTATTCTAAAATTTATACTTTTCAATACTGGACTAATTTGTGCATTTACTAGCCAATATGCTTAGGTGAGCATATCGCCCATTGGCCACTTGTTTATTTTAGAAATCTTCTCACTTGGTATGAAGTGCCAATGATCCCCTTTTGGTGTCTGTTTTTATCATTTTAAGCAGAATAATGTTAGGGTTGAACAGGATCCTGAAGTGAGGAAGACTCACTCTCCCATTGAACTGCAGACATCAGCAGAAAGCAGAGGAAGATTCAGAACTTGACTTCTTGTATCTTTGCTTGCCAATTGATGTTTGCTGTACCAAGCTTTAACCTCAGGACTTTCAACAGATTTCAGTTCCTCTTTAATTCAGAAGAGGAGCAACAATGGAGGACCAAGGTCATTAATATAAGAAGAGTCTATTCCTGTCTGTGTTTTGAAGGCATTGTGTTTCAAAAGTGGTTAGCAACAAGCTGCTTTTTACTGAAGCTTCTAACTTGATATGAAGTGAAAGTGTTTCCCCTTTTATGTCTCTGTTTTATCTTTTCAAGCAGAAGAAAGTTAAGACTGACTAAGAATTCTAAGTGAGGAACAGTCCCTTTCCCATTCTGCTGCAGCCATGAGGAGAATATTTGTACTTCTTTTTTTACCTATGGAACTTCATCAGGACCCACTTTAACAAGCAGGAGTCTTACAAGTATTTTTGTTTAATTATTTCTGACGTATTTTTGTCCTCCCTTCTCTAAAGTAACTATGCATTCCTCTCCTTGCCCCAATAATCCACCTTATTCCTATCATAACCTTATTGTCTTAATTTGCTCTTTGATTTTCCAGCTAATAATGTTGTAATGATTATGATCATTTGAGTTTCTTTGATTATTACATTGCTTTGAATTATTGCTTATCTTCTCTCCATCAAGTATTTTAAAGGGATTTGACAAGGGAAGAAGGAAGAAGACCAGTGCTGACCAAGAGAAGAAGAGTCCATTGCCAAGCTTTGTCCAGCAGCCAATATCTGATAACGGAGTGAGTAAAAAGCTCTTTTTTTCGCAACTTTCAAATTTTCTTTTAATTATACACTTATTCAAATCATAGGTTCAGGGTGATTTACTTCTGCAGCACAACAGCAACCATGTTGCAATCTAAAGCATCCTGAGGATGTCTTGATTCAAATTAGGTTACATCATGATCCCTTTGGACTAGGATTAGTAAAAATATGAATTAAGATTTTTTTTCTTTTGATGACAAGGTCAAGATGATTCAGGTGAACATTTTGGCACAAGGTCTCCTTCATTATTTTCAATGATCTTTAGATTTTTCTTTGTTAACAGGCAGAAGATGAGACTGACCTCAACTTGTTAACAAGACTGGAGATGAAGGACTAACTACTGTCTAACCTGAAATCTTTGGTAAGTCAGTTGTATGTCAAGCTCGAGACCTTGTGTTATGTGAATTAAATGAGATTATGACACTCGCATTTCTTGAATTTCTAGTTTCTTTTTTTGTTAATAGGTAGGGGTTTATGCTGGCATTGATCTGTTTCCAAAAGCAGCTCGCCATGTTTCTGTGAGAGTCCAAAGAGATCAGCTAGAACCTGAAAATAAAGGTAAGATACAAGCTCTGCAAACTCCTTCTAATCTGTGAAAATATGTTAGCCTTTTTTCATTTATTAAGATTTTATTAATATTTTTTTGATCCCTCATGATTTGTTATCTTTACAGACAGACTGCCATCAATTTTGTTTCTTTGACAGCAGACAAATATGCTTCAACAATAGTGCAGAGATTAAGGTTTGGGTTGCAAGTGATGGACACACTAAAGAGCTTAACTCACAGAATTGAATGGACTGTGCTGAGTACATTGTTAACAGAAAGTGATGGACACATTAAACAGCTTACCTCACAGAATTCAATGAACTGTGCCGAGTACATTGTTATTATAATAAAGTGATGGAAAGTTGGACACACTAAATATCTTAACTTGTAGGATTCAGTGCACTGAGCTGAGTAACTCTTATCAATACAGTGATGGACTCACTAAACAGCTTAACTCACAGAATTTAATGGATATTGCTTGAGTACGTTGTTATTACAAAATGATGGACCAGTAAATAGCTTGACTCCAGAATTCAGTGGACCGTGCTGAGTACATAACTCATAAAGGATAACTCCTGACATATTCACAGCAGATCACTCAAAGTTAACTCTGTTAAATTTGTAATAAGGCATTTGGAGAAAGCTCAGAGTGCTACTACATTATTGTACATCTTTTCATATACTAAGTTTTTTTTTCTGAATGTTTTTTGTATCTGTATATTATATTTTTAAATAAAAAAAATTTCTTAAAAACTGGATTTTAAAGCAAAAATATCAAGAGATCAGAGATTGTCGGAATATCTAAGCTTAAGAGAAAGGGAGGTAATTTTAAGCTCACCTGAGCCGAAGGCTCAAGTGAGTTTTTCTGATCACATTTTGTCTGTTGTCTGTCTGTCCGTCCGTCTGTAAACTTTTCACATTTTCGACTTCTTCTCAAGAACCACTGGGCCAATTTTGACAAAAATTTGGTACAAAGCATCCTTGGGTGAAGGGGAATATAATTTGTTAAAATGAAGGGACATGTCCCCTCAAAAGGGGAGATAATCAAGAAAAGATAAAAATAGGGTTGGGTCATTAAAAAATCTTCTCAAGAACCACTGGGCCACTAAAGCTGAAACTTATGTGGAAGCATCCTGGGGTAGTGTAGATTCTAAATTGTTCAAATCATGACCCCCGGGGATAGGGCGAGGCCACGATGGGGAATCAATGTTTTACATAGGAATATATAGAAAAAATCTTTGAAAATCTTCTTCTCAAGAACCACTGGGCCAGAAAAGCTGAAACTTATGTGGAAGCATACTGGGGTAGTGTAGATTTCAAATTGTTTAAATTATGATCAGTGGGGTAGGGTGGGGTTACAAGATGTATTACAAGGTGAAAATCTGGTAAAGAACAGAATGGCCAAACTTCTCAGGTGAGGGATGTGGCCCATGGGCCTCTTGTTTTTGATACAATTCTAGTTGATTTTAATCACTTACAGGGGTTAATAGGGATTATACGGCAAATGTAACAGGAAAGGAGAAAATGCATGAATGGACTAGGAATCGAACCCTGGACCCCCGCATCTCCAGTCAGGCGCTCCATCAACTGAGCCACCCAAGCCAACACCCACGGCCCAAACCATCACCAATCTCCCTCACCAAATGGTCCTCGCCCTCAAAGACACAACCAAAGTTCTTATTACCCTCTGGCAGGACTTTTACCTGCAATTCCAGGGGTGGTCAATGGCACCAAATGTAATGGGAGAGGAGAAAATGCAGGGGACCAGACTGGGATTCGAACCCGGGCCCCCTGGAACTCCGGTCAGGTGTTCTACCAACTGAGCTATCTGGCCACCAGCGAACAAACCTGGCCACCTCCACATTCTTTCCCCCTTAAAGGTCTGTGGCCATCCAAAGACCCCAACCCAGGCTCATCCCTGGCAAGTCTTTCACCTGTCAATTCCAGGGCATGGCACGGCACCAAATGTAACAGGAGGAGAAAAGGCAGGGGACAAGAGCATGATTTGAACCCAGGCCCCCTGAAACTCCGGTCAGGTGCTCTACCAACTGAGCTATCTGGCCATCTGCAATTGAACCTGGCTGACCACTATAGTAAGTACTTCCATGCCCTACATTGATCAGACATGCATGTCCGAAGATGTTGCTAGTGCATTTCATTGTACCAGATAAGGTTTTAGTTGCTGCAATTTCAACAAAGGAATGATTGACCAGGTAATTTTTTTTTAAGCGAGTAAAGGGGCAATATCCCTCTGCTCCAAATTTCAAGACTTTTCTTTAAAAATCCAGACATTGATTTTCAGCAACAACTATAGCATTAAATTCAAATGGAAAATAGTTTGAAGTATGAAGCGTTGCTTACTTTTTCAGAAATGAGTAATATGTCAAATCATGATGTGAAGAAAATTTGATATGGTAAATAGAAAGATTAATTATTTTTTTATCTCACAATTAAATTAGAAATATGAGGTATAAATAAAAATAATATTTACTTATAATCATACCTACCTAATTCCCATTAGACAACATACTGAAGCGCTGCTTTTTAGAAAGGGATAAATAACGAGATCATGTTGAATAGTTTAGAGAAAACATTTTCTCCGAGGGCCGAAGGCCCGAGGAGGGGATGTTTTCTCTGAACTATATTCAACACCATCTCGTTATTTATCTTACTTAAAAAAATTCCCTACTTAAATGGGCCCCAAAGAAACATTAACCCTTTCAAATATCCAACTTGCTGTAATACAATATAGGATGTAGCCCATTCAAATATCCAACTGTGACACAAAACAATAGCCTAACTGAACACCCTTTTTATTCATGGACTAGTGAGCATGAAACTACATGGTGCTGATTTCATTTCAACCCTTTTCATTGTACTGAACAGTCATGAAATCAGTCGAAGAATATTTTTAAATCCAATGTAAATTAGAGAGGTTAATCAGATAGTGTTTTGAATACTTTTGACCTGAAACCTGAAGAAAACTACAAAAATTTGATAAAAGATTTGGAATTTTTCATTACATATCATAAAATGATGGTTTGTTGAGGAAAAGTGTTGAATTCTTATGGAGTTCCATTTGGACAATACCTGTAATAGTGCTTAAACAGATAAAAAAAAATTGGCGGTGTTAAGCTGAACCTGCTGTAAAAAATTCCATATCAAGATCTGCAATAAAATAGTGTCGAGAAATGGATGGACCGTCAATTATTTAAGTTCTTTTGGGAAGTACGCCGGAAAAGAATGAAACAGAGATGATTCTCGAATAATCTAAAGGGATGTACTGATAACGGACCCTGAAATAATATTCAACAATAAAAAGTGATGCAGTTTAAGATTCAAGGTGAAAATGTATATATTTATGTGTCAAAAAATGAGGCTTTCAAAATTTAAGACCGAAAACATTTCTAAAAGTGTGCAAAAAACGGAGGAATTGTTAATTCTGTGAGCATTGGAAGTGCATTTGAAACACAAAAAATGTGATAAATACGAAGTAATTCCATGTGCACTGGAAATCAATTCTAATCATGTGGAAAATTTGGAGTAATTATTTTATTGTTCATATGCATTGGAAATACATTTAAAAATTGCTTTATCTCTTTTGTTCATTGTTTTATGTTTTCTGCACCTCAGTTGGGTATTTAAATATCCAACCGATAGGCAGTTGGATATTTTGAATATCCAACTGAGAGCCAGTTGCATGGATATTTTGAATATCCAACTGATGGCCAGTTGGATCTTCAAATATCCAACTAGTGGTGGTTGAATCGGTAAAATAAACGTAGACTAATAACAATGGTGACGTCATAGAAGTTTTTTAAATCAGAATAACAAATTGATTTCTGTGCATGTAAAATAACACGCATCCATAAACAAGAGTTATCGTTCCATTATCGCCCTTGAAAATATTTTTTAATGAAACAAAATATTAATTAAATGTTTATAAACAATACTGCATCTGAAATTTTTGTACAATTAAAAGAATTATACTTCAAGAGATAGAGATTTCTCAATTTACACTGTTTAAAGGAACTGAGTATAATTTTTTTAAGTAAACTGTAATAAATAATTAATAAATATACTAGCAATAGAAACTAGAAATCAACATTTGTAAAATAGAATTGGTTTGATTGAGTTGAACATAAAATGGTCCTTATGAGTGAAATTTGTAATCTCTGACATGACAATTCAATGAATTTCATGACAAAATTTCTGAAGAAAGTGATCTCTCTTGTCAAAAAGTTATCTCTCTTATCAGAGAGTTATTCCACCTTAAAGTTTTTGGTGCAGTTCTCATTTCCAAGTAACTGTAAGTCCTATGATGACCAAACTTGCATGGATGATTCATCTAAGGATGCATACTACAAGGCTTGCTTCAGATGCTGGATGATTGGATCTGACCTACACTTTCCAGATAAGTGAACAGGTTAATGTTTTTGGTGCAGGTCTCATATCCAAGTAAGTATAAGTCCTAGCTATGATGACCAAACTTGCATGGATGATGCATCTAAGGATGCATACTATCAGGCTTGCTTCGGATAATGGATTGACCTTCATTTTTCACATGAGTGAACACCGGCAGCTTCATTGTTTTGGTGCAGGTCCATTTCAAAGTAACTATAATTTAAGTCCTATGTTGACCAAACTTGCATGGAGGATACATCTAAAGATGCATACTACCAGGCTTGCTTTGGATGCTGAATCTAATCTTCATTTTCTAGATGAGTGAACATCTTACTGTTTTTGGTGCAGGTCCCATTTCCAAGTAATGATGAGTCCTATGTTGACCAAACTTGCATGGAGGATACATCTAAGTCTAGATTGTTAGTTTAAAGTGGGACTTTGCTTTATACTTAAAGACAACATTCATTGAGGTGATCTCTACAATCTCTGATTACATGTACCTATGTTTACAGTCACTAAACAGCAATATATTTAATCATTCAATGTTGATGTGACTATAGACTATTGTACTCCAGAATCCATCATGCCGAATTACTGTGCTCTTTGGACACAGCTGCATATAAAGGTATCTCCATAATTATGATATGTCTCTATCATCTTATAAAAACATAACAACAATAAAAAGATGTTTTATGTTTATTGGGAAAAATCAACAAGTACCAGTATTTACAATATTTCAAAAAGAGAAAAAATATATATAATGCCAAACAACTTTAAAACTAAGAATATATATTAAAAAAAAAAAAAAAAATGGAAAAAATTATATCTCACAAATATGAGATAGCAAAATTTAATCAAAGCTATTTACATTGATTCAATATGAACATATACTGTAAACCAACTTTTATTCGCGTGCGAGAAATTTTCGCGAGGTTCGCGAGAGCCTCGTCATCGCGAATATTTCTCGCCGCGAACGGGTCCTTAAATTCTCTTTTTCTATTTAAACAGTTCCAAAAACGACTTGATCGCGAAAATTAATCGTCGCAAACTAGTTTACACACGGTAAATCGCGAAATAAACTCGTCGCGAATAAAAGTTGGTTTACAGTATACAAAGAGGTGTAGTACCAAATACCTGTGTGACAAGCTGTAGAAAATCATATGGAAAAAACAGTCCAACCCAAAACAGCATACAGTGAATGTCAGTAGTCTCGGGTCAGATGCACCGGTCACACAAGTAAAAGTAGAGGCCTACAACCTCAAGGCAGCAAACATCTGTTCCAAGGACTGTAACTCAATCTCCATCGGCGAAAACTGAAAAAAAAGAATTCAAATAAAATTATTAGGAAATTATGCTATTATATTAAAAGCTAGAGTAACAGAATTGTCTAGAAAAATATATTTTAAAAGTGGTCCAGTCAATATTACAAAAAAAAAATGCCTACCAAAGCAGTCTTCTGTCTCTTTGAAGTCATGAATGGTTGTTCTGGCCTCTTACGTTTGCGGGTAGGTCGCTCCTGAAATAATCCAACATACTGGGTAATATTTATCAGACTTTACATAGACACATATATGTAGACGTTCTATGTTATACAGATCTATCTGTAATAAATAGCAACTACAGTAAAACTTGTTTAGTAAGAACACAGATATTGCGAATTCATGGATATAGCGAAGTGATCTTCAATGAATTCCTTGCAGGGCTATTACAAATTATGGATATAGCGAAGTGATTTCACAGGTCCCTGAGTGAGTTCATTATAACCGAGTTTTACTGTATTTCCCATTACCTTAGCTCTGGTCAGCTGTGTCTCCGTACAGCCATCCCCTCCTGTCTTGTCCTCCACCAAACTTTCTGTCTCTGGCAGCTTGCCATCAGTCACCTGAAAAAATAATTTATTAAATTTCACTTTTTTTCTGTCCCATTTTAGTACCTGTACCTGCTCAAACCAGCAATCTTTCTCCTCTCAACTGTTGACTTTCTGTTGCTTAGATTATATCTTTCTTATTATACAAACATTTTTGAAGGTTAAATTTTCTAAAAATTTAGTTTGGTTTCTTTGCTTTATTAGAGTATAATGATACAATGTTCTTGTAATCATTTAATTACACCTACCTTGTCAGTGGCAGCTCTAGGCTCGTCAACGGGAGAGTTGAGAGGAATCTCAGCATGTGGGGTAGATCCGTCATTGGAGGTTGGGGTGGATCCGCCAGTGGAGGGTGGGTTGGGATGCGACTCATCAGTCGAGGAGGAATGTCTGGGAGGGACGTCTTCACCCAGGGAAGCTCCAGTGGTGACAACTGTCTGTACCTCACCGAGTCCAGTCTCAACAATGGGAGAGGGTGGGTCAGCCTCCTGGGGAAAAAAGGTACCAAGTGTCATACTTTGTTTATTCAAATATTATCATTCTTTATGATTTATTTTGGTTTATTTATGATGAAAATTTTTCACACAAAATACCTAGTAGATAATATTAATACTTTCTTGTCAATGATCACTGTATAATATGTTTATAACATAGTGGATTTTAAAATACTTACATTAACAGCAGCCTTGACCTCTGGCTCTACAGCCTTGACCTCTGCCTCTACTGAATTCTATTGTAAAAGAATAAAAAAAAGGGAAATTAATTTGTTGCAAGTAACTGCCAACTTAATATAAAAAAGATTAAATATTGGAACTAAAGCCTCAATGGAAAACATAACCCTTTTGCTGAAGAATAATGAACCCTAATCCAAATTTTTAAAAGACATGGGACAGGTAAAAGACTCTTTCATGATGAATTTGACTGTAAAACATACATGGCAATTTATTTATAAACATATTGTATTATATTTGAATTTCACATCTAAGTCCTAAGAATAAATTTACCTTTGACGTTTGACCTTTTACCCATAATGTTCACATGACTGCCTGCCTGCTCTTTCTCTCTGATCTAGTGGTGCCAACACAGGAGAACTCCGCAATTCCAGTTTGGACTCCATTTTTTTAGGCATATTGTTGTTTTTGAGCACACCTTAATGAAGATTAGAGCTGATATGATAATTCCTCAGCATCAGCACCTGTGTTGGCATCAGCATTTCCAGGTTAAAGTTTTTGGTCCAGTACTTCTATGCCCTATACTGATCAGACATGCATGAAAGATTGCTTCTAGTGTGTTTCATTGTGGGAGTCAAGGTTTCAGATGCAAAGAAGCATATATAGGAATTACCGGTTACTGTTTTTGGAGCAGGTATAATGTTTTTGGTACCAAGTAACTATAAGTAAATTCTATCATGACCAAAGTTACTTAGATGATGCATCTAAGGATGCATAACTACCAGACTTGCTTTGGATGCTGGATCTGACCTACATTTTCTGGATGAGAAAACAGGTTAATGTTTTTAGTGAAGGTCTCATTTCTAAGTACATGCAACTTGAAGTCCTATGATGACCAAAGATGATATATCTAAGTATGCATACTACCAGGATAATGCTTAAATTGCTGGATCCGACCTACATTTTTCAGCTGAGTAAACAGGTTAAAGTTTTTGATGCATGTCTAATTTATAAGCAAGTGTGAGTCCTATGTTGACCAAACTTGCATGGATGACACATCTACATTTGAACAGGTTAATGTTTTTGGTGCAGATCTCATTTCCAAATAACTATGAGCCGTATGTTGACCACACAAACTTGATTGGGTGAAACATCTATAAGGATGAACACTAATAAATTTGCTTCAAACCCTAACACTAATAAATTTGCTTTAGACCCTGAATCTGACCTACATTTTCTGTATGTACAAAAGGTTAAAGTTTGGAGCAGGTTTAATCTATAGTAGATATTAGACCTATGTTGACCAAACTTGCATGGATGATACATCTAAGGATGCACACTAATTGACTTACTTCGGATGCTGGATCTGGCATTATATTCTAGATAAGGTTAAAATTAATGGGTGCAGGTCTATTAAATGAAGAAATGAAAAGGCCTATCTAAACCAAACTTGCATGAATGCATCAAGGAATGAACACTCCCAAACTTGCCTCAGACGCTGGATTTGAATTACATTTTCTTGATGGGTGTCTATAGTTTAAAGTTTTTGGATAAGCAAAAATGATTTGGATTACCAGGCAACTGCAAGCGCTATCAGATCAAAATTGTGCAAATTGTGCATTTTGGGATGTAAACTTTTAGATTATTAATTTAATGTGGGACTTTGCCCTACTTAAAGACAATATTCATTGAGGTTAGCTCTGTAATCTATCATTGTCTATGTTTTTTTAATTCATATAATTGTGAATATATTTTTATCTAAGCAAAAAGCCAATGGGACTTTATTGACAGCTATTTAAGTATCTTAAATTTCTCATTCTATGACAATATTTGGATTCAAGTCAAAGAAATTTACAGCTAGGTCAATACTTCTCTATGGATATTACAGCTCAGTCTTCAAATTCAAAAAGAGATACTTTAGACAGTTTCAATTTCAAATTTATCCACAAATACCTAGCTAATGAAATTTATCCACAAATACCTAGCTAAGGCTCTATTTGCATCAAGTTGTATAGTCTACATATTTATCATGTCTACTAACATCCAACCAAAACAGTTAAAAAAAGATTTTCAAGAAAAATCCATATGTAAGTATATGCACCACATGTTGAAATAAAATAAGCTATGCATTATTTTTCTTATTATAAAGTACAGTCTACATGCATATCAAGACTTATTGAAAATGAATTCAAATTGTAAATTACCTATGTATATTAAATTTTAGTAACCATGGTAACACAATTTGTCACAGTCAAAAAACAATATACAGTATTATGTGTTTTAACATGGTCTACTCTGCAAATTCTTATTGAAATTGGTTTGAAACTATAAGAGAAATAATTTTTTTGGGAGGAGAAAGAAATGAACATTATTTCCATTTTTATATCCTCAACAGCACAATTTGTCAAAATAAAAGAAAAACAACAAATAATATATCTACTTGTGTACAAAGTGTTACTTAAGATCACACTGTAGGAGAGAAAAATAATTAAAAGAATTTCGATTTTAGCGGCATTTTAACACTATTTGTTGAAGTCTGAAATACCAATCAAAAGAAGTATATGCAGCTTAGTAATTAAAGTACATCATGTATCTACTCTTATTAAAATTGGACAATATTCTTCTGGTTTTTCACAAAGTGTATTTGATTTTATAGCTAAATGCACATTAGTTCAGTATATGGCATGCCTCAACCTAGTCCTGCCTCAGTACCACTGCACAGTTGACCTCCTGGGTTCCATGATACAAAGCTAATATGATTGTCTCTCCTGTCCACTAAATTAGTTCTTCTAGGGCTGTGGAGCTGGACCTTGCATAATATGGTACCTGAACAAGCCCTCTTGGATCCCCTCTGTGATCTTACTCCAACCAGTCAAAACACACAGTCTGCTTTCCATGTCCCGAATTTCGAAATGTTCAAACAGCTTGAGGTCGAAAACAGACTCAAACTTGCTGCTCAGAAATTACTCCATGTGCAAAAGTGATGGTCGATCAGCAATACATGACGAATGGTCTGGTGTTGCAGAGAATTGTGGGTATAATACTGCCACATTTGGACTGTATAGCTAGCCTGATAAATTGTTACCAATATGACAGAGAACAGTTGTACCCTGTTTACCTTTCTGGTCCACACCATGTCCCGTCTCCACACCCGGTTGGTTCTCCAGTAGGTCCTCAGGAACTTCGGGGGCTCAGGCTATAAAATAAGTCATCTTCAATTGTATCAATTTTTGACTGGAACTATCTAAGTAACGTTACGGGTTGAAAATACATGCAAATATCACTTTGAAATTCCCAAAAAGTACTGGTAATAAGTACTCAGTGTCAAGTATATTTCTGAAGAAATAAAAATGTTGCTAAGTCATAATTATTCTAGCTTAATAAAGAAATAAGTATTCTGCTGACTCAGATGAATATTTTTGATAATGTAATAACTGTGATGTTGAATTATATATAAGTATTCCAAGGCTTAAACAGTTCTTATTCATAAATTTTTTTAAACAAATCAATATAAAACTTATAATAAGATTAAAACATATTAATATACACATCCAGTTTCAAGGGATACAAATAAGTAATAGCCTTAAATGATTAGAAATAGTCAAGAAGTAACTGGGGCACTTAGATTAAGAATGGTTATTTACCTGTTTGGGTTCTGGGACAGGTGGCACCTTGGTGGGTCCGTCACTGGTCATCTGGGTGGTGGGTGGTACCCTTGGCTGCTGGGTCTGCTCCTAAAATAAAATGCTTATTTCAGTTTGATATATTCATGTAGTTCATAATATTATAATCCTTGAGGGAAAAAGTGTTTTATCTCTGTAATAATTAAACCTCCATAATAATGTATCACCAATCTATATAATGTCGAAAATTACGTTGTTAATAAATGTTTAGAAATACATGTATAAGAAGAAAGGGGGCACTAAAAAATTAGATTAAGAATGGTTATTCACCTGTTTGGGTTCTGGGACAGGTGGCACCTTCGTGGGTCCGTCATTGGTCACCTGGGTGGTGGGTGGTACCCTCGGCTGCTGGGTCTGCTCCTAAAATAAAATGTTTATTTTAGATTGAAATATTCATGTAATTCATAATATCATGGGTTTTTTTTTTTTTTGGTCATTTTTTTTTAAATTGTCCCCTTTCAAATACTTGTAATTGCACGATGCTGAACATTCACCTCTCTTGTCCATTTCTGGTCCCTCCGCCAGACTCGGTTGTACCTCCAGGTTATCCTCCTCCGTTTGGGTACGACCTACAAAACAGAGGAAATCAGTACAACATCTTTGCTGTACACACCAATACTATTATACATGTATTATTAATAATTACATAAGGTCAATAAATTATACTTCAGTGCCGCACCTCGTCAGTTTCCCGGGATGGTGAGTTTCCGGTCTCTGACAAGTCCTTGCCTGATTCATCACCTTTCTAAAATTCAAAAAAAAAAGTTATACTTGTATCTCTTAAAAAATTATCACCATCACTATTGATAATATAAGTTGCCACAAATACAATATAGTAATACCGGTAATATTTGGTTTACATTGTTCAGATGCTGCTTATTATAGTATTTCTAGTAATTATTATCATTCAACATACCCGTGTGGTGGGTTGATCCTTGTTGGAGGGGGGTGGCACCCTCTGTTGTACGCTGGTATCGAGTCCCTAAAAGACAATGGTTGGTTAAAAATGTTTTCATATCAGATAATTAATTCCTCTCTCTCTCTCTCTCTCTCTCTCTCTCTCTCTCTCTCTCTCTCTCATGGGGTGTTTATTAAGTTATTTTGAACATGTTTTGATCATAAAACAGTTTTAGTTTCGTAATTATTAGCTCACCTGAGCCGAAGGCTCAAGTGAGCTTTTCTGATCACATTTTGTCCGTCGTCCGTCCGTCCGTCTGTCTGTCCGTCCGTCTGTCTGTCCGTCTGTAAACTTTTCACATTTTCGACTTCTTCTCAAGAACCACTGGGCCAATTTTGACCAAACTTAGTACAAAGCATCCTTGGGTAAAGGGAAATTTAAATTGTTAAAATGAAGGGACATATCCCCTCGCAAGGGGAGATAATCAAGAAAAGACAAAAATAGGATTGGGTCATTAAAAAATCTTCTTCTCAAGAACCGCTGGGCCAGTAAAGCTGAAACTTATGTGGGGTAGTGTAGATTCTAAATTGTTCAAATCATGACCCCCGGGAGAAGGGCGGGGCTACAATGGGGAATCAAAGTTTTATATAGAAATATATAGGAAAAATCTTTGAAAATCTTCTCCTCAAGAACCACTGGGCCAGTAAAGCTGAAACTTATGTGGAAGCATCCTGGGGTAGTGTAGATTCTAAATTGTTCAAATCATGACCCCCGGGGGAAGGGCGGGGTCACAATGGGGAATCAAAGTTTTATATAGAAATACATAGGAAAAATCTTTGAAAATCTTCTTCTCAAGAACCACTGGGCCAGAAAAGCTGAAACTTATGTGGAAGTATCCTGGTGTAGTGTATATTCTAAATTATTCAAATCATGACCCCCGGGGGAAGGGCGGGGCCACAATGGGGAATCAAAGTTTTACATAGAAATATATAGGAAAAATCTTTGAAAATCTTCTTCTCAAGAACCACTGGGCCAGAAAAGTTGAAACTTATGTGGAAGCATTTTGGTGTAGTGTAAATTCTAAATTGTAGGAATCATGACCCCCGGGGGAAGGGCGGGGCCACAATGGGGAATCAAAGTTTCATATAGAAATACATAGGAAAAATCTTTGAAAATCTTCTTCTCAAGAACCACTGGGCCAGAAAAGCTGAAACTTATGTGGAAGTATCCTGGTGTAGTGTAGATTCTAAATTGTTCAAATCATGACCCCCGGGGGAAGGGCGGGGCCACAATGGGGCATCAAATTTTACATAGAAATATATAGGAAAAATCTTTGAAAATCTTCTTCTCAAGAACCACTGGGCCAGAAAAGTTGAAGCTTATGTGGAAGCATTTTGGTGTAGTGTAAATTCTAAATTGTAGGAATCATGACCCCCGGGGGAAGGGCGGGGCCATTATAGGGAATCAAAGTTTTACATAGAAATATATAGGAAAAATCTTTGAAAATCTTCTTCTCAGGAACCACTGGGCCAAAAAAGCTGAAACATATGTGCCCATGGAAGGATCATGGGGCAGTGTAGATTTCAAAATGTCTAAATTATGATCAGGGGGGTAGGGTGGGGATGCATTATGTATAACAAGGGGGAAATCTGGTAAAGAACAGAATGGTCCAAGCTTCTCAGGTGAGCGATGTGGCCCATGGGCCTCTTGTTATCTTAGTTATTTGAACACAGGCTCTTGTTTCGGAAATAAATTTTTAACCCATAGTATAATAATAACATTTATTATACTATGGGTTAAAAATTATTTCCGAAACAAGTGCCTGTGTATTTTAAGCATTAAAAATCTCCATCAACAGATTAAAAATATAGAAATAAATATGATGTTCACCTCTCGTGTCCACTTCTGGTCTTTTGTCCAGACACGGTTGTATCGCCAGGATCTCTTTCTCTTTATGGGCACTACCTACAAAATAAAGAGAAGTCAACATTACTGTTACATGTCTAAATTCCAGTCAATAAATATTACAAATATGTATAACAATTCTGCACATTTCTCAACTTATAAGATTATATTCTGAATATAAATTTCTAACGGGAGGAAACAGTAAATATTCCGCATTATAGAATGCTCTATAGCGAATGCTTCTCACTGATTTACAGAATCTTTACATAATACTTATATACCCGAGAATGATATTTACGCAAGCACGCTATCTAGCGAAAATAATGCTCTCGCGAATAAAAAGTGATTCCAGTACCTCATCAGGGGCGCAGAGCGGGGGTTTTCTGGTTCCCTGTGAGTTCCCCTCTGGACCATCCAATATCTGAAGTATAAAATGTGTTCAATTGATCAGATACATTTTACCAAATCTCTATAATTTCTTTACAGTTGAATACAATATAAAACCATAAAAAACACACAAGAATTCTAAAAATAGGTGTTTGTAAATATATACACTTGTGACGGAATGGTAGATTGGTAGTTATACGAGTGTAATGTATCTCAACCCCCTCACCCCAACATAAACAAAATTTCCATTAAAATATATTAAATACAATACAAATACTTCCAAAATCTTACAGTGCTACCTATGTATAATGCCCCTCCGCTATATTGCCAAACCCGCTTATCGCCAAGAATTCTCTATAAGAACGAATTTTCCCCTGTGTTAATACACCCGTTATTTTGTAACCCTTGCTTATTGCCAATTTACATTGGGTTAATGCATTTCTCTTCCATGTGCATCATTTTCACAAGTAGTATCTACTCTGGGTCCTGCCCGCGACACGTTTTAAACCTTTCTCTCCATTGATAAAATTAATCCCATATCACGAAAAAAAATTATACAATAAATTTATTTTTGAAAGAAATGTTTAAAATGCCAAGTTACCTTAAAATTTCCTAATTCCCTTCTCCTTTTATTAACTTGTTAATTTTTGGTAAACCCCCCCCCCCCCGCTCCCGGAAGCAGGAAAGGCTAACGTTGCCAGTGGCGACATGAAGTAATGTAGAGCTAGGAAAATTTTCATTCCCTGTATATTCTTATTACGTTCTATGATCTACAAACAGCTTTTTAAATGAAAGAATCGTCCATATAAACCTATATATATATATATATATATATATATATATATATATATATATATATATATATATATATATATATATATATATATATAAACCATATTTTTATCAAAGGAAATCTACATCATATGTTCGGAATAGATATGGAGAAAATAGATCTTTGCCCCTATAATAATTGTTCAGAAAACGTTTGTTCGCTGATCTTATCAGCGATTTCCTCATCCCCCTCCTCCCCTCCGAGAAAATAAAAATTACATGTAGATATGTTTTCTTTGGCAGTGATACCAGGAAAATGATCGGGTGTATTTAACTGTTAAAAGGAGGATAACAACAGCTCAGCATAGAACCCTCCATTACCCAGGGCCTCATTCTCTAAGTAAAATATACCAAAATAATTTATAAATAATACCACATTATTTTTTTTACTAAATAAAACACACAATATGAGGCTTTACCCTCTTATCTTTGTTGCCGTGCATCATCGTCGCCATTTCTCTGCTAAATGCAGTAAAGTTTGCAAAAAATCGGGAGCGTAAAAAGATGCGTCCGATGTCTTCGACTAAAGCCGTTGAAATGAATCGTAACCACAACACAGCGACTGTCTACTACGAAACGTGATGTCACAATACTAATGACGTAAGCAAAATCAGGCACTCCATTAGGACGTTCCCATTATTAAACACAAATAACCAAATTATCCAAGGGGAAATTATGTATGTGAAAATGTTTATAATAATTAAATAAACGATGAATCGATTACAAAATATTGTCTTGATTATTTGAACAATAAAAAAAAGAATAGAGCTTGTAATGCGAGCTCACTAAGTGATCCTACCCCCGCCTCCCATATGAATATAATGGCAGTGCCCATGTTTTGCTATGGGAAACCAAAATACGTGTCGGATCAAAAAATAAAATAGAAGGTGCAAAATGGCATTATTTAATAAAGATTCTCTGAAAGTCTCATCAAATTTCATGCAGTGCAGAGTAGCTAGCTGCTGATAAGAGATAGGCACCCCAAAGCGTAACAGATGGACGGACAATTAGACATTACTATATACCCTCCCGCTTTTCAAGCGGGGGAGGGCGGGGAGTAAAATGAAAAAAATTGGTTTTGCTTCTAAACCTGCTCTACTCTCAAACTTTGCCAAAAACTATTTTTCTGTTCATTTGAGGTCATTCGATATAATTTGGCATGCCTTAGAACTTTTATCTAAATAGAATTAGGGTTCCTTATTCATGTTACTGAATTGTGTGTCCTCACTGCACTGTGCTGTAAGCTGTAAGGCCCTATAAGAACATTCAGTTACATTTTCGCAAAATAGATACCTTAATTAATGTTCAGAATTTGTTCTGTTTCGTTGGGATTTGTCATATCTCAATTTTTTATGCCAGTTTATGGCCTATAGTAATTTACGGTTCTATTTTTTCTTTAACTTGACCCCCCCCCCCCCCATTTGAAAAATTAAAGACTTGTTTTAAAGGAATATAAAAATATGGCCTGTTGGAGAGAGTTTGACAAACTAGGACGAAGCAATAAGAACCCCTAGATAACGGACAGACAATAAATTAAGCTCAGGTTATTTGTAAAATAATGTTTGCTTGCCGTTTTCCGACTCTGGGTAAAATTATTGGATCGTGATGTATGTATTTTCCCCAGAAAATTTCAACATACATGTATTTGTCGACGGGAGAAAAGAGGGGAAAATGTCCTGGTGTGAAAACAAAAAGTTCTGAGTCGGGCATTTTTAGTCCGTCGGTCGAGAGATGGCAAGCAAACAGTTTTGTAAAGATTGCCTCGCTCGAGTTTTTTTTTTTTTGGGGGGGGGGGGGGGGTGTCATATTTCTATTCCATTGTCAGATTTTTTGTGTGACCTAAATAGCATGTGTCAACTTCAAGACTATAAATTAATGCACTGGAAAAAAAGAAATGATTCAATCCGTTTTTGTAAAGGTAATGTACACGTAATATTAATTATATTATACCTTGTGAGACGCCAAAGATGGCGATGCTCTGGTTCTGAGGGTTGTCTCGTCTGGATCAGCAAACTTCTGAAATATAAAATGCCACAAGGTACACGAATACAATGTTGATACTTTCAAGATATATTAATAAAACTAACTAATTGGTTGATTATATATTGTTTAACGCCGAGTCGGCAATTTTTCAACCATGTTTCGGCGGTTAACACTGGTTAGTGGGTTGATACATTGCTGTTAAATTATTATATGAATAATCTGATTAATTATTAGAACACACTCTCTCCTCTGGGCATTTTTTTTTAAAAAATCCTTTCTCTTCATTAAATATCCCCATACTATAAAAAAAATTATAATAATGGTATCTGGATTTTTTTTTTGAGAGGTAGATTAAAAATTCTACGTTCCTATGAAATATGCCCCCCCCCCCCCGACCACAAAATTTGTTAATTTGTTAATCCTCTTAAAAATTCTCCTCAGTTTATTAACTAGTTTATTTTTGTTAACCCCCCCCCTTCCCGGAATCAGAAAATGCTTACGTTGCCAATGACGATATGAAATAATGTAGAGCTAGGAAAACATTTCATTCCCTATTTATATTCTAATTACCCTCTACATTTTTAAATTTATGATCTAAAAACAGCTTTTTAACGAAAGAACTGTCTATATTAACCTTTTATATAATAAATTATGATTTTTATTTTTTTAAAAATCTACATCATATGTCGGAATAGAAATGGAGAAACTGGATCTTTGCACCAAAGACGTTCAACAAAACGTTCCATCACTGATCTTATGTACGTTTCCTCGACAACCCCCTCCCAAGAGAATAAAAATTACAAGTAGATATATTTATTTTGGCAGTGATACCAGGAAAATGGGCGGGTGTAAGAAAGGAGGGTAACAATATGTCAGCACAGAACCATCCGTCGCGTTGCCCCTCGTAGTTCTCTATTAAAATTCAACAAAGAAATCGATACCAAACTTATTTTTTACTAAATAAAACACACAATATGAGGCTTTACCCTCTTATCTTTGTTGCCGTGCATCATCGTCGCCATTTCTCTGCTAAATGCAGTAAAGTTTGCAAAAAATCGGGAGCGTAAAAAAATGCGTCCGATATCTTCGACCAAAGCCGTTGGATTGAATCGTAACCACAACACAACGACGGTCTACTACGAAACGTGATGTCACAATACTAATGACGTAAGCAAAATCGGCACTACGTTAGCATGGTTAGGACGTCCCAATTTTTTTCATAACCATTTTTTTCAGATGGAAAATATTTTTAAAAATTTGGAAAAGCCTCTAAGGTACTGAATTCCGTATAGATAAGATAAGATAAGATTTATTAATACCAATCTGGGGCCCATCAGGGCATATAAGTAATAAGAAAAATATACAAGAAATTCAAAATTGATAGTAGCAACTAACAAAAGATAAATGATGATACAGCAGTTGGGGATTACATGATAACCTCAGAATAGAAAGTGGATGCAAACCACCCTTGCAAGAAATGAAAGAATTTGTAGAATGTGGGACATGAACTGTGTGGAAGATGAGATACACTCACTGATTGAATGTCCATTATATAAACATGATAGAGATGACTTTTTTAATATTGCTAAAAGTAATAAAAATTTCTATACTTTAACAAATAAAGAAAATTTTTTATGGATTATGTCTAATGAAAATGACATGTTGCTTATCAAGCTGGGTAATTTTTTAATCAATATCTTTAAAAAAAGAAATAGCAAATTATGCAATGATAAATAAAGAAACAAATAAATACAAAAGAGAAATAATGTTTATACTCTAGTAAATAAAAAAAGCTTTATATTTACAGTATGTTGATTATATATGTTGACAACATATATAATCAACATACTGTAAATATAAAGCTTTTTTTATTTACTAGAGTATAAACATTATTTCTCTTTTGTATTTATTTGTTTCTTTGTTTAACATTGCATAATTTGCTATTTCTTTTTTTAAAGATATTGATTAAAAAATTACCCAGCTTGATAAGCAACATGTCATTTTCATTAGACATAATCCATAAAAAATTTTCTTTATTTGTTAAAGTATAGAAATTTTTATTACTTTTAGCAATATTAAAAAAGTCATCTCTATCATGTTTATATAATGGACATTCAATCAGTGAGTGTATCTCATCTTCCACACAGTTCATGTCCCACATTCTACAAATTCTTTCATTTCTTGCAAGGGTGGTTTGCATCCACTTTCTATTCTGAGGTTATGTGAACTTACTCTAAATTAATTTGCATATAATTTTTCTTTGTTCAAATTTTTTTAATAATAAATACTTTTCAATTTCAAAACTTCTTTTTACATAGAAATATGTTGTAAGTTTACCCGATAGACAACCATCATCTCTTTTTTTTAAAGCAACATTGAGGGAAATCCTCTCTAATAATTTTTTTTCAGTTGTTTCTTTAAAGTTATTAGTTTCATTCATTTACATCTTGACGTATAGGCCTACGTTAACTAACTGCTTTTTGTCAACTGCTAACTGCTTACTTTGGCATCACATAAATCTACGCATGTTAGAACAAAACTATTAAAGGTAACGTTACGGCATCGGATATTTGTTCATTTTCAGTAGGACGTATAGAGTAACAATGCCGTAGTTTAAGCTAGCTCTGCTCAAATGACAAATTAAAAAAATTACAGTATAGATAAAAGCAGCATTGAAAAAAATTATTAAACTAGATGCTGTCATGAGACAGTAATACCCGCACTAAGGTGTTTCCCTCTAAATACACGCTCCTACATATTGGGCGGCTTTCCAAGGAAGAAGTCAAAATAATTCTATATAATTTACATGTATTCATCAAATTGAGTATGAAATTCTCCCTGTGACCTATAACTCGATCAGAACCTCTTATATTTATTTTACATGCTTAATTCATTATATACCAGTTTGAATTCTATTAATGATGTAAATTAGATTTTGATAAATGTTTTGCTCATAATAGGACCTTTTTAAATTTACTAATCCCCCCCCCCCCCTTTGACACCACAATCACACTGCACATACTTTTTGGAATAGGCTAGATGGAACAGTTTTGTTAAAACATCGTTTGTTATGAATTAATTTAAAGTTTGTTCTTGTACTATACATGTTAACATGTAAATTTCCACATCACATCACGTTGCGTCACCCATTATCATATTTTTAGATTAAACTCCATTCGGCACACCTCGGCCGATTCCCACTTCATCTGATAAGGTGACGGAATCGATGGCACGAAGGTTTGCCGAATGGAATAGCATTAGTGCATTGGATTAATTTATTTTGTGTTCTAATTGGATTCTACTTCATGAAGCTGACAAGACCTATGGAGGTCGGTAAGTACAAGTTTAAGTATAGTGGGGGGTAAAATAAATCCTAAAGATTAGGTTAAAGTTCACAAAGGGTCAAAGATCATCGCATGCCACACTAGACGAATTTCATATTGTGAAGTTATCTCCCGTTGTCGATGTGACATTCAGTTACTGCCAATACTGGTGCGGATCCAGAATTTTTTTCGGGAGTAAGGAAGGGGGTTCACATCTCAGTCAAAAATTTCCAGCCCAGAATTTCCTGACAAGCAGGAGAAAAAAACTGAAAACAAATAAACAAAATAAAACAATGATAGTGGGGTCAATGTTTTCTAAGTTAGGGGGAGGATGTCCAAAGACTGCAAAGTCATTTTTTATTTGCTTCAGTATATAGTCTTGTTTAAATAGCAAAGCAAATTCCAGGGGGGGGGGGGGGTCAATCTCCCTACCCACTCCCTGTCCCTGAAATAACAATCTATTTTGTGATTCCAATTAAATAGTAATTTTTTTTCCATTTGACTAATTATACATATTTTGTTTCTTTTGTGTTTATATTATGTCTGTCTATTTGTCTGCAGAAACTATAACCTTGCCCATAAGTTTTAAGTGGGATGGGCTATACAAATGGCTTCCACATTTTATAGGTTTATTTCTTGTGACAATTAAGACCTTTCATTTGGGTACCATTGATTTTTACCTCTGATCGCTTAATTGACCTAGGATACACATTTTTACAAGAAAAATACCAAACTTTAAACTTGGCCTAAATTTTGATCAGTAGGTGCTAGGGCTTTCATGCTTAACATGTGTATTCATTGTGAACTGTCAACAGGTATAAATATGTTTGACCTTGACCCTAGAGTTTGAACCACTTAAAAAAAATTAACCTTGGCAATTAACTTTTGAACAGGAAGTACTAGGGATTACTTATTTCAAATGTGCATTCCTTGTGACAAGACTTTCTTCTGATACCAACAATTTGAACTCTTTGACCTTGACCTTTGAGTTTGACATATATTTGAGAAACTTCAACCTTCGCCATAGGCTTCCATACAGGGACATCAGTGTTTCACAAACACATCTTGTCTTCATTATTATTTGGTGGTGTCTCCATATGAGGGAAAAATTCCCGAGAGAGATGTATTCACAACAAACAAACAAATTACTAAAGAAAATATAAAACATGAATATGTTGGTCATGCATATCTCTGCATGAAAAAGAACAGCTTTTCAAATACTGCAACCATATTGTAACCCTTTCAAAACACTCATTTGAGCTTTTCTGGTTTCCTTATCATATAATGTCTGTCGTGACGTGTTGTCCATCTGTTTGTCTGAAAACTTTTTACATTTTTAACTTCTCTAAAACCACTGGGCCAATTTTACCCAATTCATATAGAAATATGTACATTTGTATGTCAGACTGTCCATCTGTCTCAATAAATTTAACCTTGGTCATCACGGTCATATCTACTGAATGAGAAGAGACAAGGCATTCATATTAAACTTATGTACTAGTATTTACCTGTGAGAATGGCATGGGGTTTTTTTTACATATGACCTAGAAGTTTGACCTACTTGCAAAAAAATTAAATTGCTATAAATTCATCATTTTGAAAGAGAAAAGTTAGGGCATTCATATTATAATGCACGTATATTATTACCTGTGATAAGACCTTTCAAAATGAATCATGACTTTTACTCTGTGACCTTGACCTTGAAGCCTAACCTACTTTTCAAAAATGTTGCATTTGCTTATAACTTTTGATTGAGATGAGATATGACTCTCACATTTGACATGTACATTAATTACTCATAAGAATTCAAGGTGTTTCCCAGCATGCGATGCTTTTTTACCCCTTGACGTTGATGTTTTACATAATTTTCAAAATATTTAACTCTCCTAAAAGATGATTAGGCTTCTGAGTAACATTAAGGAGGACTTCAGGAAAGACAGGACTTTTTGCACAAAAAACGTCATTTTTCCACCCCAATTTGACCCCCTGGGGAAAAATCAAAATTACGAAACCTTACTGCACATCTACATGACACCACCAACCATCTCCCAAAAGATGATTAGGCTACTGTGTAAAATGTAAGAGAAGTTCAGGGAAGACGGGGCTTTTTGCATAAAAAACGTCATTTTTCGACCTCCATTTGACCCCCCGTGGCAAAATCAGAATTCCGAAACCTTACTGCACATCTACCTGACACCACCAACCATCTCCCAAAAGATGATTAGGCTACTGTGTAAAATGTAGAAGGAGTTCAGGGAAGACGGGGCTTTTTGCATAAAAAACATCATTTTTCGACCCCCATTTGACCCCCCGGGGCAAAATCAGAATTCCAAAACCTAACTGCACATCTACCTGACACCACCAACCATCTCCCAAAAGATAATTAGGCTACTGTGTAAAATGTAGAGGGAGTTCAGGGAAGACAGGGCTTTTTGCATGAAAAACATCATTTTTCGACCCCCATTTGACCCCTTGGGGCAAAATCAGAATTCCAAAACCTAACTGCACATCTACATGACACCACCAACCATCTCCCAAAAGGTGATTAGGCTGCTGAATAAAATGTAAGAGGAGTTCAGGGAAGATGGGGCTTTTTCCATAAAAAACGTCATTTTTCGACCCCCATTTGACCCCCCGGGGCAAAATCAAAATTCCGAAACCTTACTGCACATCTACATGACCCCACCAACCATCCATCAAAAGGTGATTAGGCTGCTGAGTAAAATGTAGAAGGAGTTCAGGGAAGACGGGACTTTTTGCATAAAAAACGTCATTTTTCGACCCCCATTTTAACCCCCGGGGCAAAATCAAAATTCTGAAACCTTACTGCACATCTACATGACCCCACCAATCATCCACTAAAAGGTGATTAGGCTGCTGAGTAAAACGTAGAAGGAGTTCAGGGAAGACGGGACTTTTTGCATAAAAAACGTCATTTTTCGACCCCCATTTGACCCCCCGGGGCAAAATCAAAATTCCGAAACCTTACTGCACATCTACATGACCCCACCAACCATCTCCCAAAAGACGATTAAGCTACTGTGTGAAATGTAGAAGGAGTTCAGGGAAGAAAAGTGTGACAGACGGACATGAGTAACAACAATATACTCGAACTTTCTTTAGAAAGTGCGGGTATAACCAGAAAACAATCAAGGCTACTGAGACACCATCACAGCCATGTCCCTGAAGTCCTTTACGACCAGGATTCAGGGATATAAGGCACCATAAGTGAAGCAGGACATGTTTTTATTAATTTTTTAAATTGTAAACAGGTGTGTGGAGTCCCCATCACGTACACGTTTTTAATCAAAGTGAGAAAATGTCGCAGCAGCGGCCCTTCACTTCATAGGAAGAAGAATGGATTCTATGAGTTTTGCCCCAAAATGGCGGCTAAGGGACATAACTTTTTAAAAAATTTAAAGTGTGGATTCAATTATTAGAGTACAAAAAAGGATGAGATATTCAGTTGGCATTTTAGAAAAAAGCAATAATTCTTTATTTATAAAACATGCTGTTTGTCACAATTTTATCATGAGTCAAAAAGATTTTTTGTGGTTCTAACTAAGGATGTAGGCTAAAGCCTTGTGATTATAGTTGCAGCATTTCAAACAGTGTTTATACATGCATTTTCTTGATGGTCAACCAGTTTTAAACTGTAATCAATTTCACAATGATAATTTGTTCTGAGATAATCACCATGCTTCAAATGCTGTAAAAAAAATACTAATTTAAAGGCAAAATCAAAATTTAATTTGCAAAGATGAAATGGGAAGTAGACCTTACAACTGCAATTAAATCACAAAAAGCAATTCTGACATATAAACATGATTTAATAATATACAATTTCTAACAAGAGTTTCTAAAATTTTCCATGCACAATAATTTGCATACATGCCATGATAATTTTCACTTTCTTTCAAGCAAGTATCTTCTAATTTTGCAAAATTTCCTTTTCAAACATACTTAGTATAATTCATTTCAACTCGCCTCCCCCCCCCCCATAAAAAAAAGGAAGACATGTGTATCAATATCAAAGTAATGCTTCTCCCCAGTGAAGTTTATGCAATGTACAGTAACACTGATTACTCAGTATGTACATAGTATGACAAGTTTCCACTCTTAATTTCATATGAGAAATACAATTTACCATTGACTAAATTCAAGATGTTTTCAGCTTTGAATATTCTTTTCTACCTGACTTAGTTCTTTGACTCATTATTAGAAAAAACAAAGAGGGAAATAAAGTCCTTATAATTATCACAAATTTATGAAGCAAAGGAGCTAACAAAATGTCATTTTCTCCAAATTCCACTGCTTGTCGTATCCTATAAGCAACTTTCTCTGGGTCCATTCCACTGGCTGTAGTACTGTCCATTTCTGAAAAAAAGTAATAAGTTAAGGCATATGCTTGGTACACAGGCACTTGTTTATTTTTTGACCCATAATATAATAATATTATTATACTATGGGTCAAAAATTTATTACAGAAAAAAGTGCCTGTGGCTTGGTATCTCTTATTCAGTCACCCGCATGGCGCACCCGTTAGAGCATCTTCTCTAGAGTCGCGAAGTAAGGAGTTAATTATCCTTACGTCGCGGAATCGAATCCCACTGTGGGACGTGGAGACTGGTCATTCGGATGAGACCGTATAAACCGAGGTCCCGTGTCGCAGTAGGTGCTGGCACAAAAAAGATCCCTCACAGCTCAATGGCCCTAAGTGCTGAGTATAAGATAAAATTTGTAGCTCTCCACCGGCAAGTGGTGGCGTCTTCATATGAGTGAAAAATTCTCGAGAGGGACGTTAAACAACATACAATCAATCAATCTTATTCACATGTGTAGACTAAACATTCCCTGTATATCTAAGGCTATTTTAGTCCATGTCATTGAATTCAAAGTCAAAAGTTAATTACAGCCAATTTTGAAACATGGCTTGTTGTTAAAGTGATTCAATTTGTTGCTTGTGTGACTTATTAGGAGAAAATTGAAATGAACTAGACCAGGGTTTGAATCTGTGACACCTCTATCACTATCTCAACTGAACTCATATTCTAAAACACATGCCTGCCTGTCCACCATATTCCTCCCTCCTTAATGGTTTCCACCCTCAACCCCCTACCCCCAAAGACACCATTTGAAGGATCATTATTTCAACAACCTTGAAATTACTCTGTGGAAAGAAGTTTTATCTTAAGATTCATCTTTTCCAGCAGACTCTGTAATGAAAACACCATATTTTCATTATCTATTAATCATCTTGTTTTGGAAGGTGACTTGGCTTTTTAATGAAAATATTTTCTCTTCATCTAAGGATGCTTTGTGCCATGTTTGGTTTATATTAGCAGAACTGGTTCTAAAGATAAGTTGAAAATGTAGAACAGATTGACAACAAAGAAACATAACTTAAAAAGTTTGACCGCACCTCACCTCATCTGTTGTAAAGGTCAGCTATAAAAGCATGATAGATTTATTTAAATGTAATTATTAAGATCTTACTGTTGTATGATGATCCATCACCGCAAACTGCATTCTGGGATAGATTGGTCTGAATGTACCCAGGACTGACAACACACACCTGGATATTGTCACTGCTCACCTCAGCTCTTAGTGTGTCTAGAAAAGCCTGGAAAGCATGCTTGGAGGCTGCATCTATAAACAACAACTAGAAAGTATACACATGTCTAACATACAACATTGAAACAGTATTCACAAATATTCAATAATTAAAGGACATGCATTCAGAGATAATCTTGAAAATAACATACAGGCAAACCTGGTTATCTCAAACTACATGGGGCAGAGAAACAAGAATCCCATGGACCACAAGGCTCACCTGAGTAACTGGCCCTGCTGTTCTTCCCCAGATTTATCCTCTTATACATGTAATACCCTATCCTAACCCCCAGGGGTACAATTTGAAATTCAAATAATTTAGAATCTACACTTCCCACATTGTCTCAAGCCAAGGTCCAGAGTCCGCATAAAGCTCTCTCCTACCTGTGGCTGCTTGATCATAAAAAGTGTTGTAATCTTGAATATTTACGCCTCTCTATTGTGACGTCATATTCAGTCAGTGGGAAGTTTTGTTTCCATCGTAACAATTGACATCAACAGTATACAAGGAATATTTCGTAAACTGTGATTAGATATTGAAAGGTCGTGATAAAGTTCGTCATCCGACTATGCTTTACTGGCATTGGTCAATATTCTAATGACCTACGAAGAATTCTCTCCTCGTTCAACCATGGCCAGAATGGGAGAGGATCGTACATTTTGGCCGTGGTTTGCGACAATGCACTACCCAAGGATTCTTCCATATAAGTCTTGCTTTTCTGGCCCAGTGGTTCTTAATTTTCTTCTTTATACAGTAAAATCAAATTTTTTTGGTTTGTGAAAAAAAATGTGGGTTTAATGGGGATTTAATTTTATGGATGAAAAACTATTGAAAAGTAATATCTGTGAGAAATAATGTACCTTTATTCCAAATACCATTGAAAGATATGTTGAAGTGATTTAGAAGATAAAACCCAATTATTCTATAAGTATTTTACCATCAATATCTCAAATCCCCAATTAAATCTGTACCTTAAAGTTTTCTCTTGGTCCCATCTAGCTTGAGATATGTTTTTACTGTATATGAAGTAAGGATGCTTTTCTTTCGCACATTCTATTAAAACCAGTCCAAGAGCATGCTGACAATAAGATTTTCACTCACATTTTTAGTACTGTATATGATAACTCTAATCAAAGTTTCAACTTACATGCTGATCTGAATGGAATGGCAATCCTTCCTTGAACACTGCTCACACCAACAACAGATCCACCTCCTTGTTGTTTCATATGAGGTAAAACCTCTGAAAAGTATACCACAGTACATGTATTACTTAGGGTCACCTATTATTTTTCACAACATTCTACAGCTTTCCAATGAATAGGACTTGAATTTCTAACATCTTTTCTATGAAATTTGTATGAAAATGTCACTGGCCAAAGAACATTTATTCACTTCTGGGCTGCCTGAAAATGTCTCAGAATGTTAAGTTTTGTATGGAAAAATTTATGCACATATTTCTGAAGTACTTCTCTAAATTCTGTGACCTTGAATTGTGTCTTAATGACAATTAATCAGGGTTATGCCATAGCCTATATTCATTTAAACCCTTAGAGCAATATGAATTTTGGAGGGACACAATAATTACAGACAAGTCTTATCCACTTCATATTGGGTGACCCTGTTCTTTTCCAAATTACTAAGGTTACAGCAGTTCTAAAAATATTATAAAAGATAAAAGGAATTCCTCATAAATACGATCTTCTTTTTTTTTTGTAAGTTAGTTACCTTTAATTAAAGCAATTTGACCAAAATAATTAACAGCCATCACTCTTTCATCCACCTGTATCTGAGTACTGGTTATCTCCCCTCTGTAGCTGATCCCTGCATTGTTTATCAAAATATCTATCTGTCCAAATAATTTCAATCCCCTGGAAATATGTTCTTGCATATTTTTGTAGTCCATCAAATCCATGATGAGAATTTCTGGTGAAAAAGTCTCTGGCATCTGTAAGCAAAATTGTCATAACTGATTATTATTATAAAGTAGTAATAATTTTTTTTTAAATTATTAGACAAATATTTTGCAAAAGTTTGCTTTGTGGCTAACATAGATAGGCAAAACCATTATTTTTCTCTATACCTTTGTTAAGAGGACGATGAGAATGTACCTGCTTCTGAATAACTTCCTCTCTCACTTGATTTAACTGCTCCTGATTTCTCCCTGCCATGATAACCTTACACCCAGCTTGATGAAATGCAGAAACACATGCTGAAAATAGAGAATATATTTCTTTGAAATATTTTTCTTTAAATAATAAATACATGTAACATTCCTTTTTTCAATTTAATTACTACAATATTATGTATTGTCTCAGCAGTCAACATGCTCAGTATTAGATATAAGATTAATTAACCTATGTTAAATTTGTTAAGATTATAAAAACAAACCTTTTCCTAATCCTGAGTTGGCTCCTGTTATTAGAACAACTTTTCCCTTTAAGTTTTTCCTTTTCTTGTGAGACAGGAAAATGTTTAAAATATAAAGTAATCCAAGTGGACAGCCGATAAAACTACATATCTGACTCCACGTCATCACTTAAGCTGCTTTAATTAGATCTGAAATAAAAACTTGAAATGATAAATGTTTACTTCTTTTTATAAATTTCACTTCAAGTAGACTTTCGATCTGCATTGCTCACAAATACATTTAACAAGATTCATCAAAACCTTAAAAAATTGTCCCAAAATACTGACTACTGGACTCTTAACCCAATCATAAGCCCATGGACTAAAGTGAGATATAGTCATGTCAACCCTATTTGCCCCCCCCCCCCCCCCCCCCCCCACACACACACTTTGCAACCCCACCCAGTTGGGCATTTCTTTAACCAAATTCTTGAGAACTATACATATTAATATTATAAAGAATTATAATGTAAGATGAATTGGTTTATTCCCCGAATGGCTACTCGGAAAAAACAACAAGTAATTATCACACTCAATTAAGGGGCCCTCTAAGGGGTACAGGTAGACTTACCTGTATGAATTATCTACCAGAATTTCAATAAAATAAAATGGATTTTTAATTCATTTTTTTTATTTGAGCATTAGTATGAATAAATATTTTATATACATATTTTTTAAATAAATAATTTACAAGCACAAAACATACTAAAAAAATATAAATTATCTTGAAGTTCTATTGTTCAGCAGCACTGATTTTCACATTATATATTAAACAGCATTGTTTCACTTTCATATCACACATATTTACAATATTTACATGAAAATATCTGAAATACAGAAGGCGGACCTTATATTATACTGCGTTTTAAGGTCTACCCTGTCCCTTTTTCTAGTTTTTTATGCTACGAGAAGTAAATTTTCCCAGCTCTAAAATCCTATTTCAGTGCTTACTTTCAATTAACATTTAATATATAGTAAAATTGTTTCTGGAAAAAAGGGGGGGCATCCCCCCCCCCCCCCCACAATCCCCCTCTCTCAGATACTATTTGCCTGTTGGGTGAAAAAAGGAATCTGTAGTATAAATAATTATAAAATAGAGTAACTGAAGTTGGTCTTTATTTTCTATACATTTGATACACAAGGAGCATATGGAAAGATAAAGATAAAGGTTATCCCCCTTCTTTGACTAAGATGCATTTGTTGAAAGAAAGTTTCTCCAATCGAAACTAAAAATATTCTTTATATTACTATCCAAAGTTATATTGGGTAAATACCTCTACGCAATTTATGAAAAGTGAACCCAACAAATTCTTTTATGGACCAGATTGTATTTATTTTCCCATGTCTACAACGGAGAATGACGGATGAATTTGAAAAGGGTCATTTAGGGACATCAGTAAATTTGTTTGATGTAATTGATTTAAACATATTTTATTGAGCACGTTCAATGGATTGGACACACGTTATACACATGTACTGACTTACAGTTTTAAGGTCCACCCTGTCATTTTCTCTTGGGCTCTGTTTTTATCTCGAATCGTCTATATTTATTATACAAATTGAAACAAACTTCTGTATTTTATGCTGATTTAAAAGAATTCTTAATAATTAAAAATGATAAATAAATGAAAAATTAGACAAAACTTTATAGAAACACTTTATTTATCATATATAAATACCTATATTATTTTAAGAAAAAAATCATTTGTGTCAATTTATTTATAAGAGTTTGAAAATGTAGCACAAAAAGGGGATAATAACTTTGAAATTCTCAATCAATACTATTGAATAGTTTGGGAAAAAATAAATTAAAGGTACAATATAAAATTTACTTTTCTTAAATCTTAGTTTTATCTATTTATATTTATCTATTTTTTGTTTCAGTATATTTCCAAAAAGAAAAAAAAAACTCCTTATTAAAATAAAATTGAATGAATATATCTGATTTATAAAATATTGCTTATCCAGGTAAACACAGGTAAGTCTACCTGGGGAGGTCAACATTACCGCTACATTGCCAAAAATTTCAACTCATAAGCGCTACATTTTTTCAGATTTTCGACCGATCATTACCGCTACATTTTTCCGGCCAAAAACAACTCATTACCGCTACACATTAAATCAGCCCAAAACAAATCATTGCCGCTACATATCGATATAGCCAGGTATGGTTCGGTATATGAGTTCTAATCAAAAGAATTCACTCACTATCTACATTATCAGAATGAGTTTATTTATATAAATAACTCTGCAGTCGAAGTTTAATTACACCGGCTTACTTATCGATGGTTATAAATTTAGAAAACAACAATATTTCAAGCAAATGGCTTTCAAGGCTTTAGCGATAGTGTAAAAAAACATTTGACAAAACTTAAAATTTTATATATGAACAGTGCTTGATTTTAATTTTTTGTTGCGTTTTATGAAATAAAATTGATTTAAATAATTTTTAAAAAACCATCCTGCTCAAAGTCCTACATTCACCTCCCCGTGATGAGCAGGGGAAACGGGTCTCATGCATTTATAGGTTGTACTGTACACAATGTAGCGGTAATGTATACTTTTTTATGTAGCGGTAATGTAAGGTTTTTTGTAGCGGTAATGACTATGTAGCGGTAACGAAAATTTTGAAAATCTAGCGGTATTGATACGCATCCTCTACCTGTACTCCTCAGAGGGCCCCTTAATTAAGTGTGATATATAATTACTTGTTGTTTTTTCCGAGTAGCCATTCGGGGAACACACCCTCAAGAAACAGATTTTTTCTATGTATCAATTAAAAACTTAATTACTTTGATCCTTTGTATAAGCTCTGTGACCATTAGATTTAAACACTGCATACATGAAGATGCCCCTTCCTACCCCAAGGGGTCACAATATTATTAACATACTTTTGTCCAAAGTTACTCAGTATGATTTAGTATATATATGTCACAGGTGAGGTGGTGAAAAGTCAAGTCTCAACTTGGACTCGAACACAGGGCCTCTAGCGTACTGTGCCAGTGCTCTAACCAACTGAGTTATTGAGACCCAATATTGACTGACTTTCACGCACATGTGAACCCAGTGACATATATATATATATATATATATATATATATATATATATATATATATATATATATACACATATATTTAGTTGCTTGTCAAGATTTTAATATGCAGTAATTATGTCAAAAAATTTACTGACGTGTTGACTAAAATATTTCAAATGATTGGAATAAATTTAACAATGATACATTAAAAAATGTAAACAAATCCTTTGATCTAATTTCAAAACATTCACTTTGTGAATAAAATTTTGTATAAATAATAAAAAAAACATTTCAAACTTTCCAGCATATGAAATATCCCTTGTTTGTTATCAAATTCTTAAATGCTAAGAATGATGCCCACAAATGAAATCTTTCTTTCTTTTTGACCGTAAAAAATGGATTCTAGTATTAGCATGTCTCTAAGGAAACTTGCAGATAAATAACTTATAATAATCTCGCCATGTGTACTCCTTGAGTCAAACAGAAAGTACAACAGACATCAAAAGTGAAAGTGCAGACAATAGTCAAAGAACCGCAATGATGTAGTCTTTTCTTTCTCACTTCGATAAATTGAAGCTTTCTTATCATTTTTTGAGGTACCTTAAAATTAAATCCAACTCAAAAACAACATAAAACCTCATGAAACAGAAGTAAACTTCTGAGTAGCCAGGTAGAAATTTGGCGGAACCGGAATTTGCACAATGCGTGAAGAAGCACGAAATGAGTCACGACTGCGCATAATCTTTGTCAGGTTTTTTGTCGCAAGAAATCTGTTATTTCAAAAAAAATGAAACAGAGGATTTGCAACCAGAAGGGCACTTTATTATGACTATGACAAGTTGTCAGCACATAACTGAGTACAAGTCTAAATATGGAACCAACCAATTTCGAATAATTCATGCATATTTTATCGCTACTTCATCGGACAGTGCAAGGCAAAGAAAGGTGTATTGTTTGTTTTGACAATGCCAATTACATTATAACCATTACTAATATAATAGCGAGAAAAGAAATTATGTTGGAAATAAGACAGAAAAATAATCTAAGACAAGATATATTATCCTCATTGTCTGGTAAAGTTTTATGTTGAGAAATAGAACAAGGAAATTATGTTGATCGAAACATGATCATGATGATTGATGGATAAGCATGATTAAATTATTTTCCATTAATTTAGGGAAAGTCTGGGGTATGTCACACCTGCCGCTTCCCATCCTTCAGACTCCATGCCTGTCTGTACTGTGTATTTTTTGGCTGTTACACGACCAAGCACATCCATGAGCATGCATTCTCCAAGAATCACAATTTAGGTAATTTATCATATATATTTTAACTGTGTAATCAGTCTGCAATTTATATACATTCTGTAATAAATTATATGAAAGTTAAAGATCTATACATCATTTAATATGTTTATGTATCAAATCTCTTCCATTTTGTTCTTTACAGCTGCTGACATGACATATGGGACGATTTATTGCTTTGAATGTGGAGACTATGTTTATGACAAAGAACTGGAAAGCATTGCTCATATCCAAAATGAGAAAGCTGCCAAGTCTTTAGGTTTATTTTCATAATTATTTTTTTCTAATGATGCAAGTTATTTAATTTAATGATAATGTAAGGGTTTGAGATGATCAATTTACATTTAAATAATATATGAATTTTTCTAATCATTCATTTAATTGGTATGAGACTTTGCCTTTCTTAAAGAAAAACTAATTTGTAGAGTTTTATAATTTGATTACCTATTTTCTGTATATCTTTCTTTCTGACATTCTATTTCCTATCATAACAGGGATGAAAACATACAATTTCATAGCATGGGAACCAACTGATGTAGAGGTTGAAATTCTTAGACAGAATCCCAAGAGGAGAAAAGTAGAAAATAAGTCAACTATAGGTAAAATATTCATACGCTATATGTTACATTGTCCCTTTTTATTAGCTCACCTGAACTGAAAGCTCAAGTGAGCTAACTTTTATGATCACATTTTGTCTGAAGTCCATCTGTCTGTTCATCTCTAATCTTTTTACAATTTCAACTTCAACTCTCAAGAACCACTGGGCCAATTTCAACCAACCTTGCTACAAAGTATCCCTATGTGAAGGGAATTCAAGTTTGTTCAAAACAAGGGCCACACCCTCTTTCAAGGGGAGATAATTTTTAATTAGTGAAAATTTAATGATATCTTTTAAAAATCTTTGTATCCAGAAATACAGCCCCCAGTGTGCAAATAATAATCTACAGTTTATGTGAAAGACAGCAGTCAGCATTCCACTTAATGATAGATTGTACAATTTGATATCAAATCATTGTATTGACCATAGAATTCTTGAAATGTTGACATTTAATGAGATTTTAAATAAGTTTGCTTCCTTTACAGGATTGAGAGGGCTAATTAATTTAGGAAATACCTGTTTTATGAACTGCATTGTGCAATCATTGATTCACACCCCGGTGCTACGTGACTTTTTCCTTGCTGATAAGCACAATTGTCAAATGACCTCAGTAGAAGCTCAACAGTGCCTTGTTTGTGAGATGGCAAGGCTTTTCCAAGAGGTATTTTGTTACGACTTTTCATTAAATGATGAATAGAATTAGATAATTTTTTTTACATGCCTTGCAGTAAAAAACAGAGAAAATGTATAAGTACAATTGCAATTTGAACAAAGACATAAAAGGTTACACTGTAGTGTATTTTTATTTTTACAGTTTTATTCTGGCAAAAGAACTTCGTATCGTCTATTACATTTGGTTGATGTACATTTAGTATTTGAATGAAGACATTGAAGGTTACAAAGTTTTTTATGTTTATTCTTTCAGTTTTATTCTGGCAATAGAACTCCCCATATTCCGTATCGTCTATTACATTTGGTCTGGACCAATGCTCGACACCTGGCTGGCTATGAACAACAGGACGCTCATGAGTTTCTGATCGCAGCACTTGACGTGCTGCATCGGCACTGTAAAGGTTACTCAGATAATAAGTGTTTATCCATCAACAAGTTCTTCACAGGTTTGTACAGGCTTGTATATTCCCTGTTCGTTCAAACTTTTCTCTCTGGGTTCTGTAAATCTCAATTGCATATCTAAAGCCTTTTCAGCTTCTTGCAATGGAGACCATTTCTTATTTCTGTCTTTCAAATAGACCTCCTCTTTTTAATTCTGGAAAGAATTTCAGAACATTGTTTGATGATCTGCAGAAAAATCAAAGGGGGAATACAAGATTGTATGAACATTCATACGCATACCTTTATATCTTGTATGTATCATCAACATAGCATAGAACTTGTATGTGAATACCTTTTGGTCAATGGTGGGTTGTAATTGCATGAATAAAAGGTTATGACTGTTATTCTGTGTCTAGGTATACAAAATATTTGCAGTTGGTTTTTTGACTTTATGTGTTGTACATGTACTTGTAACTTTCTACATTTGATAATGTATTAATCCCAATGTGCACTGTATGTATATGTTTAGTCACCTATGCCTTTATATTTAGTAATCAGTGATCCCTGCATATAGACAGATGTTATTTGTTTGCATGAGGTGGTATTCACTTTATGTTCATTAATGTACCTTTTATGTGTACATCAGATTCTTTCTTTCTGGCAATTGCTGAATTCTGTGTTTTCTTTAACCAATTTGTGACATAACATGATATGTGTATGTAAGACAAAACTTTGTGATGCATGATCAGCTATTTTGGTGTTTTCTCAAGTAAAAGTGCTTTTTGTCCCCGATTATCAAATTGCCAACCATTTTGATTACAAATTTTTCTTCTTGCAAATCACTTCAATTAAACTTGTTGAAATAATGCAATTTTTGTTCACAAACTAAAGTACAGAAAATTAAATTTTCTTTTTAAAAAAAAAAAGAATACATTTACAAGCATAATACTTCATGTACATGTATATTATGTTATGATGAATTTAATTTTATAAACTTTTTTTTATATACTTCTTCAGGGAGAAATGGAATGGCTTCAGGGAATCCACATCACTGTAACTGTATCATCGACCAAATCTTTACTGGCGGTTTACAGTCAGATGTCACATGTCAGCAGTGCAAGTATGTCATATGTCAGTATGTCAGATTGTGTCACCACTAAACTGATCACAAAGGGATAAATTTTGTTGAGTGTCTATCCACATTTATTTGTCTGTCTGTGCAGAAAATACATCAAAATTAGTCTCATAAACATGTAGTCCTTTAAGGAAATATTGCTTAATAGCTCTGTTCACATGTGTCAGATGTTGTACAAATTGTCTGAAATATGTTATCAATCAAGGTTATTTTAATTTCCTCATTGTCTTGAAAGAAACCAGAGTTGAAACATTGTTTTTTAATTCTTTCATTGCCTGAAAAAATCTTTAAAAAACATCAATCAAGACTTTTTAGAGTTGTTCAACAAAGTTAAGGATATCAATCCCCAAGTCAGGGACTATAACTCTGAAAATTAAGATTTATTTGAACATGTCTGTTCTTTTGTAGTAATGTGTCCACCACAATAGACCCAATATGGGACATTTCTCTTGACCTGGGACCAGGTGCCATACCAAATGCTCTCCTTAATGTTAATAACTCCAGCTCATCACCAAGTTCAGGTGAGCTCTGCAGCCATTAGAGGACTGTTTTATTCTTTTGGATTAATTTATTCTTTTGTTAGAAGTGATTTTAATGATTGATTTTCGTCAAATGATACCATTATAGATATAGACCTGACACGCACAATATTGTACCACAAACAAAAATGAATGTAGATCAAAACCACAAAAAAAAAAACTCTTCATAAATTTAACCATATATGAACATTTAATAGTTTCAACTAATACCATTAAAGTATTCTCCTTAACAAATTTTAAATGATTATTCATAAAGTTAAATATGAAATCAGTATTTAAGGTAGTTAATTTTATGTTGACAGGTTTTACAAATAGTCCAGGAACTTATGAACCTACCTCATTATTAGACTGCTTAAAAAGGTATGTTACAGGAGGGTATGATTCTAATTTAGAAAAAATATATGTTGATCATAATATAATACACAAAATGATACATAGATAAAGTATTAATTTTCTCAATCTCTGTAGATTTACAAAGCCTGAGCACTTAGGCAGTTCAGCTAAAATCAAGTGTAGTACGTGTCATAGTTACCAGGAGTCCACTAAACAGCTGACTATGAAGAAGCTGCCAATAGTGGCCTGTTTTCATCTCAAGGTTTGTTTACTCCTCTGAGAAAGGGTGATATATTAATATGAAGTGCTCTTATGATATCTTAATTTTTTTTCTCTGTAGTTCAATTATTTTGTCCCCCGCTTGAAAAGTGGGGGATATTAATTTGGGTTTGTCCGTCCGTCCGTCCGTCCGTCTGTCCGTCCGTCCGTCTTTCTGTCTGTCTGTAACGCTTTCGTTTCCACACGATATCTCGAGAACCCTTTGAGCTTTTGCAATGAAATTTAGCATAGCAACTCCCTATGGACTAAAGAAGACCCCTATTGATTTTGAGGTCAAAAGGTCAAAGGTCAAGGTCATAAATAAGCAAATTATGTATGTTAAAACACTTTCGTTTCCACACGATATCTCTAGAACCATTTGAGCTATTGCAATGAAATTTTATATAACAACTCCCTGTGGCCTAAGGAAGACCCCTATTGATTTTGAGGTCAAAAGGTTAAAGTTCAAGGTCGTAAATTTATACATTCTGTCTGTGTGTAATACTATCATTTCCGGGCGATATTTCAAGAAGATTTTGAGCTTATGCAATGTAATTTTATACCAAAACTCCCTAGGACGTCTCTCGCCCCTCTCAAAGTGCCCCGCCCCGTTGTTTTATTAGTATTTATAGTATTACATGTCGCTATTTTTAGCGCAGGGGCATGAGGAGAGTTATTGCGTATAAAACAGGTTCTCGGCGGACTTTATGTTCTTATTACATCTATTAGAACTGTTTAATACAGGTTAAATAAATCAAACACCATGGATTGTGTAAAATTTTGAGAATATCGAACATGAAAACATGAATATATACATATATGTGACTTCAGTTCTGCATATACTTCACATCGGATAAAGCGATTCCGTGGTCCAGTGGTCATGTCTCTCGCTTCAAGTGTGAGAGGTCCCGGGATCGAATCTCGGTCGATGCTTTCTCTTTTTTTTTTAAATACTTTTTTTTTTTACTAAATGATAGTATTCAGCATGTGAAATGAAAAATTTATGAGGTTATAAAATCATTATTACAGTGTGATAAATCATGTAAATATTCCATATAAAAAGAATTTTCTATACACGTAATAAAGAATAAGCAATCAAATCTTTATATGCATATTGACATACATGTATTTTATTTGCTTCAGTATACATGTATACATATAATAATTCTACAAATTTTATTATTTACAACTTAAGTCAGGGGGATCTGACACCCCCCCCCCCTCCACGAACTGCGCATGGTTTACTTTTTCCCTAAGCGGGGGACACAAATTCTCTGAATTAGCTTGTTGGGTTTTGAGATCAGAAGTTCTGTATTATATAGTTTTACAGTTATGATTCTTTTTGTTCATCTTTTCATTGAATATGATATTTTTATGCTGCAAAGTTATGAAAATATTTGTACTATCATATGTACTGTACTTATACACGGAGGTAACTGATTTTTAAAAGGAAAATATGCATTATATTGTAAAAGGATACAGAAAAAAATTAAAAAGAAATTGAAGTAATTCTCTGTTATAATTAATTACAGTTATCATTACAGGCCTCCGGAAGAAGATCTGAATACATATCATATTAATTTGTTACAGAGATTTGAGCACTTAACAGGCCTTCACAAGAAGATCTCAACTTTTGTATCATTCCCTGAGGAGCTGGACATGACCCCCTTCATGTCCTCCTCCCGAAATAATAACAATGGCTACAGGAACCAAATCGTACAGGAATCTGCCAAAGGGCTTTCATGTGATAACAAGTAAGTCCTATGACCTACTGTAAACTACTGTTTATTTGTGAGAACTATATTTTTGGGTCATTATGCAAGACATTGTGGTCACAAGCAAGGCGGTCCGTTTACATGCAAGATTGTCACTCACAAAAAATATTTTTAAGTATACTTTTATTAGCTGAGGACATGTACAACAAAAACCAACATTTGTTGTAAATTTTGTTTCTCTTATAAATACCAAATGCATAACAGTTAGATAAAAGATGTCACCAAAATTTGATAATCTATTAAAATCTGTTTAAAAATCATAATACCATCCAGATAAAATATACACAGCTTTACTGTATAAGGCCAAAGTTTTTATTTTTTTTGGTTTACGTTTTTTTGACACAAAAATATGCATTGGGCGGTCGAAAAATAAAAATAAAAATAATTTGGAACCTTGACATATTTTTCTCGAGTAACATTGAAATGTATTCAAATAAAAATTATAATAAACACATAAGATTTTTCAACTTTATTATTTCTGTTTTATTCTGTTACTGTTGATGGTTTTCATTCTTCTGACTTACAAGTTAGAGTTTCCATAATAGACACGTTGCACTGGGACAAATATGGGTAAAATTAAGTGAATCGGCTATTCTGTATTCTGCAGCCTTTCCACTTATGAAAAAGTTTTTGGAAACTCCCAAAGTGATGGATTGCTTTCACAACAAACTTTTATCTTAAGATATGTGTGTCCAGGGACCAACCTAGACCCAAAGTTTAGGCAGAAATTTCTCCCTCAAAGAAATTTAGTTAGAAGTTTTGAAAAGGGAGACTTCTTGGCGTGCGTACGTGGCACACATTAAATGTTATAAAAGTAATAAAACTATATTTCATTGTTTATATCTTGCATACATTTCGATATTTTTTCTGTATAAACATTGTATTTAAAAATGATTAAACAAGAGAAAAAGAATCTTAAAAGATATTTCCCCCAATTATAAGGTATATAAATATCTAGAAAAATAATAAAACAACATTGACATTAAATAAAATTTACTACTACTACTATTAAAATGAAAGTTTCTTATTGTCAGATTAATTGTTTATCAAACATTTAATAGTAGCACAATCTTAAACTTCTAAAATTTCTCTTCTCATTAGATTTCTAGGCTTTTGGCATAGTCATAATTTTGTTAATTTCTCTTCAAACTTTGTTTTCTATATAAAATTCTTTTTCTAATAAAAGTTTTGACACACATCTGCATGCATGCCGATTGAACTACTTATGTTTATCGGATCCGATGTGTGACTTCTTAGGAAGTTAATAATTTCACAATTTAACAGTAAAACTATGTCTGTATTCACAGCATGAATTAATTATTTGACAATAAAAAGATCTAAAATCTTCTCCAACATCTTTGGCATGACATCGATAGCTGTCCAGCTGTTTTGCGTCTTGTTGTGTATAACTTGTAACGATGAACTTTTTCATACCCGGAAGTGTAAAATCTAGAGGAGTTCCGACGCAGTATTCGATGCATTGGTCATTAGTATAGAAACAGTCTGAAAGTGAGTCGCCCCCTAGGTTGATCCTTGGACTGTCCCGCTATGTGGTTTGGCAGTCTGTATTTGTGGAGGTCATTGGAATGTTTAAGATGTGTTGTAAATTATAAAAACAGTCATTTGGTCGAGAAAATTTCGGATTAAGGGTCCAGTCTTGAGAGTCAGACACATTATTTTTATTTTTGTAAATAGGGGAAAATAGGGTCGGCGGAATCTTAAACCAAGAGAAAAAAAAACTTTGGCCTAATGTGGATCTGTTTCATTTTTGTAGATATTCATTGTTTGCTGTTGTGAACCATATGGGTACAATAGAATGCGGCCACTACACCTGTTTTATCCGACAACACAAGGACCAGTGGTTCAAGTGTGACGACCACCTCATCACGAAGGCAACACTTAATGACGTGCTTAAAAGTGAAGGGTGAGCTGGATTATTTGTAGGAAACATCAAATCATAAAGTGATAAATTTGACTAATTTATCAATTTTATTGACTTTTTTTGGAGGCAGAAGGGGGGGGGGGGGTCAACATAAGAATGAAAACAGTTGAATTGTTTCTTATACAGCATAGTGTGGGATACTTACATGTAAAATGAAGTGTATAAGTTTGATGAAGAAAGCTGTTAAATACATGTACATGTAACTTAGTGTCTTATTAATATGATTGCGCCCATGACAAAAGGGCCTTATGGCATTTTTACTAAAACAGAGAAATAACGTCATAAAGATGTGACGTTGCAGACTGACGGTGAACTTCGAAGAAAAATTTTTTTTCACCACGTGTTTTGACGTTTGACGCATCCAGACTTTTTATCGCTGTTTCCAAGATGTGGAATTTATTTTCATGTATAAATTAATTTAATCAATACTCGAATCTCCTAATCCGCCGACTTTAATAGGTATAAATAAAAAACATTTAGAACTGGTTTCTATTATATTCTATTCTATTAACATATCTATTATATATGAATACGTCTCAAATAGTTTTCCTACATGCATAATTTATAGATAGAAGCTGTAGACAAGGTGTTTTTTCTGATAGGATAATAAAACTGTATACTCTTGATAAATAATTTTTTTATAATATTTATACCAGATTTATGATACATGTTAGACAGGGGTATATTGTTAAAATATTGCAAAGGAAATTTGAGATCCGCTCCACCATTCTCAATATACATGTATACCTTGGTACATCGCGATCGCGTCGATCACATGCAATCATTGATCCATCGGTGCATACTGCTTAAACTTTTGTTAAATTGTTTAATATACTTATGTTGAAACTAAACACACATCTTAGACTACATTTTACAAGTTTAGCAAAAAATGTGTAAGAGCGACAGATGCTGAAGATGTTTGTATTTTCTATAAATAAAATATAGGAGAGATAACTCTGATGTCAACAATCGATGTGACAGGGGTACCAGAGAGGGACTTTCATTCGCATGAATTGCTCCCGGATTATAAAGACCAAATAAAAACACTTTTAATTGTCAGCATAATTAATTTATGATTTTTTAAATAAAAAATATTGTTGTACTTTGGGAACAAGGTTCCGTTAATGTAGAAAAGGAAAAACAAAGAAAAATAAGGAAAACTGTAGTATTGAACAAACGTACTTTCAATTTTTTTTTTTCAAATCTCTCATCCATAGCTTTTTTTTTTAACATGAAACAATTTAATAACTTTTTTTAAAATAATATACATGTATAGTATCTACCGTATCATGAATCATGATTAAATAAATTAAACTTTATAAATGTTGTTTTGTCTTAATTATTTTCTTGTCACTAAGACACTTCAATTTAGAGATACTGGTATTAAAACAAGCAAAAACACCCAAATGAAAAAAATGTTCTAAATGTTCTAACTTAAATAGCTAGAGCTGGTCAAGTAAATCTGATGAGAGTGAGAGAGAGAGAGAGAGGCGGGGGGCAAGAGAGAGAGAGAGAGAGAGGATGGAGGGTATAGATAAAAATATTTATATAGAATCAATTTATCTTATATCGGGAAATGTGAAACTCTATTGAAAAAGATGAGTTTTCAAAACAAACAAAATACATGTGATAAAATACTGTAAAATGAAAGATTTTTTTTTTTTATCTAAACTACATGTATGGCAATTTATTTTCAAGATCTCCAAATTTAATATACATGTAACTCTTTTGTACTTACGTGTTGTTTTTTTTTTATATACAGAGTTCAAATGTTTTAAGCATTATTTGCAAATAAATCCCTGAAGCCATGCAGGACTTTGTCTTTCACAAAATCTCGATCAGCATTGAATGTTTCTTAACAGATCAATTATCATGCTAAGAACCCATTTCATCATTGGACTTATAATCTCATTGCAGTTATCAGTGTGGAATATATTGTTTAACCTGTCATCAAATTATGGATACATATCATAATACATGTATATTGTATAAGCACATATTATGATTTTATTTGATTTGATTGACAAAAAATCCTTATAAGTTCAGGGTTGGGTTTTATTTCTTCATTTAAATGCTGACATAGAATAAAATTCAATGCTGAAAATAAACGACATAAAACCGCTACAGCATGCTTGCATTATGTTTTATTTTGGCTGCAGTGTAGGGGATGGGGGGTGTCCTTTTATATTTCCGTAACATGTAAGGCTTTACAAGGCTTAGCATATCAAAGCTTCTGGCACGGGAACAGAATGGAATTCATACTCTGTAAAACTCACTTTATAAAATAAAATTAGAAAACAAAATGACTGCCGTCACGAGAAAAGGGCCCTTAAGGTCAAATTTTCATAAAATGACGTTTTGGTGAATTTTGATAGCCGGACTCCTTCTGAATGCAAATATACATAAATTTTGAAAATATCTCACTTTTCCAGTATTTTATGAGCATTTTAGTTAGGCGCTCCAAAAACAACTTTGACGCTACTCACTGAAAACGTAATGACGTCGCCTGCGTCTAATTCATTTTTCAGAAATTCTTAAAATTACGTTATTTTAATAACCTCAATTGTTTTGAGAATTTAAAACTTGAGAAAGTATCTAATTTTTTCTTCCAAGCGACTATTATGTAACTATTCCTAAGGAATTTCGTATATTATTATTATTTTTATACTATTTTAGAGCAGATCTAGTTATTTCGTAAAAGGGGGTCTTGACAGAATCTAGGAATACTAGTAGTTTATACATGTAACATAATCAATAGGGAAATAATATTTGTTTAAATCCATACAAATTATCTTTTTTTATCGATTTATAAAATATATAAAGCATTCGGACACTTAAAGATTAAAGGAAATATATACAGAGAGAGAATCCCATGCAGAATGGCACCGCGCGCAAAACGGGGCACCCCCTCGCAAAAAGCACATCGATCCCGATATTAAAAAAATCATATGAGTCAGCATTCACTCACCAACACACACGCACGTAACTTTGTTCCCTTTAATTGTTCCGATAGGATGAAAAACACCATGTATTTTCTTCATCATCGAAAAATTCAATTGGAAAATAAATTCAGATACGCCAAGATATGTAAACTTGTTTTTAAAAACGTTTGTCATGTTTGTTCCGTTTCTAAAAATTCATGAATTAAAAAAATATATACTATACGTTCGCTACTTCCATGCAAGCGGATTTTAAAACTGTTACTTTTTTGAATATTTTATTTAAAATTTTTAAAGCTCTAAGGTTCCTTTGTTTAAACAATGCATTTTTTCGCCTGTATTAGTTATGGAGTAGAAACATCGTAAATAGGCAAAAACATGTACAATGTACTTGTAAAGGATTCTCTTATGAATTGTTTATATACCGTACCTTAAGTTGAAACTTTCTTTGAATTTATACCTCAAATTGAAACCGTCTTTTAACTTCTTACTTTTTTAAAAGTATACCATAATTAAAATCGGTTACAAATATTTCTGCACCATAACATTTTTTTTAAAATTTTTTTCGCACCTGTACCCTGTTTACATTTGTATATTTTTTTCAAGGGCCGCTACTATGATCTGAAAAAAATGATTTATGTATATTGTATGATATAATCAAACGAGATGGTGAATTGTGCTGTTCTTTTCTCTTTTTAATATAAGTTCACTAAACGCCGTGCTTGACTTTTCTTAGCTGCAGATCTGTAACGTTATATGGTTTTACATATTTGTCCTTGACCATGGTCAAAGACAAATATGTAAAACCATAACGCTACAGATCTGCAGCTAGACTTTTCTGTGCGAAATTACAGTTCCATTAAAATTTTGACGAAATCTATTTGAAACTGAAACTGAATATTTTTACGCAAGAACGACAGGCCCGTAGGAAGCCATATAAGGTGTGTGTGTGCAAGGGGGGGGGGGGGGGGGGTACCTATATCTTTTTCAGTTGTGAGCACTTTCAACCACCAAATATTCATTGACAAGCAAAACAAAATCTTCCACACGTCCATGAAAGGTCATCTATTCATTTTTTCCTTCGTACCAATGGCTAATTAACTTGACACCTAATAGGTTTTTTCTCATTTCGAAGCGATTGTCTCATCCACTAATGAAATATTACGTCCAGCACACATTCATGAGGCGATGCTTTAATTAAGTAATAATATACCGCTCTAATTTGACTCTCATTCGCTTAAAATATTTATGCAAACCATTGTTTTCCTAGTAATTACTTCAAAACATACCAAACATATTATAAAAACCCACACATTTGACTCGTATCTTCTCCTGTCCCCACACACTCATTTGAAAAAGGGGGGGGGGGAGGTCAGCCAGAAAAAAATAAATTTATCTTAAAAAAAAAACTACTCAACCAAAAAAAGGGAGAGGGGGGTTGTGAAAACTCGAATCCAATTTCGCCGTTGGGGGGGGGGGGGGGGGGGGGGTAGGTTCAATCTTCTTTCAGAATTAATTTTTTTATTCAAACATAACACACACTCCCTAATTCTTTTGTAGTGCACAAATTTGACTATGCCGCAACAAAAAGTGTGTATCTGTGTGTGTGGAGGGGGGTACTTTCAATGTAGCTCCCCCCGTTGCTACTTCCGTGGACTGTGATAGCCAATATTTTCTTTAAAAGTAGAAATATTTGTGTTTGTTTATTAATTCCTTTCCGTAGAGTCATGTTATATGTAGTATTATGATATACTAGTTAAGTCTTATCTCGATTTTAACAAAACTTAAAGAAATTAATGTCGATAGAGATATGCGGGGTATTCTGATACATGTACATCAGATTTGAAGATTTCAAAGCAGAACGTGACTTATTTTTTTCAAATCATGAATTCAATAGTCAGTGAAATATATTTCACGCACATTTTCATAACTTATGGAAATTACACCCATAACCAGTTGTCACTTATACTTTTTGCTCTATCTATAGTAATGTATTCTTAATACATGTACCCATATATCTGACATTAGCCAGAAATTCTGTACGTCTTTTCGCCTACTGTAATCTATATAGTTTTTTTTTCTTTTGGTTTATAAATATCGTCATTCATAATATCATTGTCGATGCAATATTGTTAATTCTACCAACATACGGTATAATGCTTTTGGGAAAGTCTACACTAGCTGTATTTAATTTCTTTTAAAACATATTATAATATAGGTTCGAGTAAGATTTCATTCAATCATTTCATCGGAAAATTTTTAGAAAACAATAGTAATTTTTATCATACAATTCCTTTGAATTTATTTATTTGATCATTTTAAATGTGTTTTTGAAACAAATTTTTTTAGCAGAATTTCCGTGGCATCCCCATCCTCCGTATTTTCCCCCCTTTTCCCTTAGCATGTTCTCTTACTGTTAGCTTATATCAAAAAAATATTGTTGATGTAGAAGGTTTCCCAGTATTTTTATTCAATCAAAGAGGGACTTTGTTTTTACCTTGAACTTTTACCGGTCTTATAATTCGGAGATTTTTTTGGCTTGTCTACTTACCCCCTCCCTTTTTTTACACACTTTAAAATCGACAGTTCACCGAAGGCTGGCTATCGAGGTACATTAGTAAGATTAATTGTGGATTAAAATTAAAATGGCTAAATACATTTTAAATTATGATATAAAAGTAGCGCTTATAAAAACGGTAATTACTATATGTGCAAAGATCTCTCACTCGCTCTTTTTTTCTTTCTTTTTCTCTCTCTCTGAAAAAATTTACATGTATATGGAATATATATTTTGATATTAAGACTTCTTATCATTACTTCAAATTTCAGCATTTGTTAATTGCTCAGAAAACAAATATGCAGCAGCTTTAATTTAGTCATGCATAGACATTGTTTTAATCGCTGTTCCTGTGTTCCACAGCAATGTGCATGTCCAATGCCCCGTATATATATCAACAAGTTAAATTTATACTTTAACAAAATTATGAATAAATTTACGTACTAAATAGTAAATAATATCATATACCTTTTAAAAATATCCGCATCAAATTTCAAATTTTTGATACACTTTGAAATTCAATTTTATTTCTTGTTCACAAAATGCAATCAACAAAATTACTTCCGTGTTTACAATACCGCGACTTTGACGTCGTTTTCTCAGCATTGTGACGTCAAAAGATAAGGGCCCTTTTCTCATGACGGCAGTCAAATCATTAGAATGAAGGGGAATTTTTTTTTAATTAAGTCATAAAATAATATGATGAATTTTTTGAGATGCTTGCATCCCTACAAAAATCTGACATTTCAAAACTCAGCCAGTTCACAGACAATTGTCAGGAAATATATTATACAAAACAGTCATATTTAATTGACTGTATATTTAGGCATGGATAATTACATGTTATTAATTTTTAACCCACCCCTACCCCAACAAAATATATTAAAATGCATGATTCAAGAAATATTACAGGATATAGCTATTATCGATTTGTCTACTGGATTTTTTTTTTTTGAAATTAATGAGAAAAAAGACGACGAACCAATTCTGTTCGAAATTCTTTTAAAAAATTATGTACATGTATATGGTTTCCTTAATTTAATTCTATTGGTATGCCTCTAAAACCATCCAATTAAAAAAACCCAGATTTTGTTAATCTAGGGTGTCATTATATACATGATAAACAAGATTGAATTTCATAGCAATTCAGTTCCAGGCTCGTAGTGATCATGATCGCTGTGCGATTTTTAAAATGGCAGTTCTCAGAATTAAAGGTACAAATATAAAACGAAGAATACCCGGTAATATGCAGCATTATTTCAAACCTAAATAAAAAAGTAAATTTACAAGTTGTACGGTTAATGGTACTGGGTGTAGGAGAGACACCCCGCCTGTGCACCTAAAACTTGGGAAGTAAAAAAATCTATATTTAATTATTTTAACTCGTGTTCACAAGAATTGTAAGTTTCTGCCATTTAGATTTTAAACCCCCCCCCCCCCCTCACCAACACAAGCATAATCCTACCAATATTAATCCTTGGTCTGACAACCTATTGTGAAAATGAGTGCGGATTATAATTCATTCATTTGCTTATAAAATTTCCCCCTTTTTGACTGGTAAATATGAAAATATTTTTACTGCTAGAACGAAAAATATTTCTTGTATCCTTTATATTTTTCAAACAGCAGTGTCATTTTTTACCCTATGCAGGCAGACAACCTTAAAGATGCAGTGAATCAACCAGATTTCCCTTGTATTTACTGTTTATTGTATATCGTAATAACATGATATCACACTTCATAGTTTTTCTGTCTTTATATAGAATTTAGAAGAAAAGAACGATCAGATAAATTTTCAATTAGCAGTAGCATTTAGGTAGCATATTGTTGTTCCAGATATAATTTTTTAAAATTAATTTTCACATGTACGGTAACTTGAGATATATCGTTTTATGTTGAATTCAGGCAAAAAAAAATACATATCGACCTATCGAGAGCAATGTTTAAATTAGAATAATTTTCTAATGAATGCAGGCTTATCAAATGACTCTTGCATGGATTACTAGTAAATTTTTTTTAATTGAGAAAATAATTGTTAAAAAAAAAAACAAAACAAAACAAAAAAAACCTGAATGGATGTCGCCCGCTGCTCAGGTCTCCTCCTGTCAGAGAAGTGTGGAATATAAAACAAGCACTCACTCATAATTCTATACACCACTGATGAATCCACAATACATATATAACTAAAAAATAATTATTAATAATTAAAAGAGACAATGAGATAAAAATAATGTGCATGGGTAAATACTAAATATTATACAACTATTAATTACCGTAGTAAAATTGCAGAAGAAAATAATTTTACGTTCACTCTGAAAACGTTTGACGTTGTTGAAAAGCATGACGTCATTATCTTAGATAAAAATGAAGAAAAAACCTACTTAGAGTGGACGTAGGACCATAAATATTCATATTTGACAACTTCTATCCTTACTCTATCAAAATCCATGAAAATCTCAAAATGCATAAAAATTGCCATAAGGACCCTTTTCCCATGGGCGCAATCATATATGTCACCACCATCTCATACAGACGTCATGGTTACTAATATCAATACATTTGAGTAGAAGTGCATAGATAGACCACTGTGCCTGTGTTGAAAACTTGATAAATAATTTTCTGAAAGAGCTTCATTGTAAAGTGATAAATTTGCATTTATTCAATACTGTGTTTTTGCAGGTACCTACTGTTTTACCACAAGCAGATTTTGGAATACCAGTGACAGAAGAGAATCATGGGAAGCTATTTTTGTCTAAAGGTTTCCACAACTTGTCTTTCTTGTAGGATTCAAAGTATTAAATAGATTTAGTCTTTATATTTTAGTACATTTATACATGTATCTTACTAATGTTCTGTAGCAGTTCAGTTGCTAGTCATATAGTTCAATGAAATAGACGTGAACAGCTGATTATTGAAGTAGACATAATAATTTGACAACAGATCTGGAATGATTTTAAGGTTGTGCTAGGCATGACTTTTTGGGTGATATTTTGGATTTATGTAGGTAAATTAATTGTTATGCCTCAATCAGTTTTTGCTCAGTTTATTTATGATCTCACTGATAGAGACGGGACAATATTTCTTTGACGTTTTTTTTTCACTGTGCTTGTTTAGTTGTTATGTTAAACATTCATACATCTTCCCCTGTTCACAGTTACATAAACATACATGTATTTGCATGAAATAAGCATATTTTACAGTATTTGTTAACACAAGCATGATTTCTATACTTGTTGTCGAATCGTTTTTCCATTGGATAAAAAAAGAGTGTCCTAAAACAACTTCTGTGTTTGAAAATCAGAACAGTATCCAACATTTGTACAAAACATTTTCTTTAAGCTATCAAGCAAGCATGTAAGCACAGAAAAAAGAACTTTTTTGTCTCTTTTTGGATTTAGCATTTGACTAAATCCTCAGTTGTGGACATATATTTTGATAGATGTGTTTTTGTATTGATTTCCTTGACTCGATTACTGTTGTCCTTTTGTAGAACAATTTAAGAGAGAAAAAATATGGTGCAGATAAAAGTGTTCTGTAGGAAATAAAAAATTAAGTTGGTTCTTAAATGTTGTGTATAAAGTGATGTTCATGTATATTCATTGCATGTCTTTATAATGTTTTCCCAGTGTTATGTGATTTAACAAAGGCTAAGAATTATTTAATGAAAATGTTGAATGAATGGGAGTGCAAGAATCAGTGGAAGAGAATTGCCTGTTATATATTTGTGCATAGATAAGTGTTTTGCTTTTTTTTCTTGCCAAAACTCTATTCCAAATCTTAACCCTTTCTGATCTTTGTTGTAAATGATTTTTAAGAACTTTTTTTTCTCTCTATATTGAAAGTGCTGCAAAAAAGCATTGAGTGCTGTAGATGTATATTAAAGTATGAGTGTTTTGTGATATAAAATGGAATCCCTTAAATACATTAATGTGAATAGGAATTTGTGCATAGAGTGACTGTAATATATTGCTATTGTATTTATTTATTGAAGAGATTGTCTTACATAGAAAATATGACTCCAGAAAGTTTTTACAGGTTAGTTTGTTATTGGTATATATATTTTTTTGGAGTTTATACTTATAGTCTTGAGTTTCTCTTTTCTTAAAAAGAAATAACCACCAATTCTGGAATCTATCACAGATGTAATATAGGTACCAGATTGGAAGTTGCGATTCGTAGAGGAATCCATCTTTCTGTAATATTTGGGAAACTTTTATCATAGACATTTCTCTGATTGTCTCATTTGTAAATTTAGTTAGGGGGACTGGTTAACAACTCTTGATTTTTAATACTGTATGATATTTTGAAAAAAAAAAAACAAAAAACAATTAAGATTGCTCATTTCTAACATAAATGATCCTCTCTACCCCTTAAAAAATCTCAGATCTGTTCCTATGCTTATCACATACATTATATCTTACAAATAGATATTGATTTCTGTGTAAATCATTTTTGTCTCATAATTAGCTGGGAAATCTGTTAAAAATTATTGGTGGATAGAGAGAAAAATTAACAAGTTTTTTTAATGTATTGACAGAAATTCCACTTTAAGAAATTTCCATAATTGTTCTGTTGTTTTGCTTCTTACTTTTGAGACCCAAAAGTGAATGAATTATTATTGGTGAATGCCTAGTTAGAAATTGTGGAATTTATGATATTGGAACTTTTCTGTGATAATGATTAAAGAACGCACACTGCTTTTTAGAGGGAGAAAAAACCTGCGCTACCTCACTTGTTTGTGCAAAAAAGGGGAGCATTACATGGTTTATTCAGTCATATCACCTTTTTTTTCACATAGATGCCTTAGTTAAGTTTCAAGCTGATTTTCTTTGTTTAATATAGGCTGAAGAGTTTGTATTTTGTATTCTTTGATTTATTTGTAAGACTGAACATTTGAATTTTGTGTGTGATTAAAGCAGGGACCTTTTTTTTTCAGGTGATGTTTTTTGATCCTATCTTTGCTGTGATATAATGTTCATTTAGTACATGTATGTGATGTGAACAACGAACATGTAATTCCTAACTTTATATGATCAAATTTGTCTCCTCAACTCCTCAGACCAACTCCTCCCCCTCTCCCCCATTCAAATTTTGTATGGAATTTCCTAAGGGGGATTTAATAAAGTAAAGTGTAGAATTATGAAATCTCAGTATTACTTTTCAGAGTTCTAATAATGCCAGAGGAACCAACAGCTCATGTAAACTCTTGTAATCAGAATTTTTTTCACCATTCTTCTTTTGTCATTTTCGTTTTAGAACCAAGTGTCAGCTGTGTCCTTTTCTAGGGGAAAAATTAACATTGAAAAATAAGTTGAGTTGTTAATATAAAAAAAATCTCCCTTTAAATTCAGCTTGGCCACAAGACCCAAGGTTTTAAAAGTGTTGCATATACATATCACCTGATATTTTTTCATATTCAGATGTAGTATTACCAGTCAGTTGAAAAGGGGGGGGGGTTAATTGAGAGGGGGAGGGGAGGGGGTCTTTTCTCCCTATACAAGGTTAACATTGCCAATCACTTTTGGGGATTTGGAGGGGAAAGGGGGTTTTTCCTCCCTATAATACTATGTTAACATTACCAATCTTTTTGGGAAGGGGGAGAGGGGGTCTTTTCTCCCTATTCAAGGTTTACACAGGTGTATTTAAATTTGAACTGTGGTAGATCCATGACTTACTTTTATAATGTTTAAGATGAGGTACTTACACTTAAATGTAGTTAATTAATGGCTAGGAAAACACTCTAATCAAGATGTCGTATTGATTACATATTTCAGTGTCCATTTATACATGTATTTTAAAATTCATTTTCAATGAACATGTTTTTGAATATCTCTTGCTTAAACAAGAGAAATGCTCATAACCTAGAAAAAAATTCTTTTTAAATATTAATTCATGGAATGGATTAAATTTATTGTGGTTTAGATCATTTGAATTTTATGCAGGATTTGTTTTACTGTAATACATGTAAATTAGATTCAATACTTTTGGAGCAGAAACTGAATTGGAAAAGAGGTCTTGTTTATAAATTTTGATGTAGGCAAATCAGTATTAAGACTGTTCATGCAAATCTTTTTTTTTGAGTATGATTTTTTTTTGCCAGGGAACTAGAGTAAATTTAGTGTAAATGAGATGTAAAGCAGTGTAATATGGTGACTGTTAATTGATGCATTCAGCTGGCTGAAAATGAATGAATTTAGAAAAATTGGGTAAAACAAGTCAAGGGTTTTGAGAAAATACATGTTCAGGACATCCACTAGTGTTCAAAAAGTGCCAGTCCATAAAAATTAACTTCTTTAATTAGTTGTATTTTCTTAAAATGTAGAACTGTTATAATCTTTGCAGAATTCAGAATTCCTGTTTTGCTTGCAGGGTGTCACATCAAAATGTGTGCCAAATATCACAGATTTGTAGACCAGTTTAACTGTGTATTGTGAAATATCTTAATAAAGTGTTAAAATTGATTTTTTTCCTTTCTCAATAGCAATTTGAAACACAAATACTTGTACATGTACACATGTACTGTAGAAGTAGAACCATTCCCAGGTAAGCTTGGACTTTCAGTAAGGCCTGGCATTCTCGGTGCTACGTAAATGGTGCTACGTAAATAGTGTCTGTCAAATGGCGAATAGCTTCTCATTGATAAAGAAATTAATAACATTAGGAACTTGGAATTGTTATTGACAATGATAAGACGACCTCAACTAAGCAGGTCGATAGGTGAGGAGCTAAGGAGGCCTATATGCATGCAAATCTCGACGTGTGCATCTGTCTTTGTGTCTAATGCGAAGGAGGGCAAATATGCAAGTAAATCTCGTGCGGCTGCCTTTGTATTTGACGTCAGTGGGCTAGAACTATTGATATTGGCATGGGAGTCCTCGTGTAATTTTAAGTCTAAATCTACAATTTTATTTCACAATGAAATGGACATATAAGGAAACACTGTATAGTTAGTATAGTATGCCAGGGACATCAACGATAGTGGGAAACATGGGATAATTTATGCATAACGGGCTTCGCCCTTGCCTGTTATGCAAATTACCCCATGTTTCCCACTATCGTTGATGCCCTGGCATACTATACTAACTGGACAGTGATTCCTTAAATATGTTGTATGTCTGCATTTTTTGAAAATATTTTATTGTATTGTATACATACGGTATTTTCGAAGAGTAACAGGATATAATTTGCATACCATATGCTGATTATTCCATTCAGAAATAGTTTATTTCATCAGTTTCCAACTTAAGCTAACAGAATGAGATGAATAATTGGCTGTATTTAATTTCCTGATTTTTTAGCTCTACTGGTCAGAGACCAGAAGAGCTTATGCGATAGTAATGCGTCCGGCGTCCGTCCGTCTGTCTGTCTGTCTGTAAACAATTTTTCAAAATGCTACTCCTCCTACAGTTTTGGTCTAATTTCAATATAACTTGGCACACAAGTAGACTACACTAAGATACTTAATTCTGTATATCGGTTTTTGATTTCGATGAACAGTGTTGCCATGGTAACTAAAAATAGAAATTTCTGTGAAATTCCTTTAAAATGCTACTCAACCTACAGGTTTGGTCTGATTTCAATATAACTTGGCACACAAGTAGACTACACTAAGATACATAATTCTGTATATCGGTTTTTGATTTCAATGAACGATGTTGCCATGGTAACTAAAAACAGAAATTTCTGTGAAATTCTTTCAAAATGCTACTCCTACAGTATTGGTCTGATTTCAATATAACTTGGCATTAGTAGATTACACTAACATCCATAATTCTGTATATCTGTTTTTGAATTCGATGAACGGTATTGCCATGGTTACTAAAAATAGAAATATCTGTAAAATTGTTTCAAAATGCTACTAAACCTACAGTTCTAGTCTGATTTCAATATAACTTCGCAGAGAAGTAGACTACACTAAGAACATAAAGAGACTTTATCAAGGATCATTATTCTATCTATTGCTGTTGTTAAGTTTCAATTCCCAACTGCTTAAGTACTTTTCTCTTCCTTTGCTTTTAGTACAAACCAGTAGAGCTTCAGTCTCGACAGAGACTTCTGGTTATTTTTAACTTTTCATTTCCGACATTTTAAAGTGTTTATCTCCGACATTTCTTAGGTAGTTAATACGGCAATGAAAGCAGGATTGAAGATTTCACTATGAAAATTGCATCATTGAAATCCGAATTATGAGTTTTTCGTAAATATCAAGTAAGAAAAATAAGGATTTTTCCCGAGGCACAAGTCAGTGAGATATGTATATCCGGTGAAAAAATATGTATGTTCATTGTTTTTACTACAGTGTAGATTCATTATTTTGAAATGTCATTTCCACCTTCTTGGTGAACATTTAACATAGGCGTCGGAACCGGGGGCCTGGGGGGCTTAGCCCACCTCCATTTTTTTTTTTGGCAAAGATAGCCATTACATAGGCATTGGAAATTGGGGTTTACCTTTTTTGGTTGTTTTAGTTCCCCACTTTCCATTAGCCATCCCACTTTCAATTTGCTTCCAACACTTATGTTAAAATTGTCGGTAGTAACCTGCAAAAATTCCACAAACGAAAACAAGAGGCCCATGGGCCTTATATAATAGGTCACCTGAATACCTTGTAACAACTTTCCAACAATTGAGTTTGATTCGTGTTTTAAACCAGAGGCCATGGAATTCACAATTTTGAAAGAGGCACAATGACTTATCATAACTATACACTTAGCATGCTTTACTTCGGTTACTTAATACCCAAAGGTAGATCAGAGTAACAAAGCGAAAATGCATTTCCACTTTATCAGTTGTGCATGTGCCATGAAATTCACAACTTGGGAGGAGGCAACCTTATTCAACATAACTATGCACTTGGTTAGTTTATTTAATGCCCACGAACAGAGAAAAAAAATTTCAAGGAAATAATTCATTTTCACTATATAATCTTTATATAGCCCCGCCCTATAGCACTAGAATCCCGACCCTGGGGCCACGAGATTCACAAGTTTGGAAGAGGCAGCCTTATTCAACATAACCATGAACTTGGTTAGTTTATTTAATGCCCACGAACAGAGAAGAAGATTTTCAAAAAAGTTATGCATTTTCACTATATAATCTATATATAGCCCCGCCCTAGCACTAGAACCCCCGACCCTGGGGCCATGAGATTCACCATTTTGGAAGAGGCAGTCATTTTTAACTCAACTATGCACTTTGTTAGTTTATTTAATGCCCAGGTGCATTTTCACGATATAACCTATTTAGCCCCGCACTAGTACTAGAATCCCTGACCCTTGCCCTTGGGTCATGAATTTCACAAATGTGGTAGAGGACTCAATGCTAATTACAATCATACCAACAGTTTGACTGCTTGATGTCCATGAGTAAAGAAGAAGATTTTTAAAGATTGCATTAATTTTAGTGGTTTGGCCCCACCCCAGACTCCAGAGACCATAAAATTCAGAAATTTTGTTCCCCTTCACAATTAGATGCTATATGCCAAAACTTGGTTGAAATTGGTTCAATGGTTTCAGAGATGAAGCTGAAAATGTTCAACTGTAAACGCACGATGACGGACGAGAATGGATAGCAATAGGCCACCTGAGTTCAAGTCGCCTAAAAATAATGAAACGAATTTAAACATTGTCGAACATTTTGTCGAAATGCTGTAGAAAAACTTCGGAACAAAGCAACTGAACAATTAAATGAAGTAACCCGCTTACTGTGTCTACAGGCTAACTTACAAGCTAACTGTGTCTACAAGCTAGCGGTCTACATGCTAACTGTGTCTGCAACGTTTAAATTATCTCAGAGGATGCCATTTAAACAAAATCATTAAATAAGATTTATGTTCCCATAGAAAAGAAACCTACAATATCGTATTCAGGTATTAATTGTGACAACTTTTCCGGCAACGGTCTTAGGACCATTACCAGTTTAGTTTGGACTTTCAGTAAGGCGTGGCATTCTCGACGTTACCCAATTAGCTTCTGAAATTTTTACACAGCTTTTCTTCACTGTTGAAATATACATAGGATAGAAATTCAGCCGAATGTCAACTGGAGTAGTAAATAGATTATTAAAAGTTCTCTCACAGCACATAGGTGGGGCAAAGTTTGTCTCATCGTTGTCAACAATAATCTAAAGTTCCTGATGTTATTAAATTAATGAGAATCTACTAGTATTACGAGTACGTAGGACCGAGAATGCCATGCCCTACTGAAAGTCCAAACTAAGGTGAAAATCGTGCTAATCAACTCACAATGTGATTGATTATAGAATCAAAAAGTGGATGTAATGTAGATATTAATTTAAATTGTAAGCAAATTAACACATGTAGATACATTGTACAATAACATTTTAATTTTAAATTACAATACATGTATATGTGTTGGTCCTGGAGGTACCGTACTGGGCACGGATCGCCCTGCTACCTCCGATCACATGGTAATACGTCACAACACCTGTTGTGACGTACATATTATCTCTTTACATGAGAGAGTATGGACGTGTCTTTGTCATCTCCGATATTGTTACATATGTAATATATTGCACTAATTAAATATCGTGTTATTTTACCATAGTGTTCTCTTTCTTCCGCCATCACTAGAATACTGTTGTTACTATAGAGAAACACTATATTGTCGGGGGGACCGCCGATTACCCAGTGCTTCCCAATTCGGGCCCACCGGTCTCGGGTCATGTTGCACTCGATTGGGTACTTACACAATCGTGAACTCAGCGCCCGCGCATCCTAGTGTTGCTAACTCGATTGGTCCGGGCACTGGCCACAATGGAGAGTTGGTTGGGCGGTCAGCTGCATTAGGGGGTAGTCCATCGCTCGTACCTAGTCCTGGGTGGGTTGGGGGGGGGGGGTCTAGTACAGTTCAATGTCATACGTTAATGACTACCGCGAACCGAAGTCAGTTGCCGAGTTTGCTTCCCACGGAAACCAGAAGTTTTGTCAGTAAAACCATTCCAGCCGAAGTAAAAGGGGTTAGATATAACAGGGATGTCGAGTGGGGTCCGTTTTATGCCAAGTTTTCCACTATTACCACCACTCATGAGTGGAACGATCCCGACTCTTTGTTTCCCTTAAGTCTCACGCTCGAGGGGGGCAGCACTGAAATACTTTGATATCCTTAAGCGGAGAGACGTGCTGCCAAGTTTCCGAGTAGTTCTTCGGATGGAGGAGAGGTTCGGTTAAAATTCTCCGAGAGCCACCTCACAGCTGGAATATTGAACTCTTTTTGCCAGCGGACGGGCAAAGCTATAGAGCAATGAGGGACCGTGTTATGGACACTGCCCTGAAAGCGTTTGGTGGCGGAACTTAGCCGGAAGTTTTTCGAGAGCAAGTAACTTTTCAAAAGCAAGTACTTGTTCGTTTTGCTCTGAGGTGTAATGATGGCGAGGCGGGGCAGCAGTTAATCAACAATCCCTCGGGGACTCTAGAGGACGCGATTAAGCGCGTGAAAACATA